CCCTCCACTGCGCCCCACCCAGAGGCGGCGCGATAAACTTGATCCCACAACCTGCGGGGTCCGTGCCGCCGTCGCGTGGCGGCTGACGGCGACTTGGTGAGGGAGGCTAGGCCTCGGGCGGAACGTCACACACATCATCAGCCTGTTAGCGGCACTCAGAAAGGGATTTGTCTCGGCCCCATCGACGCCATCCTGGTGGCTGGCTGCCGTGCAGAATGACGGGGGTCTCGGCTCGCGGGGGCGGCGGCGTGACCGGCACGCCAGCTGCACGCCAGCTGCAGCACTGTACGGCCGTAACGCCGCGGCGGTCCAGCGCGGCCAGCTGCAGCGATTGAGGTTCCACGGCCAATATAGTGGGGAGCAGTAATTCGCCGAGATCGTGTGTCTTGTCGAGTTGGCCAACTTGGTACGTGTTGCCCTTCTCGCCCTTCCTCGCCAGCTCCACGACGGCGTGCTTCGAGGCGAAACGGTTTGGCCGTGATTCCGACACGATATGGCGGTAGTGCCGCATCCGAAGCGCCGTCGCCGATCCCCGGGAACGAGACCCAGTGCAGTACACTGTGCAGTACACTGTGCGGCCAGCTGCACGCGTCGAGCGCGTCGAGCACCACGCCGTCAAACACCGCGGCCTCCAGCAGCACGGCGTCCGCGCCTAAAAATAGCGCCGCACTCGGCCTTGTTACGGTTATGGCGGAACGGATTTGCCGCGCTAAGCAGCTCCTTCCTTACACCCGTCCCAGTGGTGCACGTGGAGGGGGATGTGGTGGTGCAAAGTCGTTGCAAAACGCTGGGCGGGGCGGGCGGTCGCGGCTCGAGTGTCATTTGTCGTGGTTACTCGCCGCGGAAAAGCTGGCAGATTACCTCTTTAGCGGGGCACTAGAGCGCGCGGGGCGGGGCGCGGCGGCGAACCGTGGCGGGATGGGGCGGGGCGGGGGGATCGCAAAGAGAGGCGAGCCCGCGCCCTCCGGACAGCGGCGCCGGGGCCACTCCGCTACCCACTCTGCCATAAAACAAAGAAATGGATCGCCGTGGCCGCGGTGCCGCCGTGCCGTGCGGGGGCGGGGGCGGCCCTTCGCGGCCACGAGGCGGCCACGGCCTCGGCCGCCAGGAGCGGCAGGCGGCACCGCGGGCTTCTGGGCCTCCACCTCGGCCCCAGGAGTCAACGGCCTGGCCGCGATAAACAGGTGAGGTGCTGTCCTGCCCCCGACACGCCGAGCGAGCAGGCCGATGATAAGGCACGGGGAGGCGGGGCATCCAGCATCCATTCACTGTCTCTCTCGCACAGGGGGCGCCCCACGAGTGCGAGAGAGAGAGAGACGGAGGGACGCAGCCTGCTGGCACACTGCTGGCACGACCGCGGGCCGCACGACATTTCCATCTGCACGTAAAGCATCGCGCGTCTGCAGCGGCGCCAGCACTGCCAGTGGCACGGCGGGCAGGGCGCGCCGCACTGCCGCAGCACCGCAGCGCCCGGTTTTACTGCCGGTTTCATGCAGGCATTAATACGCCATCCTTCCACGTGAGTGCAGGGCGAGGGCCTGGAAGGGCCTGGAAGGGCCTGGAAGACCGGGCCTTGGCCGCGCGGAGCACGGGGGTCGTGGAGCCACAACCGCCAGCACAACGACAAGTGCGCCATGCTCTACACCACGCTCTCCACCTTGGCGACGCCGATGCGTGGCGCGTGGGCCCGGTCGATGTGAGAGTGGCGTTGTGAGCGTGGCGCCACTGCAGCGCTGCACTTGACACAGACCACGCCTCCCCGCCGCCCCGCAGCGGCAATGGCAGTGCATGGCGGCGGCGGTCTGGGCCCCGTCCCGTCCCGCGTCCCGGCGCGCGCTTTTCAAAAGACCGTACATTTTGCGCTGGCTCTGCAGTCTGTCCGCCCCGAGCGGCCCCGAGGGGTGGGGACTGCATCGCTGCTGCGTCGCTGCATCGGCGCCACCCGATTGCATGGCTGGGCATGGCTGGGCATGGCGCGCCGCCGTAAAAGAGACGCACGACCCGCGCGCCATACGCCGCGCTACGCCTGCCATGCAGAGGGAGAGAGAGGGGCGCAACCCGCCGGAGATTTGGCAGGCCTGGCTAGTCGGCCTGGCTAGTCGGCCTGGCTAGTCGGCCTGGCTAGTCGGCCTGGCTAGTCGGCCTGGCTAGTCGGCCTGGCTAGTCGGCCTGGCTAGTCGGCCTGGCTAGTCGGCCTGGCTAGTCGGCCTGGCTAGTCGGCCTGGCTAGTCGGCCTGGCTAGTCGGCCTGGCTAGTCGGCCTGGCTAGTCGGCCTGGCTAGTCGGCCTGGCGCTGCGGCCAAGCGGCGGCATGTTGGCCAGGCCAGCCAGGCTGCTGGCGGCATTTGCGGCGCGAGCGCGCAGTCATTTCCTCGCGTTACACTTGACACCGCGGACCGCTTCCCCCTCCTCGCCCTTTAAGTGAAGGGCTGCGCGACCCTGGCAGTGCCCTGCCTGGCCCTGCCTGGCCCTGTCAGTGCAGCAAACTAGAGCACAAGGACAGATCCATCAGGACAGGCCGGCCTAGCCTAGGCACGCCTAGGCCCGCCGAGGAGCTCGTCTGGGAAGGGCGGCCGCTTCACGCCCCGCCGCCCAGCCCTACATCAGACTTCGATTTCGGGGTCGGCTGCTTTGCGGCGTGCATCCCTTCCAGCTTCCGCTTGGCTCGGCCGCCCAATCTCAATCTGTATGCAGGGCCGTAGGGCCGCAGGGTCGCAGGATGCGACACGGCGGTGCACTGCGGCGACCCGAGGGCCGATCCATCGCGAGCGCCGGCAAGGAGGGGATGGCCGTGCGCCGGCCGTGCGCGCCCCGCGGACGTGCGTTGGGCTGCCCAGTGGGCTGCCCAATGGGCTCCTGTGCCCCAGGCTCGACCAGGCGCCTCGCCCAGGGGTCATCCACACAAATCATTTTTGCCACCCTCCTCGGTGTTCATCGTTTTCATTGGTACTCTCTGTGTGCAGAAACGCCGAATGATTACGTGCTGAGCGCCGAATTATGGAAAAGGAAGCCTCGCTGTAAAAAGAGCCGACGCTTTGATTTGGGGCCAAGGCGGGCCAAGGTCCGAGCTTGTCCCGCGGGAGTGCCCCCGGCCGGGCCGCTAGCCCTTGCTGCCCTTGCCACCCGAGGCCAGGCAGTCCGGCCCGGCCTGGGCGGCCCCGCCCTTGGCCCCGCCTTCGCCTGGTCCGAGAAGGCTCCCCTGGGGTTCCACCGCCCCGCGTCCCCGCGTCCCCGACCGCCGCTGCTCCGGTCCGCCCGTGTTGTTCCCCAGGCAAACTTGCCGGGGGCGGGCCGGCGGGCCGCGGGCGGTGAGCCCGAAAGGCACTTTAATTTCCAAGTTGGCCGAGCAGAGCAGCCGAGCCCGTTCCGGACGTTCCGATGGACCAATAGCTGCGCGTCGCGCCAGTTCCACAGTGCGCCACCGGGCCCGCTCGCCCGCTGCTTGTTGTTCCTCCAAGTTTGAATGAACGCTTTGGCCGTCACGGAATGGAATGGAACAGTTGTTCGATTCGCTGGTTGGCTGGGAGCGCGCGCCTGACGCCGGCAGCTCTGCCGATGGTGGGTGCGGCGGGTCGCCCGAGTGCCTTGCCCCCGACAGGATAGCAGTGTAGCAGCACGTAGCCGCCAGCGCTGGAGACTTGCCAATCGGGCATCGGGGCCGCAGGGGTCAACCGGAGCGCGTCCCGGCCCCCGGCCCCCGGCCCCCGGAGCACCTAGGGACGTTACAAACTATCACCCAGCCCCGGCGGCCCGGGTCGCTTCTCATCGAACATCGAACGCGCGGCGGCGACCGAGGTGGCGACCCCCTCCGAGCTCTCGAGGCGAGTACAGGCTAGTCGATGACGCCCTGCAATCCATCATCCAGTCGGCTGGGCAGTGCGCGAGGCGCGAGCGGGCGCGAGGCTGCGGGGGGAGCAGGGGCAGTTTGTATTAGCGCGCTGAAACCTCTTCACTCCGCCCTCCCAGGCACGGCCACCCTCACCCTGGCCGCGCTCTCCACCCCTTAGTCATTATCACCCCCAGGCCGAAGACGAACAAAGATGAAAAATGCGGCCACTCAACTGGCAGAGGATGCCACTAATTGCAAGGCCTTTTTGTCCTCCTTCAATTGACGCCGGCGCTGCAGGCTGCTGCACCACGCGTAACACCACGCAGCGCGGACGCGGCGCGGACGCAGCGCGACATGGCTGCAGCGCGGACGCAGCGCGGCGCTGTGGGCGAGTACCATGGCGTGATGGCCCAGCAGCTGCGGCTCGCACCGCCACCCAATTGCCTGCCGCCGTTTACTTCAGTGTGTCCGACGCGCCTCCACGAACTCATCAGGCCAGGCGGTGTCCTGCGCGGCGCCCAGCCAGGACGGCCTCAGGGAGGAGAAGCAGCCGGAAGCAGCGCGTGCCCTTCTCGCCGTTTGTTCGGGAAGGGTCCGCGTTCGCCTGGGTGGAACCATCCATCTGAGCGGCGGGGGAAAAGACTTTTCAATTGGATGCGGTGAAGATTTGTCACGTTCTCGGAGACGCAGACAGTGGCTCAGTCGGTTAGGATGCCGGTCGTTCGCCCGTCGAGCGGCCTAGTCCGGGTTCAATTCCCGGTCCGAGCGTGGGCTGTCACGTCCGCCGTGCGGTCTGTTTTTGGACTGGGGAAGGAACGGAGCGGGGCCAAGTTTGACAATTTCGCCGGCTTCGGTATTCTCCAACGCGAAACGACTGCCTTTCGGAGGGAACTGCGTTTGGAGGAAAGTAAAAGTGGAGGGGGGGAGTCTGTGAATGAGATGATGTCACTCGATGCGTAGACGGATGGATGCATGTCGCGGGGGGGGGGGGAGGGGGCAGGGCGGCCCGCCACGCCCCGCCACGCCCTGCCTCCGTATCGCAGTCCACGCCCCGCTGTGGGCGCACTGCGCCCGCCCCGCCTTGCCCCGCACCGCCCCGCCCCGCAGCCCCGCGCCGCCAGATGAGTCTTCTCTTTCTCCTCACTTGACTTGAGTTGAGTTCAGTGCGTTCAGTTTGGTCCGAGCGTTCAGTCGCGCGCCAGCCGGCCTCCTGCCTGGACCGACCGGCCAGGACGTGCACATGCACGCTCAGCAAGCCCGCGAAACGCGAGTGTGTGTGTGTGTGTGCGTGTGTGTGCAAAGACAGAGGTTGGTAGTGCTTCGGTTTTTGCTGGTGGAGGAGTGCCGGCTAGCCAGTGTTGTGGTGCAGTGTCTTCTTTCGCCGTCCCTCGGCCCTCGCCGGCGGGATCCACTTTGCGAATGCACCTACGAGATCAAAGGACGCCTAGCCATGCCTAGCCACGTGGAGCTGGGCTCGGCCTCCTTTGTCCACCTGTTCAATTCTAGCCGCACGTGTGTGTGCCTGTGTGTGGTTGCGTCTGTGTGCGTTGTTTGCCCGTGTGCGTGAATGAAAGTGATGGACGGCTTGTGTGCGTGGGATTACAACTTTATGCTATTCCCCTTATCAGCTTGTTTAAGCAGCACCCAGTTAGCTCACTCTCCTCTCTCCCGGGTAAACAGGATGCCGTGTGCGTTTGTGTGTGTGACCCCACATGGGCACATTATAGTGGCACTCCTATGTTCTACTTCCCTGTTGACACTGCACCGCCTCCCTGTGGAACCCTGGAGGACCCTGTGCAGTCCTGCGGGTCCATTGTGGTGCCCCCTTGGTGCCCCCACGCGGTCTGCAACAGGAGATGCGTGCATGGCCGTGCATGGCGCCCAGTTCGCGGTCCCCGAACGGCTTGTCTAGGCTTGTCTAGGCTTGTCTAGGCTGTCCAGCCTGTCTAGTCCGTGTCGTCCAATTGGCCGCACAGCGGCACTGGTGGCGTCCTTGAACCGTCGTCTTGAATCGTTGGTATTTCTAGATTGGCGGCATTGACACTATCGCCGGCCTCCTCCGATTCCCTATTCGCGGCCCTCGCGTTCGCGGCGTTCGCGGCGTTCGCCCCCCTCCACTCTTACGACAGTGCGTCCGTCGTCGGTCCGCGTTCTCCGCGTTCTGCTGTTTCCGCGGATCGGGATGGGACGCGGGACGCGGCGGGACGCGGCGGGACGCGGCGGGACGCGGCGGGACGCCCAGCGACGTGCGCCTATCAGCGCGCCGCATCGCCCTCCAACCCCTGCCGGCCCCTGCCGCCGCATCTCAATCTCCCTCGCGCCAAGGCAGCGAAGGCAGCGACGGCCGCGGGAAGGATGCCGCCGCCCGACCCTGGCCGCCGCGCCGTCGCATCCCGAATTCAAGACGGGTATTCACTAAAAGCCCCTGCCGGCCGCAGCGGGCCGCCGCGGGCCGCCTCGCCGCAGCGCGCGCAGCCCGGCGCAGCCACTGCAGTAGATTACGGTGCGGTTATCGCACTCATCTCATACGGCCGCCCTGCCTTGTCTCCCCCGCCTGCCCCGCGCCCTCCCGTCGGCGCGCACGTCCTGGTTCAGGTGCCACCGTATGGCCCGTGTGCCCGGAATGACTGTTTCGACCGGGGGAAAGGGGGGGGGGGCAGCAGACGGTTGTAGTCTGGCTCCTTGGGCTCCCTCGATAGAGCCATCCTGCCTCCGGTGTGGGCGGGGAAGACCGCCGCGTCGAACTCAGCTCCTGGGCAATGGATTGAACGCCCCGCGGGGAGAACAATCGTGACTTACAAATCGCACACACGCACGCACGCGCGCGCGCATACACACACACACACACACACACGTTATCACGACCTGATAGGCAAGGCGGGCGCACGGCCCTACACGCACACACACGCACGGGGCGCAGCCTCCGATTCGTCTTGTTTCATTAGCTCCGCGGCTATCAGGGTCCTGGCCAGGCTGTGCTGATAAGCCCCTGCAGCTGGTGTGTGTGGGTGTGTGTGTGAAAGAGAGGGAGGGAGGGAGTCAGAGGCTGCAGCAAACCCTTTACCTGTGACGCCGAGTGACAGCGCGGTGTGAGTGACGGCACCGTCCGCGTTTGTGTGCAGAGGCTGCCAACAGACCGCACCGCCCAGCGCGCCCAGCCACCCACCCAGGCTGCCCAGGGCTTGCCGTCATAGCGGCGCGTAGCGGTGTGACGTCATGAGTCCCCGCGGCCCCGGGCCTGGCCCCGGGCTCCTCGTCCTCGGCGCCGTCCTGCTAGCCGTCAGCGTGCCTACCGCAGGCGCCGCCAACTCCACCAACAGCACCGCGGGCCACCACCTCCGGCACCATCGCTACCCCGGCCAGGACTCGGACGGCGCGCTGCAGACCGTCGCCGCCGGAGGGTGAGTGCTCCACAAAGCGGACTCTGCGGACACGTTAAATTTGACGCTCGCCGCGGGGCTGCAGTAGTCCGGAACAGACGCCGTGCCTGGGCGGGAAAATAAAGTGACGGCGTTGCGCGGTATTTGAACTCAGGTCACGAGCATCGATTAATTGTCACCTAGTGTTGAATTAATGGCTGGACTCACGGTTCAGAACGGTTCTAATCCTGCCCGCGCACATTGTTTTGAAAGCAGTCTTTACGGGACTTGAGGCGAATAGACCGACCACCAGGTGGTTGTTAGCTGTAAATTTGAGTCAGACTCATGTTTCGCAGTGCATCTCTGCCTGTCTTGTGGTGGTGCGTGCGAGCCAGGCGGAGCCAGGATAGGTGGTCCTGGTTCCTGGTCTGGCCGCGCACACCGCGAACGGGCTGGCCGGTGCTGCGGTGCACCAGGCTGCACAGGCTGCACGGGCCCCTCCTTGGATTGATGGATAAGCGGTCTGGCTCTCTGGCCGCCACGTCAGGGCCCTGCCGGCCGCGCGCCGCTCTGTCTCTCTCGCACTCGTGGGGCCTGCCGAAGGGGTGCGAGAGAGACAGCGAGTGCCTTGTCCACCAGCCTGGCCAGGCCCCCATTAGCGCGGGGCTCTCTTGTGTTATTAGTCCCTGGTCCAGTTGTTTGCACTGCCGGCCGTGGTCTATGCAGCACTATGCGGCACCAGCAGACTGATTCGGAGCGGAGGCTCCTTCGTCCTGTCTCTCTCGCACTCTCGTGCGCCCCTTGTGTTCGAGCGAGAGAGAGACCTGCCGCTCGGAACGAGTCTTAAGCCACGCCGCTCTGCTAAAACTATCATTACTCGCTCGTCTCTGAGGCGGGGCCGCAGGGCGGCGGGGCGGCGGGGCGGGAGAGACATGTGGACCCGGAGACGCGGCACGGCCGGCGCGGCTCAGAGTTCACGACCCCGTCCGCCGCGGCCCGAGCCGTCAGCCCTCCCGGCCGCGCACGCCACGCACGCCGCGCACCGCGGTCGGGGCGTGCTCGTCCTGATCCTCCTCGGCCCCAATCCCCAGCCCCGCGTTGATCCGATTCCCTTTTGATTCCGCCAACCGGCGGCGGTTTATCGCGGCCCCGGCATCGCATTGCGGAACCGCGCCAAACCCTCCTCGCGGACCGCGGCAAGCCTGGCAAGCCCGCGGGCGATACCGCGCATGAATGTCAATGACTTGGGCAGCCCTCGGCCCGCGGCCCGCGGAAGTGTCGGGGCGTTATGTTGGCCCCACTGCACGCGGTGGCCCTGCCTGGCCCAGCCCCGCCCCGCGCCGCGCTGACCCGCCCGCGCCTGGGATTGTGGAAGGTCGCCGGGCATGGCGGACCGCGGCGGACCGGCTTGGCTTATCGCCGCGGCCCGCCTGTGACATGCACGCAGTCAAGTCGCTGGCGCGCTGGCGCGGCGCTACAGTTTCATAAGAAGGAAGACACACTGTCCGCGCTGCCGCCCGCCGCGCCGCCGGCCGGGGCAAGGTTACTGGGCCAGTGCGTGCGGGGCGCGGCGGGGCGCGGTGGCCATGCCTCCACGGTTGGACGGACGGACGCACGCCGCGCTGAATCTGACGGTGCGAGGGCTTTCCGATAGAGGCGCCAGGATATTGAAGGGCTGAGCAGGGAAGGGAAGGCAGGAGGGCGGTGGCCGGCCGCCTCGCCGCGAGGCTTGAGCCGCTTGGGCCGCTTGGGCTAGGTCCGAGGCTAGGTCAGAGGGACGTGCACTTAGCGGGACGAGCATCGATTCTCAGGACCAGCAGACCAGCGCGCTGCAGCGTGGCGGCGTGGCGCGCTAGGCCGAGGGACCTGGGAAACCAGGCCGACCCGAGTGGCGTGGCGGCTAGGCCGAGCGCCCGAGCTCCAGGCCGAGCTCCAGGCCGAGCTCCAGGCCGAGCTCCAGGCCGAGCTCCAGGCCGAGGGACAGCGTGACGCACTCCACGACGGGGACGGGGCCCGACGGGCCGATTGCGTTGCCGCGCCTCGATTAGATTGAGACTCAATCTCGGCCAGAATCAAAATGACCACGGCGCCGCACGCCACACGCCTCGCTCCAGGAATCAAATTCCTAGCGAAAACAGCATTTTTTCGTCGCGACTCCAGGGGACTGCTAGTCGATTGCGGACGTCCTGGGGCCGCAGGCCGCACACCAGAAACTGCTTTCCCCCGCAGTTCAAGGCCGCGAGCTCACACAGCCTTGCCGCGCCGCCTGTAATCCTTTACTGTAAATCAAGAAGGCCGTGATTGAATGGGCGTCGAGGCGAGTCGAGGCACGCAGCGCGCAGCCCGGCCAGCCTCCGTGCCAACAAGTTACACGATTGTTTTGAGTGCCAATAACGTAGCGAGCTGTCTTGCCGGACGCGGCAACGCGGCGGGCCCTACTGGCCGCACGGGCCGTAGCTACTACTGTACACTGCGCGACGCTGCGCGCTGCGCGGTCATTGAGCGCCTAATTTACGACCTCTGGACGGGCACGCGCGGCCCTTGCTTTCATGGCGGACGGGGAAGCGAAGCGGCCGCCGTAGTATTCGATTTAAAGCAATTTCAAGGTGCATACAAATCTAATTAACGTTAGGTACTCGCGGTGCCGTGTGAGCTCGGCGGTCGGTCACTCGAGAATATTAACATATCCCCACCTGACGCTGTTTCGCGCGTAAATGTGTGTGTGTCCGTCTGTCTGTCTGCCTGCGTTTAAATGAGCGAAACTGACCCTCGGTGACCGATCCCGGCTTGTACGTAAACGCCCTACTCGCGCCACTTCTCCGCCATGGCGCCCTTACACTTGGCGTTTGACCTCCACTCGGTCGCTCATGCAGGCAGAGCGCAGCTTGGCGCCGATGGCCGGAGCGCTCTATCGCGACGGCTGTGACGCGGACGGGCGCGGCGGGCGGCTCGGCGAGACTGCGGCTCAACGGTCGCCGCGGTGGTCCTGCACTTCTCCACCTCCAGCCGGCGGGCAAGCCATGGTGGCACTTGCAGCACAACGGCAGGGCCGAAGGATGACGCGCTGACTGAGAGCCGAGACGGACAAGAGAGACAGGGGCGGGGGCGTCTCTCTCGCTCGCTCGTTAAAACGAGTCGACAACATTGAAAGGAGCTGCAGACGTTTTAAGCCACTTTGTTGCGAGCGCCACTCCGACTCCGTCAGGGCGGGGCAGGGCGAGGCAGGGCGAGGCAGGGCGAAGAGGGCACGGGAGGCAGGTGCGAGGTTCACGGAGAAGTACGGCGCTAGTTGGCGAGAACTAGTACGTTAGCAGCTGGCTTCTTCACAGTGAGCACCACCTGCCGACGGCGCACGCCGCGCACGCCGCCGCCTGCGTCGCTCGCACAGAGAGCCGACGCACGCGTCAGCGCGTGTACACCGACATTTTTCGTACTTGTTTTGTTCCTTTGCTTTCCTGTGGTGGCGAATCCGTGATTGGAAATGGGGAGCCAGCCAAACTCTTTCCGCGCCACGACCTCCGCATCCAGTGGCGGCCCCGCCTCAACGGCCCCGCCTCAAAGGCAACGCTCGGCCGACGCCGACTCGCGACGAGACCCACGAGCTTCTTGTTTCGGCCAGACTTGACAGTGCGCACACGCCGACGTGCTGCCGTTCACGAAAAGAACGCGATAAGTGTGCGCAAATTGGCTGGGGGGGGGGATGAGAGCGGATAGTGGGGCATGATGGCTCGCCGCGGCGTGGCGGGCCTAGGCTGGCCGAGGCTTGCCTAGGCGGGCCGCATGCCGCGTCAAGGCGCTGGAAGCGGAAAGAGGGGGCGAGGCGGCATGCGGCCCGAGGCCCTGGGATTACGAATAAGTGCAGCGTGACCTTACACTAGGATGACCTCGCCCGGCCAGTGAGTGTGTGTGTGTGTGTGTGTGTGTGTGTAAAAGTGCGGCCCTGCCCTGCGGGGTGACAGCAGGACGTGGCGGGCGGGGCCACAGGCAGGCACGGCAGGGCAGGGCGGGGCGTGGACGACACACAAAGTGGTTTGTTGAGCCCTTGTCTTCTCGCCGCCGCCGAGCACAAAGCACGCACACGCACTCGCATGGACACGGGGGCTTCATAAAATGTGCATCGTGCTTCCCTGTGCGATATCAAGAGGCCCGGCCCGTCGGGCCCGTCGCTTCCACGAGATGGCGAGCGGGGCCCGTAGCCTCCACCTCCACTCGGCCGAGCGTTCGGAAATAATGAATACTGTACTGTACAAGCTTATTGCGTGGGTTGCAAGAAAGTGCCATCCACCGACCGGACACACGACAAATAAATGCCCGTCGAACGAGGCGTGATAAGGTTTCAATTCATTCCAGTTCCTATTTCATATAAATAAGCCGCATCAAGGGCGATTCATTTTAAAATTTTATTTTCATTTTATTTGATTCTATAAAAGTTTATACAAACTTATACTTGTACACTTAAGACCTGAATAAATTGAAACCTTATTAGATCTTAGGGAAGCCGTTTTCAACCCACGTGAAATTCCGTTTGACGGGTGGTGAAAACATGGCCAGCAGTTTCGCTAGGAACGGCGTTCCGCCACCCGCAGCCTGGCCCGGACAGGCCACTCGCGGGATGAGAAGGAAACAAACAGTAAGTGGGCTGTGATCTGGGCGCATCGCGCCGCGCGGCGCCGCGGTTAGGAGGAGGAAAGGATAGTGCCTTAGCCACAACGCGTTCGATTCCATTTCGGCTGGCCTCCAGGCTCCAGTCCAGGCTGGCCTCCACAGGCCGGCCCGGCCCGGCCCTCCCAAGGTCGCAGCCTGGTCGCAGCCACCAGCAAGAACTCCGAGGGCAAAGGGACCAGCCGCAGAGGCTGGTCAACACACGCGGCCCTTCCCACGCCCTGCCCTATCCCCCGCGGCGCCCCGCAGCGCCCCGCGGCCCGCAAAGGGAATATTTGAGCGGAATGCGAATACATCGTGCTTATCAGTTAAGCGACCCACATACAAAGGGCCCTCACTAAAAAAAAAATTAGCATAGCACGCGAGCAAGAAACTCAAAGTTTCAATTGCAAACCCACCGACCTCGACACAGTCGGTGGGTTGTTGGTTCGCACATTTGTTCGAAATTTTCTTCGAATTCCACCAAATGTGGAATTCCTCTGTCGCCTGTAACTCTCACTCTTTTCATCGTTTGTCCGCTTTTATGCTCCAGCTGCGGAGCGGTGCGGTGTGGAGCGGTGCCTGCCTGCCTCCTGCCGCTGTTGTTCGTCGCAATGTATATCCGTTTTATTGTCACTTTTTTGTCACTTTTTTTCGTTCTTTCCCCTTTTTTGGGAGGGGGCTGCATCGGGCCCGTCCCGCTATTGCGCTGCGGAGTGTCGCTTTGCTTCCCTTTTTGGACAGTTGGCGGCCCTGGCGGCCCTGGCGGCCCCCATCAGGTCGATATGGCGTTTGCGTGGCATCCTCAGGGCAGTGTACACAGTGTACACGCCTGGCTTTGGAGGGACTGTCCTCCCCTTCCCGCAAGGCCTGCCGTTCCCCTCTCAATCGTTTGGCCAGCGCGGTGAACCCGGGCGTGTACCCAGGTGGACAGTGTACGCACCTCATTAAGCCGGCCCTTGCCGATCGCCCATTTGAATTTCTATGGCCAATTTACACGAGGCTCGCGGTGACAGAAATAGCCCCGCACGTACTGGCGGGTCATGACCCGGCGGGGGCGCTCAATATTTGGCGGGAAAACAATGTCGAGGGGCCATCCCCACCAGCGTCCCCAAGTCCCCGCCAAGGAGCGCTGCGCCCGGCTCCGCGCCGCGCCTGATGAAGCATGCATGCTGCCGAGCCTCCCTCACGCTGATCTCCTTATTTCCCCTGGTAACCCTGCAAGGGCTGTTCATCATGGCAAAGTTACCCTCCAACAAACCGCGTCCATCAAAAATGCTTCGGGAATTTTTGAGGAAGTTAGTTGGTCTTTGCGGTAACCTCCAGCTGGTGCCGGGGCACTGCCGCCTCTCCCAGGCGGTAACCCCCCCCCCCTTTTGCCGAATTAATTACCTGCTTATTTGGTTGCGCCGTGACATTGTGCCCCTCCCCCCTCTCACCCGCGGTTCGACGTGACCCACATCCGACGCCACGTTGTTGCCCGCCAAAACGACCGAAAAGGAGTAGTGCCTGTTTCGGGCTGGGAGCTCCACGATAACGTTTTGTTTTTGTTTTTGTGGCAGGCCCAACGTGTGCCGGTCGCGATACCGCAACTACTGCTGCCCGGGGTGGACGCTACGTCATGGCCTGTGCATCGTTCGTAAGTCACCGGGTTGACCGGGTCACTGCATCTAACCAAGTTAGCCGGTACAGATTTTCGAGGAAAATCTCTGAGTTCTTATCTGCCTTTTACAGCCATGTGCGTGCGCACGTGTTCGGCCGGCAGCTGCGTCAAGCCCAATGTCTGCAGCTGTCCTCCTGGTGACCAAGACTGCTTGCGTGGTGAGTGCTTTACCGATCAAACGGTCGCTGGTGATTGTCGTAGTATGATTACCCCATAGTCGTGGGAAGCCATCTTGGTTCCCGAACCTCTCCAGTTTCTCACCCGCTTCCTAGAGCTTCAACACGTTTGTTATGCTCGCGCCATGAAAGATGGAAGATGTGTTCAGTTGGGCTATTTAAGCCCAATGGTGTGACGGTTGGGGGAGGGGGCGGACGGTGGTGCGACTTGGGGGCACCTATACTACTGACCGTGTTTGACTTCCGCCTCTTCGCAGCCGCCGCCAACGCTACGGCGGGCCAGGGCGGCCAGGGCTGGGGCTCGACGCGGCGTGGCGGCGCCCCCGGCGGCTGCCCTATCACCTGCCTCAACGGCGGCTCCTGTGTCAACGGAACGTGCTCCTGCCGGCCCGGATACCAAGGCCCTTACTGCGGCGAGCGTGAGTGCAGCCAGCCGCTTCACTGTCTCTCTCGCACCCGGAGGGAGTCGCTTGCGGATGCGAGAGAGACAGACCGATGAAGCACTGGTCAGTCTGTGTCAGCATGAGAGTGTGTACTCCGACAAACGCTCGTTACAGGCTCGGACTGGCCAGGGCAGACAGGCAGAAAAATCTGCCGGGGCCTTCGGGTTTGGGACCAGTAACGTCAAAAAGTTGGTCAAAAAGTGATTAAATCTCCGAAAGTAGCCGTTTTCGCTGAATTTGAGCGGCCATTGCGTCCGATCTAGTTGCGGCCAACGGCCTCCCTCGACGCCCTAGTATTCTTAAGACCCTACTCTTTCATGCCCTGTATCGGGAAGACGTTGACCACAACGATTTTGCCTTTGACCGCAACGATTTTGGGACCAAAATTGGTCAAAAAGTGGTCGAATCTCGAAAATTTGCAGATTTTGCTGACTTTGGGTGGCCACTGTGTCCAATCTAGTTGCCGTAAAAGGCCTCCCTCGACGCCCTAGTATTCTTAAGACCCTACTCTTTCATGCCCTGTATCGGGAAGACGTTGACCACAACGATTTTGCCTTTGACCGCAACGATTTTGGGACCAAAGTTGGTCAAAAAGTGGTCGAATCTCGGAAATTTGCTGATTTTGCTGACTTTGGGCGGCCACTGTGTCCAATCTAGTTGCATTAAAAGGCATTTAAAAAGTTGGTCCTGAAGGGTAAAAACAATGATGATCGGAGGCCTTTTGCGGTCTTATCCGCCGGGGCCTTTTGGGGGCCAGTCCGAGCCTGCTCGCTCATGTGAATGTCTTCCAGCCATCTGCAAGGAGCCGTGCCTGCACGGTGGACGCTGCATCGGGCCCGACCGCTGCGCCTGCGTCTACGGCTTCAGCGGCCGTCGCTGCGAGGCGGGTAAGTGAGGGGGGGCGCCTCCAGGTCGCCGTCGACGAGGCGCAGACTGAGTGTCTCGCTTGTTGCAGACTACCGCACCGGGCCGTGCTACACCAAGGTGACGGAGGACTCGTGCCACGGCCAGCTGGAGGGCGTGGTGTGCACCAAGCAGCTGTGCTGCGCCTCGGTGGGCCGCGCCTGGGGCCACCCCTGCGAGAAGTGCCCCACCAAGCTGGACTGCGACGCCGGCCACCTCAAGAACATCCACACGGGCAAGTGCTACGGTGAGTGAAACAGACGCCCGGCACAACCTGTTGCACTTTGTTACCACTGATAAGCAGGCCGGCCCAGGGCAGGCCATTGTGACGTCATCGCGGTGCCGGGCCGTCGGCCAGGCCTGCAGGCCGCGTTCAGTCACGGCCTGATTTACGGCCGGGATTAATTCGCCGTACACGCGTCGGCCAATGCTGGCCAGCAGTGCGTCCATCGCCCCGTCTCGCTCACACTGTCGGGGCGCCCCGTAGCGGTGCGAGAGAGACGGGGCGGCTGTGCGGAACGAGCACACAGGCAATGCTGCGCTATTTGCGGCCCCTGGGACAAGGAGGGCTGTAGTCATGCTCCGTGTGTCGTGTCGCGCGTCTCCCTCGCACTCCGGCGGGAAGCGTTGCGGTGCGCTGCGGTGCGAGGGAGACAGAGCGGCGAATAAAGCAGTCTTCGGAAATGGGGCAGTGCGTTTCCATTATTGCCGCGCCGTGGGCTGTGGCTGTGCATTGGCGGACGGGCGTGCAGCACAGCGCGGACGGCATATAATTGCCTGTGCTGCAGCCGAAAGCGCTGTGCAGTCGGCCGTCCGGGGCCCGGCGTGCGTGCGAATGCAAGGGATGCAAGCACACTGTGTTGCGTTGCAGACATCGACGAGTGCGAGGCCATCCCCGGGCTGTGCCGCGGCGGCAAGTGCGTCAACTCGGTGGGCTCCTTCACGTGCGAGTGCCCCGACGGCCAGACGCGCAACCCGGAGAACAACGAGTGCGAGGACCGCGACGAGTGCAAGGACGGGCTGGACGCCTCGGGCGAGGCCGTGTGCAAGGACGGCCGCTGCGTCAACACGCAGGGCGGCTTCTACTGCGTCTGCAACCCGGGCTTCATCCCCCGCCAGGACCGCAGGGGCTGCATTGGTAAGTCCCTCCTCTTTTTGCACTCTAATCGCCTGCGAGCCGTGAAATGCCGTGAAACACCCGGCAGCTGCTGGCGGTGCGGCGGTGCGGGGTGGGGGCGGTTTGCGCTCGCAGCACAGCGTTATACATTCTCCCTCGGGCTCTCCAATGTCCGGATGGATGCTTCGCTGCGTGATTTCTCTAGACAGTTCGTCCGGCTTAAGCTCGAGAGAAAAATATTCAGAGAGGAGGAAAATAAAGCGTTAATAATAACAAAACGACTACGCAGCGCGTAGCCGCGTAGCCGCGCGGTACAGTTCTCTGACAGGCGAGGCGTAACACTTAGCATTCGCGGGACTCTGGGACTCCACACAACCGACAACACGCTTCTTCCATTTCCCGAGGAACAGCAGCGGACTACAAAGGGAATGCCAACGCCATGTTTGTTCTCGTTTTGCTTTTCCAGACGCGCGCCAGGGCGCCTGCTACGCCTCGGTGACCGACGCGGGGCTGTGCCAGAACCGCCTGCCCATCCGTCTGTCCAAGAAGGACTGCTGCTGCGGCGTCAACATGGGCAAGGGCTGGGGAGACTCGTGCGACCGGTGCCCTTCGGTCGGCGATGGTGAGTGCCCGGGTTCGAATACGGCCCGATGCGTTTTGCACTTTATTTTGCTTTCTTTACTTTGACCCGAGTGTGTGTCGACAGCCGCCTTCCGGCACCTCTGCGTGGACGGCTTCCCCGCGGCAGGGCCTGTTGGTCCCGGAGGCACGGGCCCCGGAGGAATCTCCGGGCCGGGAGGCATCGGCCTCCGGGGCCCATCTGGCATCCCAGGCGCGCCCGGAGGCCCTGGAGGCCCAGGAGGACCCCCAGGCTTCGGGTCCACGGGGCTGGGCGGCGCTGGCGGCGGCGGCTGGCCAGGGGCGAGGCCGGGCACCAGCGGCCCCGCGGCACGGCCAGGGTCAGCCGCGTACGACAGGCCGACGGGGCAGTCTGGCGGAGGTACAGTACTCGCCACCATTCACCCGACACTTTTGGCAGGCGCCCTGCAGCCACGGCGCTTACTCTTGTCTCGATCCAACTAGTGTCCAAGTCCCACTGTGCGTGGGTCAGGGCGCGGCGGCCCGGACAGGCCGCCCTAACTAAGTTGCCGTTACGACCTCGACCTTGCTGCCCTCATCAATGTCGTCTTGTTCCCCACAGGACCCACGGCGATCGGACTGCCAGGCGCCCCGGGCTCCTACCCTCCTGGAGTGAGCTACCCCGGCGCTGGCTACCCCGGTGGCCCCACTGGCCCCACTGGAGGAGGCGGCGGCAGGTACCCCGGCGGGCCTAACGGCCCCGGCGGTCCAGGCAGGGGGGGTGGCGGTCCCGGAGCAGGCGGCCTCGGCCAAGGCGGCGGAGGCCCTGGTGGTGGTGGCGGCTGGGCGGGCCCCGGCCTCAGCGGCCTCTCGCACCGCGTGGACGAGTGCAGCATGCTGCCCGGCATCTGCGGGCACGGGCGCTGCGTGGACCAGCCCATGGGCTACACCTGCGAGTGTGATGCCGGATTCAAGCAGGGCCCCTCCCAAGTGTGTGAAGGCCAGTTGCACTTACTGACACACTCAAACCGCCTCCGCTAGTTTCATTATCGTCGACTGCCGTCTCTGCATGCTTTTCCTTTGCGCTTGTCGCGGGTTCGAATCCCAGTCGCCGTTCTTTCCTCGCGGTGCCTGTGCCTTGACCCGTGCCTCCCTCTGCCCGCAGATGTGGACGAGTGCGCGGACCTGCAGTACTGCAAGGGAGGCACCTGCACCAACTCTCTGGGCGGCTTCACCTGCGTGTGCCCGCCCGGCTTCGACCTCTCCGCCGACAACAAGCTGTGCCTAGGTGGGTTGGCGGTGTACCAGTTCGACGGGGCGCAGCCCACAGTCGGACAGAAGACGGGTGGAGGCGGCCAAAACTCTAGACGAATTTTGACGTCCAGAGTCGCTAAATGGGACTCGAATCAACCGTGTGACCCTACCCTACCAATGGATTGCTCTCCGAACGAGGAATCCATTGGGGTCGGACGCTCCAGCGCTCGGTGGAGAGCGCCTGGTAGAGTAGGCAACCCAACGTGCATGGCGGCTGAAACGCTGCCTGTCTGACAGGAGTTGGCGGCAGCGTACCGAACAGTGTCGCTGTCTGGCTCTCTCTCGCTCTCACGCATGGGTGCGAGAGACGCAGAGACACTGCACATTGTTTGTTGGAATCACTCAAAATCTGGACTTGTCCAAACTCTGTCCGCAGACCACGACGAGTGCCAAGAGAACGGCATGTGCGCCAACGGCGAGTGCGTCAACATGCACGGCTCCTTCAAGTGCCAGTGCCACGCCGGCTTCATCCTGTCCCCCACCGGCCACTCCTGCATCGGTGAGTAACGCACTGCAACGTGAGGATCAGCCCGTCCACGGAAAAGCGTCCGCGTCCATAACCGCCGCCTCCAAGAAGGATGGCGCGGTCCTCATTACGAAGCCGCGCCGCCGCGCCTCGACGACGGGGAGGACGATTCCGAAGAGTCGCTGTCTGCGTCGCACTCACAGTCAGTCCCGTAGGGGTGCGAGAGAGAGAGAGAGACAGCGAGCGACTCTCCAGAATCATTCTGCAGGGACCGCGCCTTTAGCGCTTTATCCACGCCCCGCGGCCATCCGGCCGTCCCCGCGCCGCGCCGCGCCGTCCGCGGAATGAAAAATGTCGCGGCTCGGCGATATTATATCGCGCTAGGACGGCGCGGCGCGGTGAAGGGAATGGCGCCACCGGAATGGATGAGCTGCCCGTGGCTGTGTCGCGCGGCAGCCTAGCCTCGGCCCATGCCTCGGCCCTCAGCCCTCGGCACGCGTCGAGATGAATTCGCGCCGCACCCTCTTTTCAAGCCCGGCCTCTCGGTGCCTCTCGGCGCGCACCTGCCTGCTTATCGCGCGCCACGGCCGCCCTGCCCCGCCCCGCGTTCCTGCCTGCCGTTGGCCGGGGCGGACACGCGAACAGCGCTCCGTGCCGCGGTCCGGAACGCTAGCGACGGCGTCTGGGGACTCTGAGGTTCGCGTGTCACAGGCCAGTGTCGCCAACTCTGCGGACCCCCGCTTGAGTTCGGAGCGGGCCGACCTGCCGAACCTTTTATCCGGCGGCGTTCTTCCTCTTTGGGACTCACTCCGGCTTAGCCGGGGTCCCCGGCCCGCCCCGGCCCGAGACCACATTTCCTCCTCCGACCGGGGAGGCGTTTTAAGAAAAGCGTGCGGGCTGGTCCGCCCGTTCGCTGTGCAGGAAAGCCGTTTACGTAAAGGACCCCCATTCGGCGAGGCCATAAGTCGCCCGCCGAAGTCTCGCCGTTGTTGACCTCCGGCAGTGTGTCGGTCGCTGTGACCGCGCAGCTCGGCCCCGCTGCACCGCGCCACCGCGCCACACCTCGACGCTAAGCCCGCGCTGCGACGCGCTAAGCCCCGCAGCGGCGCGTTTCGCCGGGTTTCGCCCACCCCGACCCACCCACACGCAGCCGCGCCGAGCCACGCAGGGCGGGCTGACCTGCCCGTCCCCGCGCAGCCAGAGGCCCGAAAAAGCGACCACCCGCCACCCCCTTTGCCGCGCTGCCCTGGCGCTGCCCGCGGCGACGGGACGGGCGGGTCGGGCCGGGGGTTCGGTAACGCTGCCGGATGCCGGATCTCGCGAGTGCCTCCGCTGTTTGTTGTTTGCTCCTTGCCCCCCTATTTATTTTGGCCCCGGTGCCGCTGGCGCGCTGGCGCCCCTGCTGCCCCCAGACGTGGACGAGTGCTTCGAGAACCCGCGCATGTGCCTGCACGGCCGCTGCCGCAACACCCCCGGCTCCTACGACTGCGAGTGCAGCCCCGGCTTCACGGCGTCGCCGGACCGCTCGTACTGCGTGGACACGGACGAGTGCGCCGAGACGGGCATGTGCGGCAAGGGCCGCTGCGTCAACATCGACGGCTCGTTCCGGTGCGTGTGCGACCCCGGCTACCGGCTCGGCGCCGACCACAAGCAGTGCGAGGGTGAGTACGCTGCTGCCGCTGCCGCCGCTGCGGTGCGCTGGCGTGACTTGGCCGTGAACGTGCCGCTGTTGCAGACATCGACGAGTGTGCCGCCAGGCCCTGCCTCCACGGCCGCTGCATCAACACCCAGGGCAGCTTCAAGTGCGAGTGCCCTCCCGGGTTCGCCCTCGGCCCGGGCGGACGGTCGTGTGAAGGTAGCGTGGCGTGTTCGACGTTTATTCCGAGCAAACAACACGCTGGACGTTTTCCAAGTTGATTACTTTTGTGTTTGTTGGCAGACACGCGGCGCGACCTGTGCTACTCGTCGTTCCGCGACGGCGTGTGTTCGGGGCCCAGCACGCTGCCCGTGACGCGCTCCAGCTGCTGCTGCTGCACCGTCATCTTCGGCCAGCCCTCCGGCTGGGGGACGCCCTGCCAGCAGTGCCCCACGGCGGGCACGGCCGAGTTCGACCTGCTGTGCCCGCACGGGCCCGGCATGACTTTCAGCGGCGACGGTACGCACGGCGAGGCCCGGCGAGGGTAAAAGTCCTGGACGACCACTCGGCCGCTCCGCCAGCAGGCACACTGTGGTGGCGCGGCCGGGGGGCACGTCCATGGGGCGCACGTGTAAATCGTGAGATGGCGGCACGGCGGCACGGAGGGGCCACAAATCAAACCGGCGCCAAAACCAGGCCAGGCCCGCCAGGCCCGGCCCTAATCGCATCAGCGTATCGGCACCGGCCGGCCGGCCTGCGGGCCGTCGTCGCTCCGTCTCTCTCGCACTCGGAGGGCGTTCCGCGGGGGTGCGAGAGAGACGGAGCGTCTCTGGCCGTGCTCCCCAAGCTGTCGCCGCGTCCGTGTCCTCGCCGATTCCATTTCACTGCGAGACAAAGCACCGCCAGGGCGCCGCTCGACCTTCAAGGCCTTCGAGGCCTTCGCCGAGAGCGAAAGGGCCAAACGACCCGGCCGGCGACCTGGCCCTGGCGTGCCCTGGCGGCGGCGGCTCGGCGACGGCGACGCGTATCCCCGCGGGCCACGCCGGCCGCGCCCCCCGCCGGAGCAGTCTGGCCGAGTCTGGCGACGCCCCCGCGGTTGCGGCAGTCTGCCACGCCAACTTAGTTTGCCGCTGACTCGAGCCGACTTCCCATACTGTAACGCGTTGCCAAACTTTCGGCCCCGGGGCGGGGGCGGGTCATCTCTCATCTCTCAGAGGCCTCCCCGCCCTCCCCCGCCGCGGAGTCCGAGGGAGGCCGGATTGACGGCGCCCTTGACCTTGCCTCACGTGGACCGTCCCTGTTACGAGCGCTTGGGTGCTCCGCATTCCGACACGATTCTAACAACGAACCTTGGTGACACTCACAAGCTTGCAAGGTAACGCTTCGCCGTGTGTCGCCACAGACATCAACGAGTGCGCTCAGAACCCCAACCTGTGCCCCAACGGCGCGTGCGAGAACCTGATGGGCAGCCACCGCTGCATCTGCAACCCGGGCTACCAGGTGGACGCCACGGGCAAGGTGTGCACGGACATCAACGAGTGCGAGCTGGACGACATGGTCTGCAACGGCGGCCAGTGCCGCAACACGCCGGGCACCTACCAGGTAAGGCGTGCGTCTGCGGCCTTGGCGGCGCCGCCACCGAGACCGCGCGTCATCCTGGCTTGCTTGCTTGCAGTGCATCTGCGACCCGGGCACGCGGTTCAACGACACGACGCAGATGTGCGAGGACGTGGACGAGTGCCTGGAGCTGGGCGAGGAGGCCTGCATCAACGGCGAGTGCGTCAACACCAGGGGCTCGTACGAATGCCGCTGCGGCCCGGGCACCATGCTGGACAACACGGGCCGCGTCTGCATCGGTAATGCCGCGACCAAGGCCGCGACCAAGCGTCGCGCTGTGTCTGTCGCACTCACTGGGCGTAGGGGTGCGAGTGAGACAGAGTAACGAGAGGATTTCGAGGGGGTACTCGTTGTTGCAGACAACCGGCGGGGCTCGTGCTGGACGCGCATGGTGGCGGGGCGCTGCGAGAACAACCTGCCGCGACTGACGCTGCGCGCCGAGTGCTGCTGCTCGGTGGGCGTGGCCTGGGGCAGCCCCTGTGAGGCGTGCCGGCCCGACGAGTGCGGCAAGGGCCGCGACGCCTGCCCCAAGGGCTACGCCAAGGTGGACGGCAAGGCGTGCACCGACATCAACGAGTGCGACCTCAACGAGGGCATCTGCCGCGGCGGCGGCACGTGCGTCAACACCGAGGGCTCCTTCACGTGCCAGTGCCCGCCGGGGCTCACCCTCGACCCCACGGGTAAGGCCCACGCCTTTGCAGTGGGGGTGCCGGGAGATTGGAGCCCGCGACTCTGACGTCTGTCTGGCCGTCGCAGGTACGCTGTGCCAGGACCTGCGGCAGGAGCGCTGCTTCCTGGACTACCGGCACGGCGAGTGCGTGAACGCGCTACCCGGGCTGTTCCCGCGCTCCATCTGCTGCTGCACCACTGTGGGCCGCGGCTGGGGCGGCGCGGACAGCGGCAAGTGCGACGCGTGCCCCAAGCAGGGCTCGCAGGCCTACCAGGAGCTGTGCCCCCGGGTGAGAGAGAGCGGGACGCCGCGCCTCCGCCAGAGAGACGCCATCGAGCTGGCTGACGCTTTCTGCCGCAGGGCACGGGCTTCGTGGACCGGCGCGACATCAACGAGTGCACGGAGTTCCCCGGCATCTGCGAGAACGGGCGCTGCAAGAACACGCCCGGCGGCTACTCGTGCCGCTGCAACCAGGGCTACTCGCTGGACGAGAACGGCGTCAAGTGCCTGGGTGAGGCTCGGGCTGGGTGTGGGTCACCTCCGTCGCCACTTCGCCACGCGAGCCGCCGCGCTAACGCGGACATCGCTCTGTTGCAGACATCGACGAGTGCACCATCATGTCCGGGACGTGCGGCGACGGCGTGTGCCAGAACACGGCGGGCGGCTTCGTCTGCAAGTGCAACGAGGGCTACGAGAACACGAAAGTGATGCAGGTTTGCGTGGGTAACTAGAGCGTTCCGGTCCTCGTCGCGGTGCCGAGGTGCTCGAGGTCGTCGCGCGGCCGCCGTCACCGCTTGCTGCTCTCTGTCCGCAGACGTCAACGAGTGCGAGCGGATCCCCGGGCTGTGCCGCGGCGGCTCCTGCGTCAACACCCAGGGCAGCTACAAGTGCGAGTGCCCCCCGGGCCACGAGCTGGCGCCTAACCAGAAGTCCTGCAAAGGTAGACGAGCAAAAACGAGCCAAAAACACACTTGGCTTTGAAGAAGTACCGCGGTGTTTGAACCCATGCCTCCGGGCTTGCCTCCGGGCCCACAGACATAGACGAGTGCTCGCGGACAAGCGGCATCTGCTCGAACGGCGTGTGCGAGAACATGATGGGCACGTACCAGTGCGTGTGCGACGACGGCTACCAGCAGTCCGGCGCCCAGGGCTCCCACTGCGAGGACCTCAACGAGTGCGACAGCGGCAACGGCGGCTGCGAGGACATCTGCGTCAACTCGCCGGGCAGCTTCTCCTGCGCCTGCAGGTGTGGTGGGCCCGCCCTTGGCCCGTCAGGGGACTTGCGGCCGAACTGAGTTCCAGATTATCGGACCCACACCGAGCGCGACACGTGGGCCCGGAAAACTTGGAACTCAACTGTCTGCCCGTCTGTTGCAGCCCGGGCTTCACGCTGCAGGTGGACGGGCGCACCTGCAAGGACGTGGACGAGTGCAAGGAGAACAAGCGCGTCTGCAACGGCGGCCAGTGCACCAACACGCTGGGCTCCTTCTTCTGCACGTGCGGCGACGGGCTGCTGTCCGGGCCCGGCGGGGGGCCCTGCATCGGTAAACTAGGCTAGGACCAATCAAAACTTGGGCCCTTCATGAGTCCATTAATAAAGAATGGGGGTCAAAGTCCCCGCCGCGACAAGTCGTTGTGGAGCTGCCTCGGTAGCGGAAAGGAGGGGAGGCCAGAGGGGGCCAACGAGGTGAGGTCCCACATCCTGCAGCCCCCGCAGCCCAGTCCCCTTCCGCGGGGTGTAGTGTAGTGAGACGGCCCAACTTGGCACACTCTGGCCCGAGACGTTGAAAGCAAAAATACATCGCGGAAAAGCCATCCAACTTTCCCGGAGTCGCGAAGCGAACGGAGTCGCGGCGAGTCGTCATGGCGGCTATCCTCAAAGCCCCCAATACCCTGTCGAAAAGAAAACGTCTAAATATAAATCTGATAAAACGCCAAAAAAAAAGGGAATGAGTGAGAGTATTTGAACCGACGACCTTGGTTGCAGACGTGGACGAGTGCAAGGAGCGCGGCTCCGAGGCGTGCGGCCCGGGGTCGTGTTACAACACGCTGGGCTCGTACCAGTGCCAGTGCGAGGACGGCTACTCGGCCAAGGCGGGCGCGGGCGAGCAGTGCACCGACGACGACGAGTGCGAGCTGGCCGTGCACAACTGCGACGCCAACGCCGAGTGCGTCAACACGCCGGTCAGTTGTGGGCACTGCCTCCGTGCTCGGTACTTCGTGGGTGGGACGGGACCGTGGCCTGCCTTTGTCACCGCCGCCTCTTTCTCCAGGGCTCGCACTCCTGCCGCTGCAAAGACGGCTTCACCGGCAACGGGGTCACCTGCAGGGACGTCAACGAGTGCCTGACAAACAACGGGGGCTGCGACCAGAACGCTCAGTGCGTCAACACAGACGGCTCCTTCAAGGTACAGTCACCTTCAAACCGGGGGGTGGGCCCGGCCGGCTCGTCCTGGAGTAGTCCTGGAGTGGCTGCAATTCCGCTGCAGTGCCGTCTTCGTCTCAACCTGGAACGGCGCCAGAATAACGTTCCCTCCAGGCTGTCGTTCCGTTTCGAGGGATCGGGATTTATCCAGGCGGACGGACGGGACGCTTCCGCGAAGCTTTCGCTCCCTTGTTAATTTGACGCCGCGCGCACCTGCCGCCACGCCGTCGCGACGCTGCCGCGCCAATTCATTTTCATGAACCTGCCGGCGCCGCTGACGTCGCGTCTCTCTCCGCCCCGTCTCGCTCACAGCAAACACTTTGGCGCGTTCACATTTCGGCGGCCGTGGGTTCGGGGTCCGGGATTTCGGCCGGCAAACTGGCAGCGTGTTCGTAACTCTGTAAGGCGGAGGGTGGGAGGCTCCTCGGGGCTGTTTGCGGAGCGCAAGCGAGTGCTTATCGTGGTTTCGATTACACGTGGAACAAATAATAATCCAGATCGGCGAGCGCGGGCCCGGGCGGGGCCCGGGCGGGGCCTGGGCGGGGCTGGGAGGCCGCGTGTGCCGTGCGTGCCGTGTGGCCCTTGGGGGACTTGGGGCCACCGCTCTTGCCCCCGGCGCTCACCCACCCCCTGCCAACCTCCCCGCCCCAACCAGCCGCACCCACCCGCCCACATTCGCTCGCCCACATTCGCCATCCACCGCCTACGCTAATTCCACTCCTGAACGCACCATCGCTCTGACGAGCGGTATCCCACTTGAAATAAACCCACGAAAATGGCGTGCTTCATCGATTGCGCTAATTAATCGATTTGTCCTTTGTTCCCCGCAGTGCGTGTGCGACTCGGGCTTCCGCGGCGACGGCTACCAGTGCGTCGACATCGACGAGTGTGCCGAGGACGACAAGCTCTGCGAGAACGGCCACTGCCTCAACTACCCGGGCTCGTTCCGCTGCGAGTGCGAGATGGGCTTCGTGCACAAGGACGACCGCTTCCAGCAGACCTGCGTCGGTGCGTGGTTGGCAGGGCTGGGCCAGGGTTCCAGGTTCCAGGAAGTGAGGCACCCTGAGTGCAGCGGAAGCCACGGACGGAAACCCGATAGCTTCGCTTCAGACGGTGACGTGGGGCGGTTTGACCCGCTGGAAAATACTACCGCCGAATCAACGTCGCGTCTGTTTAAAAACATTCTCAATTGCTCTTTCCACGCTCGCCTCTTCTCTCTCTCTCTCTGCCAGCGCCACGCTGCACTGCACAAGCCCCCGACCCGCCCCGGGCACTCGGAGGGAGCAACTGTACAAAATACTTCTCCCGGCGGCGCGTTGGTGTTGTTGGGTTTTTTATGTTGTTGTCTGCTACTCTGTCCAACCGCCTGTGTTCCTCTCGTTGCAGACATCAACGAGTGTGAGAGCTTCAACAACCTGTGCGTGTTCGGCCGCTGCATCAACACCATCGGCATGTTCCAGTGCAAGTGCAACGAGGGCTACGAGCTGGACGACTCCAAGGGTGCGTCGCGTTCGCTCTCCTTTCCTATTTATTTAGTTCGTTCCATTATTTAACTGATGCTAGAAGTAGTGTAATATCCTCCTGCATAGGCACCACAATCTTTAACCTTCAGGATGGCCTTTAGTTTTGCGGAACCTAACCTCGGTCGTTCCCATGGGATGACCTGGGGGAACCAAAATGGCTGCAGTTGCCTTGGGGGTACCATACTACTGACCCGTTTTCCTTCTCACCCGCAGGCAACTGCACGGACATCAACGAGTGCGACAGCCCCGGGGCGTGCCTGTACGGGCTGTGCGTCAACACGCAGGGCAGCTTCGTGTGCCAGTGCCCGCCCAACTACGAGCTGGAGGGCAACGCCTGCATCGGTGAGGCGCGCGGCCGCGGCGGCCAGACACGGGGCAACAAAAAGGCTGCACTCCGGTCGCCACAGCGCGGCGGCGCTTTGTGCTGCGCTCTAATTCAAAGCCTCGTGGCGGCCGCACAAAAAAAAGACGTGGAATTACACGAGGCGTATTCGACAGCCTAATTGTGTTCGTTCCGCGGGAGGGAGAGCCAGTGACACAGAGCTCATATTTTGGGGCGCACTCGCTGCTCCACTCTGTGTCATGCCTGTGCCGGCCACCGCGCCCCACCCCGCCTCGCTACGCCCCGCCACGCCCTTGGCGTCCGCGAATAGTTGGCAATACAAACGCAAATGAGCGCGGACGCGACGGCGTGGAACGCCACGGATTCCAAATTCAGAGCGGAAGGGATTGGCGGGGCGGGGCGGGGCGGGTCGGAATGGGTGCGCGGCCCGCAATGGACTGGGACACTGCTGACTTATGAATACAGCGGTTGTAAAACAACGGGCTGAATCAATACAATGGGCCGGCATGTGTTTCCGCGGAATGGACTCCCACAGGCAGGCAGCCGAGTGGAGCGCGGCGGAGCGCGGAGCGGAGGGCAAAGGGCGGAGGGTGCAACCATGGTGCAGCAGACGACGCGGACCCCGATTGGAAGCAATCACCCCCTGGGAAACTGGGGCCCCCCACTTGCGGTTCCCCCTGGAGGGGGGCCTGGCGCGGCCTTTTTTTCTTTCGCGGAAAAATTATTTCTCTTTCTTTCGAAAAAAAAGCAGGAACGTTTGGATGCATGAAACGCCGCGACCAAAAAAAATTTGAAAATTCGGAACGGGCCCCCCCCCGGGCCCCGGGGGGCCCATTTTTTCTTTTTGGAAAGAAAACCCGGATTGGCTGCCGGGGGGGGTTTCCGAACAACCAAACCCCTGGTCCCCGAACCCGGTTAAAAAAGGGTGAAAAGCGCCCGGCGGCCCGGGCAGCCAACGCCCAAAAATTGGGCTTCGTTTTCCCCCCCCGCCTTAAATTTTTTTTAGCCGTCGGGTGGTTTGAGTCTCGGAGCTAGATCCGAGGGTCCCTTGCAAGGCCCCGGGGGAAACCACATTTTTTCAACTTTAAAATTTTGTCAAGCTTTCGGTTTTTTTAACACATTTAAAATTCCCCAGTCCGACCCTTTTTTCCTGCGTGCAAACGTCGGTTTTACCGATTTTCGGCTTTTTTTCCGCCCCACGTGAAAATTTTTTTTGGGAACAAAAGGGGAAAACGTCCATTTAAAAATTTATCTTTTGGTTTTGCCAAATTTCGGAACTGGGAGTAAGTCTGGGAAGTTTTTTCGCCGCAACCAAGTATGCGTTTCCATGGCCTGGGCCGCCGGGGGTCCAAGAAAAACCTTGGATCCGAACCTTTTGGACTCCCGGGCCGGAAAAAAGCAAAATTTTAATGGCAATTTGTTTCAAAAAAACGTTCCTTTTTTTGGGGTGAAAGGTACAGCTCCGGCCCCCATTTTGGCGAATTTGGGCCTTTAAAAGGGAATCGAAAAATCGGCCTAGCGGAAGGTTTTAAAAAACCCCCCCCCCCAGCTGTATCCACCGGGCTTTTTTACACAAAAAGAAAAAGGTTTCCGGGCGTGTTTTTGGCGCCGTTCCTTTTTCTTTTAATTTTTTTGGCGTTTTCCGAATTTAGCTGCCTGCCTTTTACCCCCAAAAAAAAAATTTTTTTGATCCCGGAGGACATCAACGAGTGCGACGACGTGCCCGGACTGTGCAAGGGCGGCCACTGCACCAACACGTTCGGCAGCTTCATCTGCTCGTGCCGCGACGGCTTCCGCCTCGACAACTCCACCATGGTGTGCGTGGACGTGGACGAGTGCCGCGAGAACCCCGGCCTGTGCGGCGTGGGCGCGTGCGAGAACGTGGCCGGGTCGTACCGCTGCATCTGCCCGGACGGCTTCGTCCTCCGGCCCGGCAGCCGTGAGTAGTCGCGGGTTCGTTTACCAGGAGCAGCGGTTCAATTTTTACTATGTACTGCTTTTTTGCATTTTTGTCAGAGGACTGCGTGGACACGCGCCGTGAGGAATGCTACACGTCGCTGGAGAACGGGCGCTGCTCGGCGCCCATGTCCAACCCCCAGACGCTGATGCTGTGCTGCTGCTCCATGGGCGCGGCGTGGGGCCGCGACTGCCAGCCCTGCCCCACGGCCAACACGCGTAAGGCACTCCCTGGGGGACCCCCTGGGGGACTCCGCCTGCTCCGCCCAAGTTGCAAACTTCATTTGGCCATTATTTCCGCTCCCCTCACTCACCGCGGCGCTGCGGCGCTGCTTCCTTGCTGCAGACGAGTACCACCAGCTCTGCGGCGTGATGAAGCCGGGCCAGCTGGTGGACCCCTGGACCAACAAGACGGAGGAGATCGACGAGTGCCGCCTGATGCCGCAGATGTGCAGCCACGGCGTGTGCCTCAACGTGCCGGGCAGCTTCGAGTGCCAGTGCCACCGCGGCTACGTCTACGACCTGGACTCGCACCAGTGCATCGGTGCGTGTGCTTCGCCGGCCGTGTGGCCTGGCTTGGCTTTGGGACCTGATGGGGGCCTGTGGGCCTCGAAGTGTAGGCCTCGGCGCGTGGCCGCCTGAGCCGCCCGAGATGCTAAGGGGCTTAGCGTCCCCTTCGAGTCCCCTTCCCCCTCCAGCGCCTCCAGCCGGGGACAACGGCGACCACGCCGTTCCGTTCAGACGGTCCAGACGGTTCCGACGAGCCTCCTCGCCGCCGGCGCGCCGCGGCCGGGACATTCCTGGAACGGCACATTTCCGATTCGGGGCGGAAATTGCACGCCGCGCCTCGGCCGCCTCGGCGACGCGGCGACGCGCCGAGAGGCGACGTCAACGCTGTCGGCCCTAATGAATTCATAGCCGGGCAAATTAATTGGACACACAGACGGGCGCGCGGACGGGCGCGCGAACGGGCGCGCGGACGGGCGGACACCTGACGAACAAGGCGGTGCGGCGAGGGGCTCTCGGCCGGCTGGCTGATTAGATCAGCCGACGGAAAATGGAACCGAACACAGCGTGGGGGACGGTGGGGGCGGCCCTTACCTCGCGCCGCGCCGCGCGCATTGCTTTGCGTTGCGAGGGATTCGTGTCGCTCTGTCGCTCCCCGCTTCGGGAGATGGATAATTTAAATTCAGCCGCGCTGCGGCAGAGGGAGAGAAAGAGAGGCAGACTCCCGCAGCCGCCACGGTTGATGGAGATGAGATGCCTGCGGTCCCTCACGCCGCTCGCGCAGAGCGTACTTTGAGAGTGTCTTTACAACCCGCCTCTCCACCGCAGACGACAACGAGTGCATCCGCTTCCCCAGCCCGTGCGAGGGCAACGCGCAGTGCATCAACACCCCGGGCAGCTTCCAGTGCCAGTGCTCGCCGGGGTACACCCTGGGCGTCAGCATGCGGGACTGCGAGGGTGAGTACCGGCAAGCCGCGCGGCAGGGTGACCACCAACTGAACTGTGCTTTTGACTTGGTGCTCGTGCTCCAGACATCGACGAGTGTGCCGAGCGGCCGGGCATCTGCCGCGACGGCACGTGCCACAACCTGCAGGGCAGCTTCCAGTGCCAGTGCCGCCAGGGCTTCCAGCTGAACGCGGCGCGGGACTCGTGCGTGGACGTGGACGAGTGCGCGCGCCAGCCCAGCCTCTGCGGCAACGGCACCTGCGTCAACAGCCTGGGCTCGTACCGCTGCCACTGCTACCCGGGCTTCAAGATCGGGCCCAACAACGACTGCATCGGTAAGGAAGGCCAGGCGATCCCCGCTTTCTTTTTGGCCGAGCGAGCGAGGGACTTGTTTTGCTGCTCCCGCTCTCGAACCCGCAGCACGACAAAGTGGATGGGGTGGATGGGCCGTGCCGTGGCCGCCACGCCGTGGTCCGTTGTGACGCGGCTGAGCCAGATCGGACCCCGACGGACATTATACAAATCTGCGTGCTGCGCACCTGGCGCCGGTCCGGGCGGCCCGTCGGCCTGCCCGCTGCCCTGCCCGCTGGTCTGGCAGTGCAGCTTAGCATGAATGATGGAAAGTGGCGCGCGGATCCAAATTTCCGCGCCGGCCCGTCCGTGGCCCGTGGGCTTGCCGGGCTTGCCGGGCTTGCCGGGCTGGTCCGAGGGCGAGCGGACGGAAGCGCGACCCTGCGGACGGACGGACCGATAGATTTAGTGTCAGGCCGGGAGGGCCACTGCCGGCCGGCCGGCCACTGCGACGCGTTGATCCCTTCATGACTGATTCATACTGGCACACTGGCACCGCGTTGTGCCGCTGCACAGCGTGGCGATTGGCCTCCCCCTCCCCTCCCCTTCCCCTTTTCATTCTTTCGTTGATTCGCATTCATTGATTCATTGCAGACACGGACGAGTGTCGCACGGCGCCCTTCCTGTGCCGCAACGGCCGGTGCCGCAACAGCATGGGCTCCTTCCACTGCGAGTGCGCGGACGGCTACACCCTGTCCGTGGACGGCCAGCACTGCAGGGACCTCGACGAGTGCAAGGAGGTAAAGGGTACGCGTGGACCGAATCGACCCAATCGTTCGAGAGCCACAGAGAGGATTCTCTTTCCGCGAAGGACACACCTCAAGCTCACACTCCAAGGAGTTCAAGCGAGGAGAAGTGTCCCATTTGAGTAGAGGAGGGCAACCTGCTCCACTCAACTGAGCTCAGTCTTTGCATGTTTAAGACAGCAGACTTTGGCCTTAAAAATTCGGCCCATCTGACGCGCATCATGTTTCCTTCTTCACGGCGCGTTACAGCAACCCGGCCTGTGCCCGCCGCCAGGGAAGTGCCTCAACCTGATGGGGTCCTTCCAGTGCACCTGCCCGCCCGGCTACCAGCTGGACTCCCGGAACCACGCCTGCGTGGGTGCGTAAGCAGCGTAAGCCGAGGCGTAAGCCGAGCACTGCGCCCTCTGCCGTTTTTTTTATTCCTCTGCTGACCTTTGCGACTGTCGCAGACGTGGACGAGTGCCTGTCCTCGTCCAACCTCTGCGAGGGCGGCACATGCGTGAACCGCGAGGGTGGCTTCGACTGCAAGTGCCCGCCGGGCTGGGAGCTCAGCCCCACCGAAGTCAAGTGCCTGGACCGCCGCCAGGACTACTGCTACGAGACGGCGTACCGGGGTAACCACTCACCCCTCCATTTGGCACCTGTTTTGTGCGAGCTTTTGCATTGTTTTTGTTGTGTTTTGAGTGCGCGTGTCGTGGCCCGCAGGAACCTGCGCGGAGCCCCGCATGAAGGCCATCACCATGAAGGAGTGCTGCTGCTCCATGGGCGCGGCGTGGGGTCGCGGCTGCCAGGACTGCCCCATCCCCGGCTCGGGTACGTCACTGATTCAAAGCCAAATTTCAGAGGATGCTGTGGAACACCATTGTGGAAACTTTCCAGAGGCGTGTCGACTGTTGCTGAAGCTCATCGTGTTTCCAGCGTTGATCCCATCCCTCGTCCGCCAGCTGTTGGCGAGCACCGTCTCGCTAATACGATATGTCCCTTTTCGGAGCAGCGCCCCCCCCCCCTTTTCCTCCCGGGTCGCGGGCGACGCGGGCTGCAGGTAGTAAAGCAGCGAGCCGCATGACACGGCGTAATATGCAGGGCGGCCCGCGCCCCGCCATCCCATCCCTCTGTCTCTCTTACCCTCATTATAGAGCCCTGCCTGGCAAAAACGCATCCGGGTGGACGGGGGCGACCGAGGGGGCGACGAGGGGCGGGAAGGGGAAGGGGAGTCTGATTTATTAGCTGCGACGCGCTCCGGGCGTGAGGCACGAGGGGCGCCCCCGGTGCCCGCAGTCATTCATACTCAATCACCTGGTTACGGGGTCAGCGACGACCTGCACGCTCATTCCGAGCGGTCTCTCTCGCACTCGCGCGGAGAGACGCGGCGACGAGGCCGGGTTGGAATCGGCCCGCAGCGAGCTCACACGCGCACTCTCATCTCTTCGGCCTCGAGGGTGCGTCGCCCTGCGCGTCCGCCACACACCTGTCGACAAGAATGGCAGCAGCATCCATCATCCGCAGCCTCTCTTAAATTTTTAAGTGCACTGGTTTGACAGTAACTGGTTGGTCAAGAAACCGCTGAGAACCTGTGCGGCCCGAAATGGCATACGATCATGTGTGGTCTAGCCCTTAATGGTAATGGCAATGGAGGAGTAGGCAGCCACCGCTGTGCAGCGCACGCGTGTTTGGCGGGTTGCCTACCCTGCGCTCGCAAGGCGCGCTGCGGGCAGTTGTGGTCTAGCCCGTAATGGTAATGGTAATGGTGAGGTAGGCAGCCACCGCTGTGCACCACACGCGTGCTTGGCGGGCTGCCTACCCTGCGTTCGTAAGGCGCTCTCGGTCCCGGCCTTCCCCTGACCGCGCGTTGGTTTCCACCTTCCAGACGAGTTCCGGCGGCTGTGCCCGATGGGCGAGGGCCACGGCGACCACGGCGAGGACCTCAACGAGTGCGCCATGATGCCGGACGCGTGCGTGGGCGGCGAGTGCGTCAACACGGACGGGTCCTTCCGCTGCGAGTGTCCGCAGGGCTACCGCCTGGACGGCTCAGGCAAGAAGTGTGTCGGTGAGTACAACCAGCAAGGACCTATTCTAGGGATCTGTTTTATCGGATCCAAAAAAAAGGATTACCTTCATAATTGCGCGGTTTGCGTCTCTCCCGGGAAGCGAGTGCAGCACGCTCTGCTACGCTCACGAAAACAAGTCCGCCGGGGCACTCGCTCGGAGGAGAGAGAGGAGAGTGCTCTAGTTACCGATATCGGCTTTTCCTCGGGCCGCATCTCGCATCGCGCAGCATCGCGTAGCGAGGAGCCGGGCGGCCCGGCATGAGGAAATAGGCAACAGGAAACACCGCGGTGCAAGGACGTTCGGAACCAGCGAAAGCAATTTCGAGGGGGGCTGCGCCGAACCATCCAAAGGCCTTGTTTTTCTTGCGAGCCGTGCCGAGCCGAGCCGTGCCGAGCCGCAGCTGAGTTATGAATGATGAGCAGCCGCCTTTGGCCGCCTTCGGCCCCTTTCCATCGCTAGCCATCCGGGGCGCGCTGCGCGCTCGCTCGCTCGCTTTTTACTCTTTACTCATTTCGTTATAAATGATGAAACAAAGACTGGGCGCGGCACTCGGCGCTGGCGCTTCAGGTTTCCTTTTATATCGACTGCAGCATAACACAGCGGACCTGGTGGTGGTGGTGGTGGGGGTGGGGGCGCGGTAGTCCGAGAGAGAACTGTGTGCCTTCCTTCTTCTGTTTCCTGTCATTCTAACCCTTGTTTTCCCTTTGCTCTGTTCTATCCCCAGATGATAATGAGTGCTTGACGCAAAGCGGCATTTGTGGCAATGGTACGTGCACGAACGTGGAGGGTAGCTTCGAGTGCTCGTGCAACGACGGTTTTGCGCCGGGCCCCATGCAGGTACGACACGCCGCAAAAAAGATTAAAAATGGAAAAGAAAACGGGGGGAGGGGGAAGGGTGTTTTAATGTGTGCGTTGGCAGGTCTGTGAGGACGTGAACGAGTGCCGCGAGATGGGCAACCAGTGCGCCTTCCGCTGCCACAACGTGCCGGGCTCCTTCCGCTGCTTCTGCCCCTACGGCTACGCGCTCGCGCCCGACGGCCGGCACTGCGAAGGTGCGTCAGCGCGTCAGCGCGTCAGCCACTGCTTCTTACTTTTCCTGTGTTTTGTTTTGCTTTTCCCGCCCTTCTACTTTGTGCTCGTCCTTTTGGCCGCCTCGGCCGCCTCGGCAGTGACACTCATTCCGACTCTCCCTTCCCGCAGACGTGGACGAGTGCGCCACGCCAGCCAACAACTGCAAGTACCAGTGCAAGAACCTGATCGGCACCTTCATGTGCATCTGCCCGGAGGGGTACACTCAGGTAGGGGGCGTCGCGTGCAGTGGCGTGTCGCCGCCGTGCGCGCGGCTGGAGGGATGTTCTCTGTCCTCACCCGCTTTGCCGCGCTTTGCTGTACCCAGGTGGGCTCCTCGGACGACTGCCGCGACGTGGACGAGTGCGCCACCAAGCCCGGCCTGTGCAGCAACGGCAACTGCGTCAACCTGCAGGGCTCGTACCGCTGCGACTGCGCCGAGGGCTACCGCCGCAGTCCGGACGGCAAGTCTTGTCTGGGTGAGTCATCCGAATGTTTGAACTGTGCGGTTTGTCCCCGACGTCCCCGACGCGCGTCATTGCCTGAGACTTGCCTCGTTTTCGTTCCCAGACGTGAGGCTGGGCTACTGCTTCAAGCAGCTGGTCGGCGGCCAGTGCTCCTCGCGCACCGACAGCCTCATGCCCGTCACCAAGATGGACTGCTGCTGCACCATCGGCGCGGCGTGGGGCCCGCAGTGCGAGCCCTGCCCGTCGAGGGCCTCACACGACTACGAGGCCCTGTGCCTCGACACGGGCATCACCAAGGACGGCCAAGGTTGGTGCTCTCAAAAAGAAAAAACAAGTACACCATTTCTTGAATCATGACACAAAACGCACTTTGCTGCTTGGTTCCCAGACATCGACGAGTGCGCCACCATCCCGGACCTCTGCAGGCACGGCAAGTGCATCAACACCATGGGGTCCTACCGCTGCATGTGCAACAAGGGCTACAAGCCAGACCACAATGGCAACAACTGCATCGGTTCGTAGTTCGTCTTGACGGTGGCTCGCCGTCCGGAGACTCGCCCCCGCCCCGACTGACACACTGCTTCCCCATCCTACAGACGTGAACGAGTGCGCCGAGTCGCCGTCGCCGTGCCAGTTCTCGTGCCAGAACACGGACGGCAGCTACACGTGCGGCTGCGCGCAGGGCTACGTGCTGGCCGCGGACCGGGCCACGTGCGTGGACCTGGACGAGTGCGCCACGGGGCAGCACCGCTGCCAGAGCGAGTGCACCAACACGCCGGGCAGCTACACGTGCTCGTGCCCCAAGGGCTTCACCAGCGAGGGCGACGCCTGCATCGACGTGGACGAGTGCGACGACCAGGACGTGTGCCCGTCGCCCGGCACCTGCATCAACACGCGCGGCAGCTTCAAGTGCATGTGCCCGCGCGGCTACAAGCTGGACCCCGCCGGCACGCGCTGCACCGACAAGGACGAGTGCGCCGACGACTCCAAGTGCGAGCACGGCTGTCAGGTGGGACAACCCCTCGATGGGCCTGCTGGGCAGCGGCCTGGGACAGAGCAGAGTGTACTGACTTTGGTGTTGGCATGTTGGTAGAACCTGATCGGTAGCTACCGATGCCGGTGTCCTGAGGGCTTCGTGCCGCACCCCTTCTTCAACGACTGCGTGGACGAGAACGAGTGCTCCTCCGGCACCAGCCCCTGCGGCAGCGGCAGCTGCGTCAACACCATGGGCAGCTACCGGTGCGGCTGCCCCGACGGCTACCAGTACGACAGCGGCATGGCCGTGTGCCTACAGGTAATCCGATGTCATTCCCTTACACTAATTCGACTCCCATCTTTTCTCTCTCTTTACGTATGCACTTTTGTTTTTACAGGCCGCTACTGCGTGTCTTGGAAGCCCTTGTTCATTTGGGTGCTCCCCCATGGGCAATGCAGGCTTTGCGTGCGGTTGTCCCGTGGGTTATCAGAGTATTGGGCAGGTAGGTCACCGGTTTCTGTTTTTTTAATGGTGTTTTTTTTCTTGGGGGGAGGGGGAGGGGGGGATTGAAAGCTTTTGTTTCTGTACATCATTATATAAAAACCTCCATTTCAGGGACACTGCCTCTCCAGTATTAGCCCGCTGGGCTCACACATTCCTGATCTGGGTGTTCCCACCTACCCTATCGATCCTGCAAGCGATCCTTATCAAGTACCTCATGAAAAGTTGATTTCCACAGAGGGATGCTTTTCTTGCAAGGTAAATCACTTTTATCTTGAATTGCTTCTATTTAATTTTGTCATTAACTATGTGCACCTTAGTAATATCCTTAACCCTTTTCATGTGCAGAATGGTAGAGGGAGACATCGAAGATCAGCTAAAGACAGTGAGGCCCACAAGAAAAATGTTACTCTTGCGGCCCACAGATTTTTCTGGCAGGAAAGAGTGAACCAAGAAGTAAATATCTTACCGTTTTTTGTGTTATTTTAAAAGGTTTATGAATTAGGTAAATTCACATTCTTTTTATTTTCAGTCATTGCTACCTGTTACTAGAGCAAGACGACACCAGCATGGTGTGGCCGAGTTCCGTGAAATAAAAATAAACCTAGCCCAGACTAAACATAGGATGAGATTAGTCAAATTACAGCCAGCTGTGAAGGTGAGTGTGATAAACAAAATCAACCCCAGTAAATCCAGTAAATTTTTTTCCACTTGAAATCTATGTCATTATTTCTTTTGCAGAATGATTTTATGTATGTAATTAAGCATGGAAATGAAGATGGTGTATTTGAACTCATCCGCAAACATGGAGTATGGGCTCTTCATTTTAGACATCGGCTCAAGTCTCCTGGAACCTTCCACTTGGAAGTAGAGGGAAGGCCATTAATTGCACAGCAGAACAGGGAATGGGAGAAACCTTTGGCATTACGGCTTAAAATTGTTGTTGAGCCTTAAAATATAAATGTGCTTGTTTTGTATGATATATGTGTCAGTGAGAACAAATAATTTCCTTATGATTCCGGACTGCCACCTACGAGCCAACCGGGGCTCATACGAGAAAGTGGTGTGGATTTGTGATTTGTTGTGAGTAGTTGTGTGGAGGATGAGAGACAATAAAATGGAAGAAAAAGCCAAAGGTTATTCAATTGGACAAAATTTAGGGGTTGAATCTCTGACCAGGGCTTCTCTTATGGAAAAAGTTAACTAGTTAAGCCCACTTGTTTGATGTGTTCATTGATGAAATAAAAGAATTTGCAGAGTTGTGAACAGTTGGCTAGGGGTTTCATATTTTGGTACGGAAAAGAAATAAAATAGAAGCCAACAGTGACTTTAACAATAAAAATAAACTTTATATTGAATCATTGTTTACAGGTAAATAAACCTTAATACCATAAACAGATTTCAGGGCAGTCAACAATAGTATGAAAACTTTGCACATTAATCAACAAAGATTACTCACATACAAGCAACAATTTTAAATATTTTTTGGTCATTACAATGTGTATTTCCTTAAAGACCATTTAATTAGTGAGCACATTTTTGTAGTCCCTGTTTTCAGCATTAGTGTGTTATTACGAGCAGAAAACAAAGCAAACAAGTTCTTGAGCAATATACCCTTCAACAATTTCCAAAGATGACTATTATGCTGTTTTTCACTTATGATAATCAGAAGAATTCTTATCACTCAGACAAATTTGCATCTAAATTTTAACAAACTTATGAATACTGAAAGTAGCCCTTCTTTACAAGCAACTTGTCAAAGAGAGAGCTGAGAGAGAAAAATGGAACCATTTATGAAATAGTTGGTGAAATCTAATAAATCGTCAAAAGATGGAAAAGAATAGACTAGAATAACTGAAAGCAGGTGACAAACAGTGACAAACATATGACAAATCACTATATGATTGATAATAAGTCTTGTAAAAAAAACGCCTTCATGTAAAATAAGACATTTCATGCAGTGACAGGTATTCTGCAAGTAACACAGTGCAACACCAGGAAAGTAGTGAGTTCATAGAACATTCGAATGGAATGTTGTTGGTTTGACAGCACCATTCAGTATCACATTTTACATTTATAAAGTCTATGAACAGGTTGAAAAAGAATACAACTAGATACAATACATCCTGAACTGTAAACTTACTCCAATAATCATTCATTTATAACGAGCAAATCAATTCTGAACAGAAAATATGGCATACAAACATTTAAATACTCTCAAATGAAAATTCCCAGAAAATGACAGGCAGAAATTATGCTATTAGAGGGGTATAACCCTTTAACCAATCGACCTTCAAGAAATTTACCATTTCACTTTTAAGAACAATTGGCACAATATTATGACAAAAATTACATGTATCATACTTGAATCTTAAGACTACTTGGAGCACATTCGACCCAGGGTTCCCCACAAATAAAACTTAAATGACAAAAACAAAGAAGAGCAAAGGTTTTACACATCATTTCTTACATGTAAGTCTTTTAAGAACTCAAAATTCTGAGATGGCACTTGTATACTCTTGCTGTAATACTGAAATGATCAAATCAACAAGGAAAAAGTGAGCAATTAATTTTCTTCTAAGGATCAGTTACTGTTATTTCAATAGGTGGTATTAACTTCCAAGTGTGGGCAGGAAGAGAATTGCCAACATCTCCAGACGGCACCACACTCACAGGTCTTGCTTGAGAAGAGCATTGGATGTCTATTTTGTATAATCCAGGCATGAAGAAAACTACATTACATTCGTGATAAACACTACCTTGGTCATCCAGCTGGAACAGAACATACACAATAATAGATCATACAGAGAAACAAGATATTCTCAAGCTATGATTATTCTATTCTTTCTTTCTTTTACCTGCGCCAAAAGTACATTAGAGGCTCCAGCTACCGCCAATTGTGAATCGAGCCTGTAATTTCTAACACCACTCTGATATTCTTGGAAGAATTTTAAGGCAAGAGCAACATTATTAAGTGGCCAGTCTAAAAAGTTTTGCACAGTAACACCAAGCTGCATACATTGACCCACAACACACGTCAACTCCGAAAGTGGTTTAGCAACTTCTTTGTTTAAGAGTACTTCTGCAAAAGCAAAAAGAAAATATTTTGGTAAAGATAATGTCACGCATTGACAATTAAGTATTCACATTTTTGGGCCTTACCCCACTGTAATGGTGACATCCTCACTATATCTAACATATCAGCAGTGAGGGATAGTCCGCGCAGTGAAGCCTTCCCACTTCTTGAACTAACTGGCAACACCCATTTCAAATCAACAAGTGAAGCTATGTGATCACTACAGATTATATCCAATTCTGCCTTTTCAATGTCAGACAACTCAATATTTTGATACAGCTGAAAAATCAGAAAAATATTATTTGCTTTGTTTCAGATGCTCTTCTAATGCTAATTTTAATAACTCACAGCATACCGCAAATACCTTTGACAATTTGGAGAGAGGACAACGTTCAACTGGCACTGCAATGCGACACTCTTCATTTCCCTCAAAAAGCATAACCTTTCCATCAGCATAATGGAGTTCAAGTTCCCCAAGTGTTTTATTGGTCACATCAAGAACAAGGTAAAATTGAGAACTCCTGCAAAAGAAAAAAAACAACCAACATTTGAACAATGCAGCAGTTAATGTAGCTACTGACTACAAAATAAATATACATACGTTTCTGCTGGAAGAACGTCCCAACTAGTAATAAGAATAGAAGGCAAAATTTCAAGAGAGAGTGACACGGATGTAACTCGACAGTAACCAGCTTCTAAACCTGGCCCTCCAGAATATCTTAATTTAAGCTGACAGTCAATAACCTATAAAATATACAAAGACACTGCCAGATTACCTAAGAAATTATAAAATGAACATGGGGAAAGAAAATTATTGCTTTTCTCATGAGCCACTAAGAAATTAATTTACCTTAGGGGCAGAGGGATCATAGACTTTGGAATGAAGTCGCGATGAGCCAACACTGCTTCCTGAGCGACTACTAATTTGAGAGCGAAATGACCCAGAAGATAATCCATTATGATGTGGATAACGTGAAGGAGCCGATGAGGTCAGTGAGCTTAGACGGGACGGAAGGGAGCTAGGTCCTGACAGCAAACTACTAGGTTGACTTCCTCCATCAATCACTGTACAAAAAAATTAACAATGTTAAACATTAAACAACACTAAAACATTACACAATGAACAAAAACGAAAACAATTGACATTTGAAGCTTAAGGATGGTTGAAGCAGACTTACAATCATTACGGGGAGGAGCAATGAACTCTGCACACCCATGAAGATACAAAGTAAAACTTGCTGACGCCCCAGGAGGAAGAGGCAATTGAGCTTGAATGTTATCTGCACTCCATTGTAACACTTGTCGAAGCTGACTTGGATCTAACACGCACTGAGCTGTTATTTCTAGCATTTCAATAGGCTGGGTTCCTGAATTGATTATTGTAACTTGACACTCATCACTGTAACAAATAAAGATTCCAAACTTAGACAATGACAAAAGAAGAAACACAATTACACTTTAAAGAAATTCTATTTACGACCTTTCGCCAGCATATAGAGATTTAGAGACTGATGTTATTGAGGCAGATGCATCAGCATGAGGGACTTGCAAGTTGCTCTTCTGCACAGGTAACGATACCTAAAAAGGGAAGAGAAAATTATGTGAGTAGACCTAGACAACAGGAAAAAGTTCCAACAAGGAAACAAAAATCTCACCTCCATACGAGGCAAAGCTGGGACAACCTCAACAGAAAATGACGGTTGAGGCATATGAGGCATATGACGAAGCTGGCAGTTCGACTTGACTCCAAGGGTATGAGTGGAGTATCCTAAAAATTTCATGATTAGATTAAACAAAAACATTCACTGTACACCCACATATTTTTTAAATCTTTTAAACCATACCTTGAATTTCCAAATCTCCTACTTCTTTTGGAACACCAGCTAACACAATGGAGTTAGGGCCTGAGTCTGGGGGAAGGACGATTGAAGATGGAATACTTTCAAACACAACGTCACTAGCCAATAATCTCTATAAAGGGAAGAAAATACAAGATTTAGTTTGGTGACTTCAAAAACACAACATGAACAAATTCTTGAATGAGTACAAACCATATTAGACACTTTTAGTTCAAACGGGAGTGGATTGTAAACATCTAAGAGAACTTCACACATATCACCTTCCACCCACAAATAATCTGAAAAAATACAGTAGATTTTAGTAAAACTTGTAAACAGTTTGAAAAAAAAAAAAAAACTTAATTCCTGAAGATTACTAACCCATTTTCCCTTGAGATTTTGTGCTTTTGCGATCAAGTGATCCAAATGAGATAGGGGTGTACAAAAATGGACCAATATCCTCCTTTATCTTCTCCAATTTCTGGGGCCTGAGATGTAAGGGTAGATCTTGAAGTCGAAAGTTCCTTGGCAAGGAAAAAGTAATGATTAAAAAGAGTTCAGTTTAAGCTCCCAGCTCCCACAATTTCTTCAGCCTCAGTTCATGTAGCTTGTAACCTACTTTGCCTTAGGAATATTAGTAAGATTAGCAGGAGGGATCACTGCACGTGTATCCAGGACCAAAGGAACAGGGGCACCTTCACATTCAGCAGCAAGCTTTTGAAGCTGCTTTGCCAAGTCCCGCTGCTCGGTCGGATTGAGAAAATGCCACATCGTCTGAAGCAGGAAAGTCATGTGTCGTGTAGCCAGAGCTGAGTGACCCATTCTCCGGGCTGCAACAACCAACTGCTGCAGGAGGTGTATTTGCAGAGCCGGCCAACCCTCAGCAGCACCACCTGAAACAATGATAGAAGCACAAGGTCACTGCTGCCTGTCAAACAAGAAAAGGAATCTGCAAGAAATTTAAGGCAATAAGTGACCTGAAGTACGTTCAGTAGGGTCAAGTGACAATCTATGTCCATCTAAAGCTTGAAGCATAAGATTATAACACTGAGTCCAATCTGGTTGTCTGTTCTGATCAGACACATGCCTAGTAGCAGCAAGTCTCCTACATAATGAGGCTTTCCGGTGGAAGCCCATCTGAGTGTACAGCTCTGACAGGCTTAAAAACCTCTGAATCTGAAACAAACAGTTGTAAATTTCTCTCGGAAAGTGAAAAATGTTGGGAGATAAATTAAATAATAATAACTTCTTACCTTTTCTTGCTCTGTCAAAGTTAAATTGATAAGAACAACATTTTTCAGGAAGGAAGCAGCCTGTAATGGACATCCTTGTTGGATTGCTATTTGAGCAGCCTTAAAACATGCTTCAGTCTCGATCAATCCTGCACTTTGATACTGTGCAAAAATAATGTGGGGATTTCAAAAAAAAAATGTCAATGAAGCAACAAAGATAATAAAAGTAAATTTTTAAAATTATTTATTCAAACCTTGGCATAATTTTGAATTGCCTCTTGATATCGTCTGAGAATACCCTCTGGGGAGAGAGCTTTTGCTGCATCTTCAACAGCAATTGGAGCAGGTGTTAAGGACCCTGGAGGCAAGGAACTTGGTCCAATAGATCCAGGCCTGAATAATTGTGAAAAATTCAAACGTCAGTTGAAGTCAATGCTTTTTACATTAGTCATATCCAAGAAAACACAAGGCTGGTCATACCTTCGCTTTCCAGGGCTCGGTGGTAGAGATGCATTGCGTTGAATGGGAAAAGTTCTCCAGCGTCCTGGGTAAAGCACAACTACTGACGCTGCACACAAACCTTCAGAAGCTCCTAAACGGGAGATAAAGATTTGAAAGATTATTATTAGCTAAGTCACTTCGGAACCATTCACATTACTTCTATTGCCTCTGAAAAAACAGAAAGGAACAAGCAACACTTACCCCCAAGCCACAACCAGTCATTCACAGAACGTAAATTATCAATTGCCAAAATATAATGTTGTAACGCTTCATGAGGAACACCTGCTTGAAGGCTCAAATCTCCAAGGTGTTTGATCATTCGGCCCGTGCACTTCTTCCTGTTTGTTCTTGACTCCAAGTCCAGACCAACTATGTCTTTTCTTTCGAAAGGTGCCAAGAGCAATGGAACCCGATCCAGTTTTTCACGGCTTCTTTCCTAAGATGAAAAACACAAAAATAGACATGAATTTCTTTTAAATTTTATTTGAAGAATCAAGATTTAAATTAAATCCACACAATAGAGCTCCAATTATTATTTTTTCAAGGTGTAGTTAGAGCAAGAGCCTCATAGATCATGCTATACTTTTGTATTAGCGACTTTAAACTTTCCATAAATTATGAGATACATGAAATACAATCCAAAATGAACATGGCACACATGAATCTATAACTAAAACAAATATAAATGATGGGACAAGCGTCAAGGACATGATAAGGCAAAACAGCAAATGTAACTGAAACACAGGCAGGTTAGCATTCTGGAGATGAACAAACAAGCGGCACTCTTCACTATTCGGACTGTTAAAAACAGAAAATGAAGGGAGAAACATGACATCTTGTTGCATGGTGCATTATGCTTACACCACAAAAGCCAAGTTGGATTGGGGTGAAAGCATTATTAAAGGGCCAGAACAACCGGAACCCTAAAGTGTTTAGGAAGCATGAGGAAATGGTTGCACACATCAATGAGAAAAAGCAAATGCAAGGCTGAAACAGCAGTCTCATTCAGCATGAGCATGCTAAGCCCAAGACTGTGTCAGGACCTGAGAATGAGAACGATGAATCCGCGACAGAGGTGAGACACCAGAAAATAGCTGGAAGTAAAACAGGGAATGATAGATTAATTTTATGACACAATGAGCGGTGGTTGAAAGAAACTGAAACCTTAAAAATCAGCTTAGCAAATAGATTTTAGGTAAATCCATAAGATGTTCACAAATTAGAGAATGGACAAGATTAGTAGTGCTACCAGGCTCAAGAATCAAAACATAAAATGTTTTCATACAAAAGAAGCATTAATATCACTAAGTAATCTATCTATTTTTAGGGGGCCAAACTGGAATTTCTACTGAAATTGTCTTTAAAAGTTTCCTTTAAAATAGAAATTTGACAACATTTTGAGGGATGAGTTATAAATTAATGGTTAACAATGGTTAAGAAAACTCAGGTCGCACTATCATCACACATTATGCAGCACTCATAAACCACCTGGCTGAAAAACTGTGTTCCATTTAGATGTCTTGCACCTTCTTGCAGCATGGATGAATCTGCCAGCAGCTGGTTATGATTATATGAACAAGAGATGATAATTGGAGGAAACAATAAACTTTACACAAGCGTCCAAATTAAATCTAGAAAAAGAAACAAAGAGAAAACATTTGCTTGCTCACCTGTCGTTTAGATTCTAAAACCCAAAAGAGGGAGTTCAAGAGTTCAGAAACCTGGGACTCAAGATCTGTGCACGAGTCAACATCAGTGTACCAAAGAGGCAAGGATTTAAAGTTGGAAGGTGTTTTGAGCTGATCATCCTCAACACCAAATAGAATACAACGTGAATCATAAAGTGTGGATGTATATCGTACTTTAAGAGACTCATGAACCCTACAAATTTCATTCAAGTCTATTTGAGACTCATATTGACCTGCAGAACAACAATATTTGATAAAAAGTGAATTTGATGAGTTTGGTCATACAAGGTATTTATGAGGCACTGACCAACTGTTATAAGGCCCAATAGTCTTCGATGAGTTTGGAAATCACCCCAGTCATTACTTTCAACGGGGTACTCCTTGACGTATTTCACATAAACCTGTCGGGTAACTCCAGCTGAATCTGTCACCTTGGTGTGATTGACCCTTCTGATTTTATCCCAAACTTTTATAAATGATTTGGATTTTAGTAATCCCTCTGTAAAGAAAAGGAGCAGAATTTTAGGGCACACATAGATCAATACCAACTGTACCAAAAGTACTAAGCAAACCCATAATAAATCTAGACGAACCTTGATGGTGATGAACCAGGATCAATATTGACGCATGATCTTGAGCAATTTGATCATAATCTGGATGAGACATTCTGGTGTCAGGAGCAGGGCTGGATAAAATTACACTCACTGATGATCTCATTGGTGCAGGTGTAATAACTGAAGCAGAAAAAATACAAAGTCAGTTGCAGTGCAGAAGACGACTGCCCGGGAGATGACAGAGGGCAAGAACGCTCCAGTCAAATGGTGTATTCCAAAACTTTATCAAATAACACCTAAGAGAAACAAAGCAGAATGAATGCAGGAACTGTCAAAAACAATATGAAATGAAATCTAGGTCTCCAGCCGTAGGTAAACAAGAGCTTCATCTATTTTGGGTAATTCTATGGAGTGCATCAAAAGCTTCCATTCGAAATCACTACAACCAATAATCATTGAAAACAACTTCAATGAATCATATATTGAAGAAATTAAAAGAAACATTGTAACGGAGGGGCAGTGACGTTACGCACTTCTGAGTTTTACACACGTCATTTGATACAAATATGATTAGAAATGAAGTTTATGAAATAAGTCCCATTAGTCAACATTTAGAAGACGGGTCTTACCATCATGTAAATAAAATGACAATAATTCACAGGGATAGCCGACATCTAAACAACGGCCAAAGGTTTGGAGGTTATTGTTTTCCTCTGCTTTTGAAGTTGAGTGTCCTTCGGCTGCAATTATTATCTTGCGTATGAAAAATCTCACGCTGCGCAATTCGAGCTGCCTGCCCGCGCCCACCTTCGGTTCGGCTCACCCCCATGGTGCTCGGCGCAAGACGTTTGGATCCAAACCTAATTTATCGGATTGTTTTGGGTCTTTAGCTAAATTCTGATGATTTCTGGGACCTACACTACTCGCGAGGAATTGGGCCGCTGGTTAGCGCCCGGCGCGTAGGCAACACCAAAGACACAAGACGCCAAGTGATTGCCTAACCACCGGGCGCCCTCACGCAGCTACCTTCCATTTATGTTCAGTAAATCCAAACAATGCATAGAAGTGCCTTAGAGGAACAGTTAAATTGATTGCTTAAGATATATCTTTCTGCACTTTCCACTTCTTTCTACTTTCACGCGGTGCCGCGTAGTGCCGCGGTGCTTCAAATGACTATGCGAAATCGTGTGGTACTTTCAGGCGCGGGAGAATTCAATTATCTGCCTGTCAGTGTCTTTAAATCGTGATTTCTCTGTTCCGATGTACGTGAGTCTTTGGTTTTGGTGGGGAATCGTTTCCAGTAAAGCTGCCCCTTGGCCTGTTCGGCTTGTATCATTTCATTTTATCTTCCAGACTTTTTCTCTAGAAGGTTGTGTGTGGCACTTCCGACTAGCGGCAGAGGGGGGGGGGGGGGGGGGGGGAGAAAAGAGTTGAAAGTGAAAAAGCACTCAGTAAAATGGCGACGTCCAAATCGACAAGCACCTACAACAGACAAAATTGGGAAGATGCCGTAAGTAATTTTTCACTCTTTTGTCGTCACGTGGCTGTTTTCATCTTCTACTCGACATCTTTCCTGGTGATGAGTTAGAGGTCTAATATTCTTAGCGAAAAGCCCCCTTCATGATTCACGTACAGGCTGGTTTCCACTTGCAGTTCGTTTTCAAAGCGTTTTCTTTGCCAATTAGTTGTGTTGAGTTAATCTGACGCCTCCTTCCCACTAATCATTTTTAATTTTCGCCAATCATAAAGCCCATAAAGCCTCTAAGTTGCGTATTTCTCTCGTATCGTGTTGGCCTTGGAGGTTATGCTGTTGTTGTGTTGTGTTCTCAGTGGTTTATTTTACAATCCTTTCTTTTCAACTCCCCCCTTCCTCTCGTAGTGTTTCTGAGATGTTATTATAATTATTTTGACCTGTCCACAGGAATTCCCAATTCTTTGTCAGACCTGTTTGGGTGACAACCCCTACATTCGGATGGTGAGACATTAATATTTTCCTCCGATTAGTTTTATCGCTCCATATTGGCGCTCAAAGACTATTGTAAATTGTTATTTTTAAAACCTTTCTTTTCAACTCCTCATTTCAGACAAAGGATAAATATGGAAAGGAATGCAAAATTTGCTCCAGGCCTTTCACAGTCTTCCGATGGTGTCCTGGAGCAAGAATGCGGTTTAAGAAAACGGAAGTTTGCCAGACCTGTAGTCGCTTGAAGAATGTGTGTCAAACATGCCTTCTAGATTTGGAGTATGGTCTGCCTATTCAAGTCAGAGATGCTGCTCTCCGTGTCAAAGATGACCTTCCTCGTTCAGAAGTTAACAAGGAATACTATATCCAAAATATGGATAGAGAGGTAATAGTTCTTTCTTAATGTCTTTTGCTATCTGTAACTTCTGTGACCGCATTATCTGAATAGCAGTTACTAATCTCTTCATCATTCCTTCTGTAGGGTGGAAAGTTGGACGTGACATCACCAACTGGGGCAGTTGGCAAATCGCAAGCAGCCAGTGATCTTCTTATGAAGTTGGCTCGCACAAGCCCTTATTACAAACGAAACCGACCTCACATCTGTTCATTCTGGGTCAAAGGAGAGTGTAAACGAGGTGAAGAATGCCCTTATCGGCATGAAAAGCCTACTGATCCAGATGATCCATTAGCAGATCAGAATATCAAAGACAGGTAAGATGCTTTCTCATGCTGGTTATACTATTTGATCTGCCATTTCGGATGGGAAAATTTTAAATTTACCTCTTGTGACCATTTGTATTTCAGGTACTATGGTACAAATGACCCTGTTGCTGACAAGTTAATGAGACGAGCTGACTCCATGCCCAAACTGGAGCCTCCAGAAGATAGAAGTATCACAACGCTTTACATTGGCAATTTAGGAGAGAAACTTGGAGAAAAGGAGCTGCGGGATCATTTCTATCAGTATGGTGAAATTCGTGCCATCACTGTGGTGAGCCGGCAGCAGTGTGCCTTTGTGCAATTTACACAGCGTCAGTCAGCGGAGCAGGCGGCAGAGAGGACTTTCAACAAGCTGATCCTCGGCGGCAGGAGGCTGACAATAAAGTGGGGACGGTCCCAGGGCCGCCAGGGCGTCGAGGGCGGCGACCTGGGCGATGATGACGAGATGCTGGAACCTGTGCCAGGCCTGCCCGGAACTTTGCCTCCACCCCCGACTGACATGCGCAACAACTTCTTCAACCTTGCAACGCCATCAGCAGCTGCGTCCTCTGAGGCCAGCCTGATGCAGCCGATGATGATTCCACCCCCGCCCATGGCTCCGATGGGCCGGCCGCCACCGGGCCTCGTCCCCGGCGGTCCTCCCCCACTGATGCAGGCCCAGGCCCCACCGGGAGCCGCTCCTGGCCCCCCAGCACCGCCCAGTCTGAGGGGCACCACTCCATTCTACTTCCCTCAAATCATGAGGCCTCCGCCCGGGGTGCGGCCGCCTCACCCGCCCCCCATGTTCCCGCCAGGCACTGCTCCCATGTTCCCTCGCTCTGTGGGTGGAGCGGCCGGCCTGGTGCCGCCCGGCACGAACGCCATTCATTACCCCTCACAGGATCCCTCGAGGATGGGAACGGCTCAGCTGGGCAGCAAGGATTGAGGATCATGTTCAACTTGCTTTGTTGGCTCTTAAAAATTGTTCTTTTAGCAGCATCTTTGTGCTGTTATCACTTTGAGTGCCAGTCTCATTGGTCTCATACAGCTATTATGTCATGAGTGCTTGAATGAATTTGATGAGATAAGTGTGAATGGTCATGTATGTTGCATTCCATATCACAGACTTTGGTAAAATTGTTTCACTATACATTACAATGCAAAAAATAAAATTTAGACATTTTACAAATGTTTTTACAGCATACTGCAGTGTATTTTCTCCCCCTCCCCTAGAAAAATCAAATCAATAACAATTTAGCAGCTGTGATTATCTTATTTTTATTAGTGGCAAAATTGTAAAAAACAGAACTAATACTATATCACATTTTTTGTATCATTTAGTATGTTTCACTCGTTTCACTGGCTTTCATTTAAAATTTCCTTACAAGAATATATTTACAGGGATAAATTTCTTGCTCTCTTTAAAATTAATTTGCTAGATTTGATTCCTGATTTATACTTCGAACTGAGTTGAGAAAACTGTTTTTGAGTTTTCTTACTGACAAAACTTGCATGAGGCCTATTTAAATGGCTTTGATGTGATATGTTACTCTGCACATTATCACCACCACCCAATAAGTCTTGAAAAGCTGCAGTGCTTGGAGAGGCAAGATTATGTTGATTGCTTGGAATAACACCACGAGATATTGATGCCAGAATTTCGTTCACGTTTGCAGGCATTTGGCTGGTAATATTCACCGTAATGTTGCCAGTTGTCAAGGCTTCAGCATTTTGGGGTGGAACTGAAGCATGGGCCTCAAAGTGAGGAGACAAAGCTGGCTGTCTCTGGACAAAGAGGTTAATTATGTTATCACACAACAAGTAAAAATCAAGAATCACCCCAATTAACTTTCATAAATGACTGGAACTTACCTGGGCTGGGTTGTGAAAGCTAAATGACCCCATGAAAAATGGAAGTCTTCCTGTTCCTCCAGTTATCACAAGCGAAAGTAAAACAATGCACCCGTAGAGCAGGACAGAAGCCAAAGAAGACACCCATATACGATTTATTAAGCTCATATCTGAAATACAGAACATGTAAGATAATTTGTAATTAGTAAACGTAAGATACAAGAGAGAAATTTTCAAGTACAAATAATTAGACGATAATAATACTGTATACCTTGAAAACTTTCAAAGAAAGCAAATGTACCAGATCCAAAGTACTTCATTGTGTCAGCCATTGTTTCACCAATTATTTTAGCAAAAACTTTAAAAGGAGTAATGCCCAAGTGGGGATCCATGTGATGCGCCTTAAGAAATTTGGAACATTCACCTAGATAGGCAGTAAACTAAACAAATGTAATGCTTTACAATTATAGTTACACATTACTAAAATATTAATTGATCACTTACCCCGTCCAGAAAACCATACCGTCCATGAGAAGCTGCCTTTGCAATCCTGAGGCATGTCGGGGTACTTTTTCATTTCCTCATATTGCTTTATTTGAGCTTCCTAAAATAAAAATAAGGAGTGAAACAAGTCCAAGTACTACATAATCAAATTGCATATCATGAAAATATCCTTCTACCTCAAACATTTGGTACGCAGTGGTGAAAAAAGATGTCACAAAGGCAAATAGAATAAGCAAAATGAGGCTCTTTCTAATATTTTTGGTGATATACAAGACCGATAGAAACCCTATAAAAGGTAGTGATATACTGATGAAAAAACTTCCAATCTGAAATGCAGAATATTATATTAACATACTTTATGTCCATATTACAAAATGAACCAAGGATGCTGATTTCATACAGATTACTTGTACTTACATGGAGGCCAGGTAACTTATTAAAAATATCACCATAATTTAACTCAGGGAGAGAAAATAGAGGCTTTACAAGAATAGAGCCCAATATTTCATCCAATTTGCGGAGAGGAATTGATTTCACATCTCCTTCATTGGCAAATCTCCGCAGAGTATGTAAGTGGTCACTCGGAATCGAAAATTCTAATCTTGCCCAGTTTTTAGGCTGCACTTCTATGTTCTGCAATTTTTTTGAAAAAAAAGAAAAGGATAAAATTATAAAAATGTGAAAAGATTTTGGAAAATTAAATAAAGGTGCTGGTTGTGCTATGCTCACATTTAAGTTTGAAGCTTCTAACAGCAGATGGATAAATCTCTGCAAATATGCTTTGGCTCCATTTTTTTCCTGTAAGAACTGTTCAGAGGGTTTAGAAACAGATAATTCCTTTCGGTTAGCCTCTCCTTTTTCTCCCCTCCTATCGAATTCTAGAGTCTGGAGGGCTTTTTCACACTCAGAATATTTTTCAACCCAGTTATCAACATTTTTATGACACTCGTCTATGTCTTCAACGGAAACATCATTTCTGAAATCAAAGAAAGAAAATTTTCTGGTGAATGTCGACACTTACTCATTATTCCAGCCTGTTATAATTGTTACCTTTCTGATTTCATAGGACGAGTTGGAGCAAAGGCAACATCAGGACTTATCCAGCCATCTTTGTTTGGAGGAGAAATTTTAAAGTAATCTTGCAATTTTACAAAATTAAGAAAGGGAAGAGTCACAAGACAAAAAGTCAGCAAACACATTGACCTTCCTGCGGAGAAAACGAATTGCAGTGTCAGTCCATAAAAACTAGATAGATAGATTTATAATAACCTCAAATCAAATGGATTCTATAATCTAGAGTCAAAAAACCATCGCTCTTAATGATGAAAATAAATTACACAAAAGGCATTTGGGGTTATGCGTTCATGAGCTGATGGACTATGAAACAAGGCACTCACTCGTAGGCATTGTAACGGTAGAAAATGCTCGCCAAAGGCAAAGAAGCTATCTCATGTAAATGTCAGTATCTGTCAATTGACAAAGAGAACTCGTTTCCATATCCTTCACACCATACGTTACTACTCTACACTTGTCACTAGCACTCTTTGCAAACGTAAACAAAAACAAGAGGGAAGGGGGAGGGGGGTGGGGGTGAGGCGAGAGGCGAAGGAGGGGGGCAGCGTCTGTTTGGCCAACATGGCCAGTATAGAGACCACTGGATTCTTAAGTTGAACTTTGACACGCAACGGAAAAAAAGCTTACAAATCTTGAAGCAAATAAGATCCAAAAAAGCTAGAAGTGTTTCTTCAGACCAAAATCATGAAGTTCGGGGATTACTTTCGGGTCAAACTTATTTTTTGGATGTTGGTATCAATGTTTTATTTCGCGCGCGTGAGGGGAAGAACAGCTTGAACTTGGAAACGTCATGTCTCGCGACTTATTGTTCTGCCTGTTGCGTTTTAAGCCTCAGGTAAAAAGAATAAAGAACAAGCCCAAAAGTCAAAGTAACATTTATTTTTTAACAAAAACAAAGTTTAAAGAATTAACAATGATAAACTCGTACAGGATAGAAACTGTACACGTCTAATGGAATGTTATGAAATCAGCACTTAATTCGAAATGAAACTGTGAAAAGAGAGATCTGTGATACTACACATATGGTAACTTATTAACACCGAGTAACATTAACACAACAACACTACAACGAACGTCTTAAACCTACACACAAAGCATTTCCTCTGTCTAGAATGGAGATACGAATGCAGTCTTACCCATCAATAAATGGTTATTGTCATTTTCATTTAGACCTCCGACTTGCCAATCAAACGAACCTCAGCCGAACGGAGGACTTGATTGGATACAGTAGAACGAACCTTGGTGGGACTCTGGGTTTCGCGTTCTACAGTCCTACTGTAAGCGCTGAAAAAGATTTTCTTAGGATCCAAATTGTCTTTTCCGAAGTCGCTTTCGAAATGATCCAACCACATCATCAATCACCTCCAAGAGCGCTTCGATGACTGGCCAGTTTTCTTAGAGGCCTCCCCTAATTCCCCCCTCCCCTCCCCTCCCCTCCCCTTTCCCCTTCCCTTTCCCAGGCCCGTTCCTCAGACCATTTAATTTGGCACAGGCTACTGAATGTGATTTTGGCTAGAGGTTCTTCGCCGGTGTCAACAGGGCTCGGTGCCCAGCTCCACCGTCAGCTGGTCAAACAAGGTCCCCTCGGCGTGGGCCAGCGCTGTGTTGGCGCCGCAGTACTGCCAGCTGCAACACAAGACAGACCACACTGAAAACTCCTGAATCTCGATGGCTGCGGTGTCGCGCGCTGCCAAGCACGCCAAGGACGCATTGGAGGTCACCTGTTGCCCCGCAGGTCGCGGACGGTCACGCGGTCCAGGTAGAGGCTGGGCGCGGGCGAGGCCGTGGTGGTGGGCACGGTGGGCGTCGGGGCGGTGGCGGAGGACGGCGGCTCGCTCTGGAAGGCCAATGATTGGTACGAGATGCGCGCCGTGAGGCGGGGGGTGATGTCCGGGCCCAGCGAGCCCCACTGCGCAGCGGCGAGTGCCCTCAGTTCGCCGCTCTGCTGCACCCCGTCCATGAACCTGCGGCAGGGACAGGCTCGTCGAGGTTTGAACGCACTCCTAGCGGCAGCGTCGCGGCGCCCGTCAGCCCCACTCACTCGCAGGCCATCTGGAAGCTGGTGTTGCTGGAGCCGTGCAGCAGCTGCAGCTGGAGGACGCCTCGCGTTGGTGCCGTCTGCTTGGAGACGACGACGGACGCTTGGATCTGGTCACCTGCAGGGACAGAGGGAAAGGGAAAGGGAGTAGCCGCTAGTGGCGCGCGAGTCCCTGGTGCGCAGCTGCGCAGCACGAAGGTCTACTCACCGCAGTACGGCGGGGAGTCCCTGGTGACGAGGTAGAGCGGCCCTCTGGCCGGGGTCTCCTCTGCCCGCATGCCCATGACGCCGCAAGACGGACCTGCGGCACGCAGTTGATGCAATCCGATGCAGTCCACAGCGGTATGAGGTCAACTCCCTCGAGGCTTCACTTCTCTTACCGGGTGCGGCGGGGTCGCAGATCTTGCGCGCAGGGAAGCAGTGGCCCTGCTGGAACGCGGTGCCACCCTGCGGGCAGGGGAAGGCCTGGAACTGGCAGCGGCCCGGCTCGGGGGTCGCGATGGTCTCCAGGAAGAGCGACCAGGCCCGAGCGTGGCTGCACACCGTGCTGGAGTTGACGACGCCCTCTGGAAGCACAGCGAAGCACAGCGAAGCAAGTGGAGTGTGATCGGTATCGAGTCTGCATCGTCCCCGCCGCGCCGCCGCCGCGCACACCGCGCTTACCAAAGTGGCTGACGACGACGGAGGCCCTGGGGTCGGTGCATCCCGGCTGCTGACGCCCGCCGTTGGGGAAGTAGTCCACGTGGCCCAGCGGCCCCAGCAGCCCGAAGCCGTCCGTCCAGAGCGCGCCGCCGTCCGTGTGGATGACGTCCACGAAGCGCGCGTCCCCGGCGTCCAGCTTCTGCGCCGCCTCCCGCAGCAGCTGCCGTCGGAACAGCGGCGACGCGGGGTCCAGGCCGCTGATGCGCCCCACCATGCGCCCCCTGTTCTTGACCACCTGGCCGGCGCAGCCAGCCACGTGCGCGCCCAGCGAGAAGCCGATGATGTGGATGGCGTCGGGGTGCGCGCCGAGGGACATCATGTCCAGCAGGACCAGGCCCACCTGCGGAGCAGCCGAGCAGTGGGTCAGCCAGCAAGCAGTCGGGTCGCTTTCAAAGAAGCGGCCAGTGAATACTGGAACCGAAGGCCCCACCTGTCTGCCGATGAGCTCCGTGTTGGCCGCGGCCGTGGTGTACGGCGAGGAGGCGCCCTTCTCCCAGTCCACCATCACCATGTTGACGTCCTCCTGCGGGACACACAAACAGCCAAGTAGACGAAGAAGACCCAAGGCGGTGCGAAGGTGGCCCGGCTCGCGACATCGCCCCGAAGGCCGAAACCTGCTGCGGCAGTTACCATCTTGAGGAAGGCCGCGGCGCCGGCCAGGGCGCCGTCGTCGTGGGCCGAGCCCTTGAAGCCGTGGATGAGGACCCGCGTGGTCTTGGTGGGGTCGAAGTCCGACTGGGACAGGGAGCGCAGGTTGTCACCGTACCGGATGCGCTGCGGCGTGTGGGTCTGGTTCGAGCGCGTCATCAGCCAGAACTTGGTGTCCACGCTGTCCGGGCTCTGCGGCAAGCGCTTCAGGGGGTTGTTGAGCGCCGAGAAGCAACCCACCATGTCTAGATGCAACAGAGAAAGCAACCCAGCCGTTCTTTTTTAGGGCCGCCGGCACGTGGACCTCTGCATAGCACGGCGTCTATGTGCTGCTAAATGAAGTTCCCTGTTGAGTTCCGTGCGTGACCCGTAGGAGCACCATGGCACTGTAAACTTTAAGCGCATCGTTTCGACGCGGCCGCGTCGTGAATTACTTTGAGGCCGTTTGCCTCGCTGCCGCGGTCGCGCCGGGTCGCACGCCCCTCCTCCTCCTGCCAGCCCGGCCGGCCTGGTCCGAAAACCTGAGCCATGCAGCCATGCAGCCATGCAGCCATGCAGGTAGCGGAAGGTACCCGCATGCGCGCGCGTGTGTCTGTAAATGTGAGTGCATCGGGACGGGCGGGGGTAAGCGCGTATGTGTGCTCGTCTGTCCACATGAGCGTTGGCGCGCGCGCGAGTGTGTGCGTGTGTGTGAGGTAGAGAGGCAGCACAACGCAGCGCTCAGACACCCAACTGGTTACATAAGTGGACCTCCCCCTCCCCTGGCCGCCCCTGGCCGAGGGTGTCGTCTTTGTCTTTGTCGCGCCCGTGTCGTTCGAGTGCGAGAGAGACCCAGCAGGCCGTGTCGCGTGCCGCGGTGGCAGGGGGGGGGGGGGTGCGCGAAGGGGGTCGAGACATCATCATCGGCCGAACTGGTGCAAAACGACTGAGGCCATCGGGCAGGCCATCAGGGCTTCGCCAGGGCTTCGGCGGCTTCCTCTGGAATGACGCACTGCCTCACGAAGGTAAACAACGGCAGAACTGGGCGCAGCGTGGTTTTTCCTGCCGCGAGGCCGCGAGGCCGCCAGGCCGTCGTCGGCGACGTCGGCGAGGCGAAACGTAGCGCCTGCGGACTCCAGGGCGAGCAGCCCCGCCGGACTCACGTGAACCGCGGGGCTGCCTATCCTCGAATCCGCGGGCGGCGCTGCCGGCAGCGGACGCAGCACGGCAGCACACGAGAGGACTTCCTGATAAGACTGTACAGGCTCTCGTGCAACTTGGCGTGGCCATCCGTGGTTCTGCTGCTTCTGCTGCTTCTGCTGTCCGCGGCGACACGGCGACGCGTTCGGGTCACTTTCACTGCCATAACACACAACGCACGGCAGCAGGCGGCGTGGCGGCGCGGCGCTGGGAGGGGCCCATTGTCCTGGGCGCGAGTCAAGCTTGTCATCGAGCCCCTGCTCCCTGGCTCTGTCGGCCATTGAATATTCGGCCACAGCCCCTCGCCACGCCGTGCCACGCCGTGCCCTCTCTGAAGTAACTAAGTGTGCCGGAGACTTGCATGCGCGAGGCGCCCGCAAAAACGGGGAGGGCCTGGCGGGCCAAGCGGGCCAAGCGGGCATGACGGCGACGCTGCCGGGTCCTCCTTGCTCGCCTTGCGCCACGGGGGCGGACCGGCGAACGCAAACGGAACTCGGGGATTAGTGAAATTGGGGCTTAGGGCTCCTCTGGCCCGGCCGCACGGCACGCAAAGGACCCCGTCGAGGCCGTGTCCAGGCAGAGGCAGGCCGTCGGCGGGCCGTCCGGGCGACCGTGCAAGCCGAGTCGCTGAACGAAGGCGGGGAGGCGCTCGGGCAATACGAGCGGCACGGCCAGGCACAACGGGGACACGGCGCGGGACGTACGCCGTACGCCCCAGAAGTGGAGCGGCCTGGTGCACGGCAGCACGGCACGTCGTGGGGGTGTCCGGTCGGCAGGCCGCCAGCCCGCCAGCCCGCGGTGACTCAACCCCGAACCCGCCAAAGGGTCGCGCGCGGCGGGGGTTGCGAAAAGGGAGAAGAAGCGATACCGGTACCCGAAAGAGCGTATACACTGTGCAATGTACCGCGCCCCGCCCGGCCACTGGCCAGTGTCGTGGCAGCGGGAAGCCAATAACGACATAACGAGACACCGAGTCGCCTTGCGTCGCCTTGCCTTCGTTCACGGGCTGCGGTGCTGCGGCACTCGGAGTGCCATCCGGCCCGCCCTCGCGTTGGGCCCGCTCCCCGCTCCCCTCACACTCGCACACCGCGTCCAACCGTGTCCAACCGCGTCAGTAAGCGTAAGCCGCGCCGGAATCTGTTTCGAGCTTCGAGTGGCGTGACGTAACCACCCTGTGCCTGCCGCCTGCCGCCTGCCCGTCGAGCGTCGCCCCACCAGCCTCTTCCCTGTGTTTGGGCCCCTCTGGGGGAATGACCGCGGCGGCCAATGAGTTGCCTGCGCCCAGCGCCCCACGCGCCGCCCCGCCACCAAGCCCGCCACCGCGCGCGGCGCGCGCCGCCCGGACGCGGACTCTCGAGTTTGCCTTGCCAATTTTTGGTCGGGATCCTTCTCGACGCCGTCCTGGCCGCCCTGGCGGAGAGGCGTGTCGCAATAAGCGCCCCATTGTGTGTGTTCGGGTGGCCGCCGTGCCGCCGTGCCGCCGCGGCCGCGCAGCTCCTCCCGACGCGTGAGGCAACAGGGTCCTCTGGCCGCGCTCCATATCCTGACGGTCATGACACGACCCATCCCATCCCATCCCATCCCGGCATGGGAACAATGGTTCCGGGCGACCTCGTCGGTGTTCGTCGCGATTCCCAAATTCCCCCGGACACGTCCTCGTCGCCGTGCCCGCCGTGCCCCAGCCAGCTTGGCGGCCCGCGGCGGGGCCAGCGCGGCCAGTGCGGCAGGCCGACTCCGAACAGTGCTTTCGTCGCTCTGTCCCTCCCAGGAGTGCGAGAGAGGCAGAGGCAGCCTTCTAGCGGCCGAATGGCTCGGCCGGCTCCACGTTGCCTAAGATCGCCTTGAACGTGCTGCTCAGCCAGTCGCAGCCCCGCGAGCCCCGCTAGCCCACGGCGTCGACACGCGCGGCGCGCCTCTTTGAACCGCGACGTGGACAAGTGCGTCAAGTTCATCCTGCACGCCCTCTGCCTGGGCGCCCAGCGCCAACCCAGCGCGCCCAGTGGGCGGTCGACCGAGCCGGCGCGGTGCTGCGCGGTGCACGGCCCTAAGCACAGAGAAAGCTGAGCCTTGACTGAGGCTGACCGACAGTTCGGCCTTGACGCGTGTATGGCACCGCCACGCTGTGCACCGCGCGGCCCGAGCACGGTTCAGTCACCTCGCAGTGCAGGACATGCAGGACATGCAGGACATGCAGGCCATCGCAGCTCAGGCAAGCATCGCCCGCCGCGCTTCGCGTCTCTTTCCATGTTTTCTCGCATTCGCGCCGATGTTTGGACGGCGCGGCCCACACGCGCACACACGCGCGCACACTCGCCTTCCACGCATTGTCTCCCGGTCGAGCACCCAGCTCATGGCGTTAGGACGCATCTCTGATGTAATGTCGTGATCTCATAATGGAACACCGCCAAGCCTCGACCAAGCCGGGCCGGCCGGGCCAGCGCATGGCACGGCACGGCATGGCGGTGCAAGTCTTTGCTCAATTTTCGTGCCGAGGCGCTCAGCGTGGCAGGGACTGTCGCTCGGACTGGCGGACAGGGACAGCGTGTGGCGCGGCCAATCAGAAGCCGAGGCTGCAGGGCCGGGCTGCCAATTCTGGGTCACTTTTTGACCGCCCCTGCTCCTTGGCGCTCCTTGGCCAACCCCGACACGGTGGCGACGTGTCGACCACTGTGTTGTTGATGGCGCTTGCCGACGGCGCCGCGTTCGTCGCCGCGGACTGCAACGGCATGGAGATGAGGGTAATATGACGGCCGTGGGCCGTGGGCCCCACCGGCGGTGGCTGTCCGAATAAAAATATGGCAGCGAACCGATCGGTGGGCCGGACCAGTTTCCAAGGCTCGGGCCGCGAGACGCGTGAGGCTTGGCTGGAGGCTGGTGCGGTATGGTGCGGTATGCGTCGCGACCCGTCACGGTTGCCTCGTTGCCTCACGCGGCGCCTCGTCGTGACAGCCGCGCCGCTGATGGTTTAATTCTGCGGTACTTTCCGAAACGAGGCGGGTCGGGACCGGGAGGGCCACCACCAGCCCACCAGCTTACAGCCCACCTCCACCGCCCCGCGACAGCCCCGACGTGACCTCGACGCCGCGCCGCGCCACGCCGCCGTGTGGGTTAATCATAATCCAACCTTTCTTCATTTTCGCTCGTTTTCAAAGCACGGCGATTGCATTTGAAATTCCTCCGGAGATTGCTCCGCCTCTCCTAGTCGCCTTTTATCGTGGCGCCAACCTTCAAGGTGCGTCCTTTCCTGAGGAGCTAGCGGACGCAGGCACACCAGCCTCGCCTTCGCCACATCTCCCCGGGTAAAGCGTGCGAACGTGAAAAAATTAATGTTCGAAATTTAACGCGTGCGTCCATCGCTGTTCACGACGAGACTGACCCTAATCTTCATGTTCGTCGAAGTGCGGCCGTCTTCGGCCTAGTCGAGTGCACCTGCCGCGGCGGAGCGTCGAGGCGGCGCCTCTCTGCGGGCCTCCGTGTTTTACGCGGTTTTACGACCCCGTCTGCCCTTCCCGCCCCGGCCGCGCGACCGCCGCTCGCTAGAAAGACATAAAACTCGGCGCGTACTCGCCCTCAAACTCGTACTCACCGTAGCACACCTCCTTGCGGCCCATGCGCATGGCGTTCCGCCGGTCCTGCAGCCCCGCGCGCAGCCGGTCGCGCACCGCGCCCACGCCGGCGGCCACCCCCGCGGCGCGCACCGCTGCAAAAGGCAGAGCAACCATCACTACGGGAAGGGAGGCGAGCCGAAAGGCCGCCAAAAGCATTGAAAAGGACGCCGTTGAGGTGCTGAAGCCAAGCCGGTCTCCAGCGCAACGTTTCGGCACGGCCTCGCTCTCGAAGGCCGGCGCGGCGGCAGGGAGGGAAGGCCCTTCGCAGCCCAGCAGAGCAATCCCCGTAGAGAAGTGGCCGCCGAGCACAGAAAAGATTGGTTCGACGACCGGGGCGTCTGGACACTCGTACTCACCGCGCAGGCCGGCGGATACAACCACGAACGACATGGCGGGCTTGATGACTTTGGCCGCGCGCGAGGTGGCGGCGCTGGACAAGCCGATGGTGCTCAGGTACATGGCCGCCACGGCCAGCGAGCAGAGCACTTGCATGGTGTGGGCCGTCGGTGCTGGCCTGGATCACGTTCAAAAGTCACTGTCAACACTGACTTCATCTGCGTCCGACGGAACGCACCTTAAAAGTGGGACAAACATGCCCGCCGCTGGCCGCGGGAGTCGCGCGCCCCCTCCCCGAACCTTTCTTTATCCCGCGGCCCCTTCTCCCCTCCTTCTCCTCCTCCAGAGCGTGTGCCGAGTGCCGCGCGGAGACAGATACGCTTTCACTTTCAAGTTCCCGCGCGCCGCGCAGTTCCCGATCTGGCCGCCAGGAGCGCTGCGCGACACCGGCATCGATCGAGCAAACGGCGCTTTTCCCTCTCGGGCTGTACTTTTTTGCAGGTCGAAAACCCCGGCCGACTTACACTGGACTGTTTTTGAGGTGTTTTAATTCGCTAAGTTGAGAAAGAAGGGCAAAAGAAGAAAGTTTTGCCTACACCTCTTTCTAGAAGGCGGTGAGATGAAGGAGGGGGAACTGGGAAACGTTTCGGGCGCCTTCAAAGGCCGCGACACGGTTGACGCAAGCAGACGAGACGCAAGCGAAAACAATGTCTGAAGTAATTCGTCTGCTGTGAGTTGTTCCGTATGGTTATTGTTTGACAATCGACCGTATTTGTTTACATGTAACTGTCGATTTTGAAGGAGCGTTCTTCAACTTGGATTATGTCCGCCGCTTGTCTTTCCCGCTGGCTGTAAGTATAGATGTATTTTTAAGTTTCCAGGATTGTGGTGTCTGTGAAACTCGTGTCCTGGTTTTTCTGTCACAGTTACTCAATAATTAATAGACGTACTCGTCAACCCATTATTGATTTGGACTCCTCTTTCATTGCGCTTTGTTGTGCACCCGTTGAGCTGCAGCCCTAGATTACCTTTCTCTGATACTTAATACTTTTGTGAGGGATCTCTTTATTTTGAACATCCTTGGGTACTGGTTTAAACTGGTTAATGGGGTCACTAAGGAACTCTTATTTAGATTCCTGAATTCAGTGCTGAGCCCAATCAATAAATGCCAGAGTGTAGTACTTGTTATGATCATTCGGTGTTTGTCAGTACCTTCTTATTTTAATGAAGGAACAGGTGCCACGCATTAAACTGTGTATGTATCCCCTTTATCGTAGAAATTACTCTACATCACCATTGAAATGATTTACAAATTTAAACTTTGTAATCTTTGCGTGATCACTCATAACCTTGATCTGTTAGCGTCGGATAAAATTACTCTTGCCAAGTCACTCTGGGTTTAACCGCCCAGTACAGTAGTGTCTATGCATGCGTGTATATTGTTTGATGCAGGCACATTTTTTCAGCATTTTAGAAGAAAGTATGGAAGTTTTCTGGAATCAAATGTGTTTTGAAAACGACAGCGGTAACAGATTCCGAATTGTCATGATGAGGGTAGCAGTTGGTAGCAGCCTCCTGTGATGAGCAAAGGATTGCCTACCCGACGGGCGGACGTGCTGAAATCGCACTTAATTTATGCCTAGACGAGAGACGTCCGTCCTAGGTGACCTGTCAGCCGTTCTCACATTCGATTACACATTTCTTTTAATGCATGATTCTGCCTTGCTTTCATTTATTTTTCAAAGTGCCGTCTATTTCTAGTCGTCTGTCAGCCAGCCACTGCGGTTTGCAAAGCGTTTTCCCGCCAATACGAGCCGACACGCCCAGCGACCCGACCGCAGCGCAGGTTGAGCAGGGTGGCGTATCTCTTATCAGGACGGCAGTGGACGGCAGTGAGCGAGCGGGGCGGGGCGGGCGGGGCGGGGGACTGCCGCCGGCGCGGCGGGGCCCAGAGGCCACATTTCCTTTCTGGCTCCCTCCATCTAAATTCCTGTTTCGTCCGAAAAACGAGCGGCCCCCTTTTCAAACGTTCTAGAAGACGCCTGGCGTAGGCAACCCGCTGTGCGCAATCCACAGGAGGGTGGGCTAGAGCCTTGATGCACGCCTCTAGGGTGGACAACTTGGCGTGCAGTTCGCCGAGGCCCGAAATGGAGGCCCAGCCTAGCCCAGCCAGCCGGTTTCTCTCTGGTTTCTCTCCAGCGCGTGTGAGTGATAAGGGACGACCTTTCTGTGCGGAGCATGGCGCGAAGGGAAGTGCCTCGCGAAATAGTGGCACTGGTCTGCGGTGCTGCGGTGCGCAAGCGTGGCTTGAAATCGGCGCGGGGGAGGAGCAGCCCGTGGCGTGGCGCAAGCGGCAAGCGGCACAAGCGCACAAGCAAGCCACCCGCGAGGTACTTATCAAGCCTGGCCAGCGGCGGCCAGCGGCACCAGGTATCCAGGTATCCTGGTACCGGACGGATTATGTGGGTCACAGCCAACTAGTCACATAACACACTCGGCGCGCTCAGTGTCGCGCGCCCCGCCCCGGCCAGCCCCGCCCCGGCCGTCCGCCAGCGCCGCGGACCAGAGCGAGGTCTGGACGCTTCGTTTAATCAATTCACCCCATCCCACCGGCCATGGATGGGAGCCACAGGCCGTGCAGGCTGTACCGCACGCCATGGCCGTGCTGGCCGTGCCGGCTGTGCATTACGCGCGTGACGTCACCGGCCGCCAGAGCGACGCCGAACGGCGTGGTCTCTGTCTCTCTCGCTCTCACGCGGAGCCCCGTGTCCTAGTGTGGACGCGACCGTCGCGGCGAGGTCCCTCGAGCCCTTCTTGGCGTGCCCCGGCGTGCCCGGACGCGGAGAGCTCGCGTGCGCGGCGGCTCCGCACCACGCCGCTATACGCCGCACGCGCGGTGGTAGTCTCCAGAACGCGTCTTCCCGCGTCTTCCAGAACAAGCCAGGCGAAGCCAGGACTCGGACCCGGGACAGCTGGTTGCGCCACCGCGCGGCGCCTCGCAATTTCGGCCGGGCGAAGGCGAAACTTGCTGTTTGTTTCCCTTCCCTCGCGTCGCGGCGGTCGCGGCCCGCGGGGTTGGCGCGGGGTTGGCGCCCCAGTCCCCGTCCCTGTCCCCGCGGCGCAGCGCGGTAGCGTGCTGCACTCGCTCCACCTGCTCCACCCTTCCACCCCACCGCGGCTCCGTGGCTCGCGGCCGTGGCGTGCGGTCAGCGGCCACTCGATAAAAGCGGCGTGGCGTGTCGCGTCGCGTGTCCGCCGTCCGCCGCGCCGCGTGTCGTGTCGGCGGCTTCTTTAGCGGGCGGCCGCTCACCAGGGCGACCAGGGCGTTTGGCTAGCGCTGCAGTGGCGCTGCCCGAAGCGGCGAAACGGGTGGGGCACTTTGTTTTGCTGCAATGAGGCCGCGCGGACGGGAAGTGTGAAACAGCAGGCGGATTCCGAAGAGCCGTTTCGTCGCTCTGTCCTTGATGTCGCACTCCGTGGGGCGGTCCGCAGGGGTGCGAGAGAGACGGAGCGACGAAACGAACCCTCGCAATCAGGCGGCAGCGTCCCGTCCGCGGTACAGGTCTAGGGTCACCGAGGGTCAGCGTGTCGTGTGACTTTTTGGCTTCTGCCCGGGCTGCCCGTTGAGGCTGCCCGTTGAGGCTGTCCAGGCGGCAGCGCGCGGCAGGCCCTCCCTGTTCTCTCCGCGGATGAGGCTTGGCCCTTGGCGTTCCGTGCCGTGTCCGTCTCGCCTGCCAAAGGCCGCTGATAACGCGTCTCTGCCAGGAAGCCGGGCAATGCTTTAGGCGCCGCCGGCTTGCATGCCAGTTATTTGCGCCTCGGCCGTCGCGACGCCTCTGCCTGGCCGCCGTCATCGCCACCGCCAAAACCCTCGGCGTCGCGTCGCCGTCGCCCTCCTCGCGGTGCTGGTGCTGCCTCTCGCGCCGCACACTTCCGCACGTCGCGTTCGCGTTCGCGCGGCTTTCTCTCCCAAGACGCCGACGTGGCTGCCGACATGGTTGGCGGCATTCGGTAGAGCTGGGGCGGCGTGCTCAGTCAAGTGCCTCCGAGCAAAGTGCCACGAAAGCGCTTCGAAACGAAAGCACCAGAAAGTGTGCAGCTGTGCACCTGCAGGCCTGCAGGGCGCTTGAGGCGCGGCAACGGCGGGCAGCCCCCGGCGCCCACTCCGTGTCCGCGTCCCGAGCACATGCTGGAAGTGATCCTCTTCGCCATGGGTCTCGCCGACATAGACGGTGTGTGACCGTGGTCTGACCTGGGGGAGGCTCTGGCCTCGAAAGAAGGGCGGTTCGGGTTCCGACGCCCCGACTCTCTGAAGATTCTCAATGCAGTGCCGGGAAGCCTTATCAGCGCCTCGGGAGTGAGGCCAGTGAGGCCCGCAGGCGTGGCCACGCGCGGCTTCGTCGTGTCGATCCCAGTGTCGAGGCTTAGAGCAATCAGAGGCGGAGTGCACTAGCCACGCCTGCCACGCCACGCCGAGCAGCGCCACGGTCAATCAATATGACAGAGACAGAGGCGAGCCGGGCGCGGTGGCGCGAAAGAGCGGGGCGGTGCGGGGGAGGCCAAGTACGAAGTACAAAGCGGTTAGTTAGTGCACCCATGGTGCAGTACGGCCTTCCCTCTGTCACCGCCCTCGCGATCACGGCCTCGAGGACCTGCCCTGCTGCCAGCAGCCCCTTCGACCTTCGCCTCAGCTAAGCTGTCCGTCTGTTTGTTTCCAGAAAACGATGAAACCGTCACCGACTGCCCGGCCGCGCCTGCCATGTCTGTGAGCGCGGCGTCGGTGCCGCGGCATGAGGCGGAAGTCGCCCCCGCAGTCATGGACGTCCCCACCGAGGACACCGCCAAGGACCCCGTCGGCGGGCCCACCGGCGCGGCGACTGCGCAAGGACAGCTCAGTGCGCCGTCGTCGCCCTGCGTGTCGCGGAGAGCAGCCCCGAGTAAGTGGGCATTCCCTGCCGCCCCCGCCGCGCCTCGCCGCTCCACTGTGTTCACGCCTTCCGTCTCGCCAGCCGCAGACTCCAGGATCCCGCAGCCGCTGCCGTCGCCCACGCCACTGCGCCGCAGCGGCTCCCTGCGACTTCGCGGCGAGAAGCCGGGCTTCGGCCACCCGAGGCACCCGCTGGGGTTGGCCAGGGGGAGCCTCGGCCTCGGCGCGCGGGCGTCGCCTGGGGCCGCCTTCCCGTCCATCACGGAGGCCAGCGAGTCGTGGAAGCGCTCCCTGAGGGGCATGGGGGACGGGCTGCCTGCCCACGGCCCGGCCCCGCCCCCACCCGCCTCCAATCTGCGGCACCAGCGGCACCACCGCAGTCTGGTAAGTTGGAGGCGGAGCAAATGAAATGGCCCTGCTAAACAGTGTCTGTTAAAAGTATCTGACTTTTAAATTTACTCTATTTTTCTTGTTATTGCTGCTCTTGATGATTAGAAAAAGGTTTGTCGTTTAGTGTTTTCTCCTTGATATGTTGAACTCCTCGCCTCTCCCTTCCAGTCCTTTTTATTTTCCATTGTTTTGTCATAAAAATAATGCCTTTGTCTTGCTTTCTGCACCATCCAGCAATCCTTATCAAGTCGGCCTTCTTCAAGAGATGCATATCCTCATACTCCAACTCCATCTCCAGAGGAAGTAGACTTCTTTAGACCACAGAATTTAAATCGTTTTCTACTTGATCATGCCAAGGAGTTTGGAGGTGATCATGATGATTTGGATTCCCTTCGTAGCTATGGGAGCAATTGTAGCACTCAGTCTGCCTGTGATCATGCACAATTTGCTCGCAATGGAACAACATTTTCTGGCAAACGAATGAAGTATATTGTTCACTGCTCATCACATCCCGAACCCAATGAATACTTAACTCCAACACAAAGAGCCAATCAGCAAGTGCGCAGATTAAAGGTAAGCCTTATTGAAATTTTGCACTTTGTGTTTAATCCAATTTACAGTAACTCTGTAAAAAAAGCTGTATTCACTTTATCAGTGTGAGCCTCTGTTAATTTTTTTTTGATAGATTTTTTTGTGTTAGACATATATATCCCCCCTTTCCTTATCTTTGACTTTTGCACAGCTTGCAAATTATAATCTTTACTGATGCTGTGGCAGTGTATCTGTGTGGATGTTGATTCTTTTTCTCACAAGCGAAGCTCAAGCTGCATCTTCTAAATAAAACATAGTAACCTCTGAATATGAGCTGGAATTTGTGTATAAATTTTAAATCTTGTTTTATGGATCAGGCACTTGTTGAGCAAGCAAGGAAGGATATTGAAGCAAAAGATGAAAATATATTCAAGCTCACTAAAGAAGTAGTGGAATTGCGGTTGTTGAGAGATGAAGTGGATAGCCCAGCAAAAACAACTCGGAGCTCTGAGGACTCACCCCCTTTTAGGGTAAGTTTGATATCTTATTTTTTCTGTTCTATTGTAAACAGTTAGATGATTAATGAGGTTCCTTATGCGTCTGTAGGTTACCACTCAACTAGAAAATGAATGTGGGAATTCTACCTCATTGTCAGATTCTGGTCATTTTGATGATGTTTTATCATTAATCTCTGCTCAGTCAGCTCATAGCCCAGGCCCAAGGCAAGTTTTGTCTTCACCTGAAGCAGAACGACTAGCTGAAGTTTACCAGCACAAAATTGATGATGTCACAAGGAAACAGGGTGAGAAAAGCTTGGAGGATAGGAAAAGTCTTGTCAAAATGTATGAAAAGAAAATGGAAGATATGTCAAGAAAGTACAGTGAAAAATTTCAACAAGAAAAAAATGATTTAATTGAAATGTATGAGAATAAAATTGGAGATATTGTCAGGAGACATCAAGAAAAGTCTCAAGAAGATAAAGTAACAAATGAGAAAAGGATTGATGAACTGTCACAGCTGGAAAACCAAAATTCGTTGCAGGCAACTCATCAAAGCAAAGTTGTACAAAGTCTGACTGAAAAATTAGAAGAAACACAACAGCTGTTAGAAACAGCTCAGAAAAATGCAACCTCATTAAGTCAACAATTGGAGGATGTAAATCTAAGGTACACTAACTTCATAATACCATCATGATGCCATGGTTCATTTTTTGTGCACGTATAGAATCTACCAAAATAATCATGATTTGTTGTTTTCAGGTATAATGATCTCCAACATGAGCTTTTCCAGTCAAGAGAGAAAACAGTACTCTTGGAGGATGAAATTGAAACTCTTCAGAAAACAATTGCTATGCATGAGCAGCAAGTTTCAGAGAAAAATGTTGCTTTGGTGCAAAGTGCACAAATTGAATCGGAGTTAAGTCTTTTGCGCCAACATGTGGAAGAACAGAAAGTAACTTCAGAGTTAAAATCTCAGCTGGAAAGTGAACTTGCAAGAGTGTCGGAAAAATTAAAAGAGAAGGAGCTGAAATGTAAATTAATTGAAGATGAGAAGACTGAAGCTGAGAGTCTGCACCACCAAAGACAAGAGGAAGACTCTAAATTGATATCTCAGCTTAAAGATGAAATTTCTGATATGCTGCATCAACTTAAGGCTAGGGAGGAAAAATGTAAGGAAATTGAAGACAAGAAGACTGAACTACAAAAGAACCAGGAAGCATCTTCACAACTAGTCTCAAAGCTGAAAAACGAAATATCAGAGGTACTGATGAAATTGAAGGCTGAGGAGCAGAAACGTTTGGAAGCTGAAAACAAAAAGACTGAGGCAGAAATAATGTATCAAGAAAAACAGGAGGAATTCCTCCAGTTGGTATCCGAGCTTAGAAGTCAAATCTCGAATTTGCTGCAAAAGTCAAAGGATGATGAACAGAAACATGAGAAATTAAAATCTCAACTTCAAACAGAGCTCATGCAAATCTCTGTATCCTTGAAAGAGGAAAAAGAGAAGAACATTCAACTGGAAAAAGAGAAAACCAAAACTATGACAGTTTTAGAAGAAGAACAGAAAAAAATTGTCCAACTGCAGTCTGACTTTGAAAATGCCAGGTGTGAAATGTTTTCAGTGAAAGAGGAAGAAAACAGACATACTGTGGAGTTTGCAGCTGCATTGGAAAAAGACTTGGCAGCACTTAAGATTCGTCTGGGAGAGGAGGAGGAAAAGAATAAGAATCTTGAATGCTGGAAACAAGAGGCGGAAAATATGAAAGAAGAAATAACAAACCACATACAGCATGAGAAGCAATTAACAGAGCAATTAGTTTCTCTTGAAAGTGAAGTAGATGACCTTAAAACTAGCTTATTAGAAGAAAAGGAAAGCCGTCGCAATGTGTCTCTCAGTACTATCCAAAATTTAGAAGAAAAGCTAGACATCTCTCAGAAGGAAGCCAATAAACAATCACAAGAGATGAACCAATTACGAGATCGCTTGAGTAATGTTGAAAGCGAAGCTGTCACACTATCAAACTTGCTTTCTGAAGAAAGGTTGATAAATGAAGAACTGCTTCATTGGAAGACAAAAGCTGAAAACCTCCAATCAGAAATAAATTCTCTTAAAGAAGATATTGTTGAAAAAACTCAACAACTCCAGTATTTTGCAAGTATTGAAAGTAAAGTAATAGAAATTCAAGATTGTTTGTCTGTAGAGAAAGAAAAGGTGCAAGATTTAATGAAGTGGAGAATTAAAGCAAATGATCTAGAAGAGGAAATAAAATCTCTTAAAGAAGAAATTTCTTCATTGAGCCAAAATGTGCAGCTTTCAGAAAACAATAACACTGAATGCCTTCAGAATGTTCCCTTTGAGGCTCAGCAAAAGATACTTTCACTTGAAGCTGAAATAGTAGAGCTAAGAGAAAGTTTGGATCAGTCATACTGGATGCAGTCTGAGAAAGACACTACTCAACAACAGATGGAAAAAACAATATTTGAGCTGACTGCAAAAATGAAAAAAATGGAAGAAGACTCCTTGATATTGAATGAAGCTGTCACATGCCTGAAGAATGAAAATGATGAGCTAAAAGCGAGAGCACAACAAAATGATATTCCTGAGCTATTGTCCAAGGATGATCTATCCACATTGTTATTATCAAAGAGTGGTCTTATAGAAACAGAATCCAATGCAGCGAAAGTCCATCTTTCCAATAATTATGAGGACAAACGCACCATGCATCTTCAGCATTTATCAGAAAATGGAAACATTGTTGACACTGAGTCTCAGTTAAGGGCAGAGATTGAATCTTTAAAAAAGGCTATTGCTGACCAGGAAGAAAGACATACAGAAATGAATTTAAAAATGTATTTAAAAGGACAAGAAGCAGCCAAGTTTGAGAGAAAAGATCAGGTATTTATCAAATTTTTGTTCTGTTCTATTCTAGGCAGCAAATAAATTCTTATAAAGTTGTTCATCTTTCAGGTTTTGGAGATGGCAGCTCAAGCACCTGAGAAGGTATCAGTTCCAGAACTTTTGTCGCAATTAGCTGAAACGGAAAAGGAACTGGACAAAGTAAAGGTAAGAATCTTAACTTTTTCTCGAGTGATGGGGTGAACACTAACTTCTTTTTGTTTCTTTTCTGCTTTGTTTCGTCATGCATGGGATGCTGGGTCTTTCAGCTTCCACAAATGTTCCTTTCATTACATCATGCTGCTACGAAATATGATTGGAAAACAATGGTCTCTGATTCCAGATAATTTTAACTTCCTGCTGTGTCTTGAATAATCATTTATTTTTCTCTTAGTGTGGGAAATATATTTTAGAATTAAGTTTTAAATAAGGGTTATGGATTAAGGTAGCTAGCTAACTTCAGATGCTCTTTCTCCCTACCAACATAAAGTTCTTTTGAAGCAAAAGCTCGTGTTCTCTTGTGATTTGTGCTTTTCCATCTTTGTGTTGTGAACCCTCACAGTCGAGGCATGAATCGTTATGTAACTATGCATTGTTGTGTTTTGCCACACGCTTTGCAGGATAACCAGCTTGAGAATAAGCCTAAAAGCAGTCTGAGCTTGCTCAGTGCAAATGAGGCAGTCTGCCTCTATCTTCTCGGTTCCTTCAAGGTCTGTATAAGTGCCATGACTTAGACTTCGTGTTTTTCTCCCATTTTACAACTTGTAGCCAATTGCACTTGTGCACACCTATCCTGCCCTCAAATTTTTCATTGTTCCTCTTGGTTAAAAAAGAAAGTTGCATTTTATTTACTAATTAAAGAAAGCAACTGGCTAGGCTCTTGTTTGAAAAGTAAGATTTTGTTTGTTTGTGGACAGGAAAGGAATTGTGTTATGTTGCAAGTGTGTTAATGCCGCTGAGATCTTGAAACTTAAGAATACTAGCTTAATTTAATTAATTGTCCTGCCTGACATGATATGTAAGAGTAGTCTGAACTGCTGTAGTTCCATGGTGTTAGACTTTTAATAAGTTCTTTCAACAATTATTCAATTTTTGTTCAATCATGGTGTTCTCATTATTCAGAGTATTGCAGTTTTTAGTGCATTTCTTTAAAACAAACTATGCCAATAATTTCTTTTTTCTTAGATTTAGGTATCCTGTGATCCTTTGCATGATTTTCTTTCCTTATTTCTCATCTCCGTCTATGAGCTAATCTATTCCCTTTTTCAGATTGCTGATGCAGGCTCAGATTAGTTCTTTCTGTTTTTGCTTTGATTGAATGTGATGTGATGGTGCATGGGTGTGGGCTTCGCAAAGGGTTTTCCCCAGGGGTCTTATGCATGAGAATGGAGAAGCTGCTAGTAGTAGTAGTCACGATCAACTACCTAATATTGGTAAAAGACAGCTATTTTAAAATTTGGTATTGCAGCTGTCAGTTGCATGGTTGAAGATGGTGTTACCAGTTCTATGTAACTTTTCTGTAGGATCTGGATTGAAGTTATAAAGAACTATGACTGCCTAAGAGATTATCAGTAACTTGGTCATTAAAAATGAACGTGAGCTGAAAAAGCAATAAGGCCTTTACTTATTTTTTTCTTCTAATTTGCAGGCAATGTACCGGCAGCTTGCAGAGGGACAAGCCAGCAACAGCAGCAGCCCAGAAGCAACTCTCCTCTTCCTCAAATCTGCTTTCTATTATTTTTTGACCGACGAGGCCAATTGCCAGGGTCATTTGCACGCTATTCAGAGCATTCTTGGCTTTACAGAATCCGAGAAGCAATCCATTGATACACTCACTTATATTCGGCGGTGAAGGGAACTTTTGCCACTGTGTATCATGGCCTTTCATACATGAAGTGATAATGTAGCTAGTTTTATATTTTACTTCTGTTAAAATTTTATAAGCCAATTTTACTGCTACCTTCCTTTAAGTTTGCATGTCTTGACTGATTGATGTTATTTGTTTGCACCAAAAGCAAAGTTTGGTGAAAAGTTACCAGAATTACCGGTTTTAGAATGTATTGTGTTAAATGTTTTAAGGTTTCATGAGATATTTAATTAAAATAGTTGTTGGAAAAAGGTGTTGAAATCATTACCCTAGGTGGATTTTCAAATATTTATTTAAGAAGTATTCTAGCACAGCTTATTTCTTGCCGGGCAGGATGATACCATCATACTGAAAAAGAAAAATTGAATGTAAGAAACCTCACAATAATCAAAAATTAAGTGAAAGAATTTAATGGCTTACCTTCTGCTGGAACCATTTCATAGCATCTTCCTTGGTAAGCCTGTGGGGGAAGCCAACAACACCACGCTTCCTCTTCTTGTGAGCGACATTGAATCCTGCAAGGCCAGAAAAAATTAAGCTAGTTAAAAATGAGGCATAACCAAAACAGTGAATTCAAAAACACGAGACAAAAAAAAAAAACAAGTGATTAAGACTAACAGTCATTATCAGGTTATCATTCAACCTATGCGCTCATGTCACCCTTCAAGCTCTAACTGAAACCTAACAAGGAGAATCAAGAAAAGTTGCTTTGTAAGCGTTCGTTAGCTGATAGAGCTGGAGTGAATCAGCTAGGGGCGAAAGACAAAAACGCATTCACAATCAGGTAGTCATATGAACTATGAGCTCATCACATCACTCCAACAAGTTAAAGCTAAGACCATCAAGGGAAAACTTTAAAAAATGTCTCAATAAAGTTGTCATTACAACTATGGTCTACGCAAGACTCAGTATGCTTTTAATATAATAGGAAAAAGCTGCTTTGTAAACGTTGACTGAAAGAGCTGGAGTGAATCAGCTAGGGGCGAAAGACAAAAACGCACACACAATCAGGTGGTCATATGAACTATGAGCTCATCACATCACTCCAACAAGCTATAAGCTCTGGCCCTCAAGGAAAAACTACAAAAATAATCTCAAATCAATAGAGCTATATGCAGCCTTATACTCAGTAAGACTCAGTATGTTTCAAATAGAAATCAGGAAAATTAGCCTAGTCAAGATTGGCTGAAAGAGCCGGAGTGAATCAGCTAGGGGCGAAAGACAAAAACGCATTCACAATCAGGTGGTCATATGAACTATGAGCTCATCACATCACTCCGACAAGTTAATTTTGAGGCCCATCAAGGGAAAACGAAAAATAGGTCTCAATCAAGTTGTCATTACAACTATGATCTCACACCAGCAACATAAGACTCATAATGCTTTGAGTATATAGGAGAATAAGATAGAAATGATAGACAAATAGTAATAACAATCAGGAAAAGCTGCTTTGCTAACATTGGTTGAAAGAACTGGAGTGAATCAGCTAGGGGCGAAAGACAAAAACGCACTCACAATCAGGTGATCATATGAACTATGAGCTCATCACATCACTCCAACAAGTTTGAGCTGAGACCCTTCAAGTGACGATTAAAAATAGCCTCAATCAAGTTAATAGAACCTAAGTCCTGTATTGGCTTAAAAAACTCAATTTCATTCAAAAATGAAAGAAAGTCAGGAAAAGCTGCGCTGCAAAATTTGGCAGGAAGAGCTGGAGTGAATCAGATAGGGGCGAAAGACAAAAACGCACTCACAATCAGGTAATCATATGAACTATGAGCTCATCACATCACTCCAACTACCTCTAGTTAGGATCCATCAAGGGAAAACTACTGAGAAAATGCCTCCATCAAGTAGTTATTAAACCTATGGTCTCAAGACAGCTTGGAAAGAATCAGAAAGCTTTGATATAGAAGGAAATTCATGGACTGCTACAGACAAAATGCGGTAGCAATAAGAAACTCTTTAAAACTACAAATTGATCCCTGCCCTCCAATAATTGAGAAGACAATTTATGATCTGAAGTAAAATACACATACCTTGTCGGCCAAGAACGACGAAGAAATCAAGACCGTAGATACCAATGCTAGGGTCGTACTTAATACCCAGATCAATGTGTTCCTGGATACCGAAACCGAAGTTTCCAGTGCATGAGAAGTTTTCTTTCCTCAATTCATATTCACGAACCTGCAATAACAAGACAGATGAGTAAACAGGAACTAGAGCCCAGGTAGACAAGTACATGAATGTACACAAATGTTCCTTCTTCAGTACCTTTCTCAGGAAAAAATGTGAGAAAGAGTTGCAAATAAGAAGAATTTATCTGGCACTTGACTGAATGGCTACTGCATGAACAGTGTGCCTACACACAGTTTAGTGCATCAAAACAACATCCAGAGACAGAAATATAGTGTGCCACAGTGGCAAAGAAGAATTTACACAGAACTTAGGGCTATGGCGTAAACAACACACCAACAGAGAGAAAAGTGCACTCTATTCATTGTAACAGCTAGACAATGTTCCTTTTCATGTATCAATCTTAGTAGAATGCGTAAGACAGAGTTGCAAATTAAAAGGAATGATATAGCACTCAGCAGGAAAGAATCACTTGAAAAATGATCTCATTAAAAGCAGAGTGCACAACAAATACTAATAGATACAGATACATACCTTCAGTCCTCTTTCTAAGATTTCCTCGGCTTTGGCGCCGCGGACTGTGCAGTGGACCGCGATCTTCTCGTTACGCCTGATGCCGAACGAACGGACAGTGTACCTAGCTTTGGAGAACACGGGCTGCTGTCCAGTGAGCTGTTCCAACACCTGGAACAAACAAGAATTAAGGTAGAGAACACTTCGCTTCATAGCAAGCCCGCCTGCCTCGGTTATTAGAAAGGTGGAAGGGAGACAATAGTGCGGGGCACCGCAAACAGATAGTAGAACTTACCTTAGCTGCTCGGGTAAGTCTGTCACCAGACTCTCCAACGCAAATGTTGAGGCATAATTTACGGATACGGGTCTCCTTCATAGGGTTCTTGCTGGCATCCTTCGCTCCCTCCTTCTTGACAGGCTTCTTGTCCTGAAACACAAATTCGTCGTCTTGATAAGCGCGAGAACAATCACAAGCCGCTCGTGAGAAGATAGGTTAGAGGATGTTGAGAGCAAACACTTTGAACTTGGAAACTACGTCTACGACGGCAAAATAACAATTTGGAAAGCCGTTTTCCACGACAAGCTACGGTCACATAGCCAACTGGCCGACCACCACAAGTTCGGGAAAGAGGTGTTGTATCAAAATATGTGAACACGTTGACGTCGGAAGATCAGCGCGGCCCTAACCACTTCAACAACATCTAGGAAAGGGGCTTAAATGTCAATAAGAGACCCCAAGTGCACGTGAATATATAGTTGAAATGTTCATTTAAAATATAACGACGAAAGGCACTATCACAGAAAATAAAATAACGCGATGAAATCGGATAAATTCCTCGGAAATCAGCGGGCACCTACCGCCATGGCTTCGGCACAAAAATGGACACTTCGAAGACCGGATGTTGCTGAGGCGCGGTGGTGCCGGTTTTTCTCCCGGAAACGCGATAGTCACAAGGCTGTGCTAGCAGACGACACAGAGCGGGGTCTTTTTGAAATCGTAGTAGGCGGTGAATATGTAAACAAACAAACTAACTTTTCATTCAAACCGTGGTGGGAACTTACCTTAAATTTAGGTTCAACTTGTACTGTCCGTCCAGCACCATGTCTGAATTAGAAGAAGAAGACTCATCTCAGTTGTTGGTTTCGTTGGATCCCCAAGTCACCTCTTCAGATTCTGCTGAACGTAAACTTGCCCGTCAAAATCGAATAGTCAAACGCAATGAAGCAGCTCTCAGGTAATGCATTTAATAATAAATTGTTGGCTTGTGATCACATTATTTATAACAGAAGGATTTACCCCCTGTAACATTTTCAGGGTTACGAACGATGGGGATCATCTCCCCGATATTGTGTCGGACAAGACTGAACTTGAAAAGCAGGTAGAGGCTAGTGCCGAAGAATTGGAGAGACTGCTACTGGAAGGAAAAGAATTGGTAATTATATCTTGTTTCAAAAAATTTTCTTTAAACTTAACATATTGTTTAGGCACTCTCTGTTTGTATTGCATTGTTTTAGGTCACAAATGTAAGGGTTGCCAGTGATACAAGGGAAGTGAATCGCAGACAAGAGGAGACTGACAACAGGAAGAAAAGGCTTCAGAGACTTGAAGATGAGGAAACTGTCACCAAAACTATGTTTGAAGAAGTCCAAGAAAAATGGGAGATGATGGCTAAGCAGAATGATCCCATGGACCTCAAATCAGATATTGATGCACAGAAAGGTTCAAATTCCGACCCCTTGTGAAATTTTACAAGTATGTGGTCACATAGGCTTTCAATTTGGTGTTGTGATTCTTTTTACAGAGAGATGCAATGAATTGCTTGAGCAGAAAAATGCAGTCATCAGGGATTTAATGGCTGAACTAGATGCGGCTGATTCACGTTTTATCACGGACCAGCAAAGGCAGCTGCAGGAAGTATCTCTATTGGTTCAAAGAATTGAAAATCAGGTCAAAATTATGCAGGAAGCTTATCGCCGGGAGCTTGTGCTGATAGAGGTATGTAAGGTGTTAGTAGAACTTGAAATGAGATCACTTTCAATTGCAGTAATTAAATCTGAATTAAATTTTTGTTTCCTGTTCTATTTCTAGGAAGCTATTAACAACGAGCGAAAGGAGCTGTTAGACTCATGTAACAAGCAATGGGATTCCCTTTACAAGCAGAGGGACAAAGAAGAATCAAATAATTTAAAACTTCACTTTCAAGAGCAAGAAGATCAGGATGAGGATGTGAAGCGCTTAAGAATGGAGCATCAAGAAAAATATCGCCAAACAAAAATAAAACTGGACTCTGATATCCAGGTAAACATGTCATCACAAAATAATCAGTCATATTTTTGAACCTGCAATGTAAAACTGCAACACGTAAAAATAATTTATGTCCACTGTCACAGGTCATGCATCATGAACTAGAACAAGTGAAAGCAATGTGTCTTCTCAATGCAGAAAAACTTGACTATAATTACCAGGTTTTGCAGAAGAGAGAGGATGAGAATTTAATGATGAGGGCACAACAGAAAAGGCGTATCAATAGGTAAGAAAGTAGTGCAAAGTGTAATGCATTCAAACTAAGTCTCAAAGTATTAGGTTTCATATTATTTTAAAATTTACAGATTGCAAGATATTGCCAACAGTCTCAGGAAAAAGATGAGAGAATCTGAAGCAGCTGCTGAGATAGAAACAGTTAGACTTCATGAGGAGATAACTCGCCTTCATCAAAATATTGGGGATATTGAGAAAAAGGCAAATCATTTTGCCAATATTAATGATCGGCGATACCAACAAGTATGGAACTTGCGCCAAGAGACTGCGAATAAATTATTGTCTAAGGTGATTTTTTTTCCATTTGAAGTTTTAAGTTGTAGGAAATGGTGCTCATGTTAAAAAATCTTTCATCAGATTATGACAATTGATCGCCTTATCCATGAGCAACAGCTCGGTCTTGAATGGACTGCTCCTGAGAATATCCTTCTGGACAAGGAAGATCTACAATCTTATCAAGCTGCAGTGAAACTTGTTTATCAAGTTTTGGAGCCTAAAGGTTGATTAATTTGCATTATTGTTTTGCTTGATTTGGCAGTAGTGATGCTTGTGACAATTTTCCACACTTTCTATTTCAGAAGAAAATCTTGAAGAACCAGGAGATACCACAGATTCTCCAAAAGAACAGCCCGAATGTTCTGACTCTCAACTTGATGAGGGGGGAGAGAAGAAAGAAGTGGATGTTGTCCTAAAGGAGCTCTCAAGGCGCCGCCTCTTTAAATTAGTACTCCAAAGGGTTGCTGACAGTGCAGGATTTCTTGTTGAGGAGAGATTGAGAGATCTCTTAGCTCCTTACTCTGAATCCCAAAAGACTATAATATGCCTTGACAATGTCTTTAATGTAAGAACATTTTTTACCCCAGAACCCTCAAACCCATTTTCTTTGTATGAATGTTATTTTCATTTTACAGGCTTTAGGACTTCGACATGAAAAAGATATTGAGATGCTGAGAGACTATTTTCTTCCTTATGCAACATGTACTCTTTGCACAAAACCAGGCTCAGATAATAAGGTTTCCTCAGTAACCAAAGGTCTTACCACTGATGAAAATGTTCCAGAAGTGCAAACATCAGAAACTCAAGATGAAGATGTACTTGGATCAGAACATGCAACAGTGTCATCTGTGTTAGGTTCTTCTGATCCATCCATCAGAAAATTTAAAGATACCTCCTCATCAAAAGCGGGTATATATTATATTAATTTCCTTTCAGTGCTTGACTTATTATATTCTTTTTATAATTATTTAATTGCAAATATTTCTGTTAGATGGAAGTCGCCCAAGTCTAACACAGTATGTCCCATGTGGCCCTCCTGATAAGATCTGTTGTGATCTTCATCCACTAGAAATTGACCCTGTGTATGTCTTGCAAGCCCTGAGAAGCTTTATATCAAATTTTCAACAAAATAAATTGGGGTGAGTTAAGATATTTCTATGCGTGCTGCAGTTTGTATGCTTCATTTTCCTTTAAATGGGTAATTTCTGTACCTTAACTGAGTATTTTTCCTTCAGAGATTTGAAGTCTATCGCCTTTTTACTGTCCCAAAAGAGAAACACTATATCCCGGCTCCTTTCAGTAGAGGATGTATCCAAATTTTGGCACAGATATCAAAAAGCTTTCCCCAAAAAAAGAGAGCAGCTTTGGGAAGGCTTTTTGATTGCCTTGAATAAATATCATACAATTTTGGCAGGTAAAGAACGATATCAAGAACTTTTAAAAATATGGCTAGTTAAGTTTACATGTTGCTGTGTTACATGCTAAGTAATGTTACCCATGAATCTTTACAGAGAGACACAAGCTCAACAATGAAGCAAAAGCACTGGCTAGACAAAATGAAGAGCTACGTAGACTACTTAACAGCTACATGAAAAACAAGGTATACCCGCATCTAAAAGTGCTTTAACATTTTGGTAAGCCTTTAATTAATTTTTTGAAAATTTTCTTACAGTTAGATGGAAAGCGACAGACAAAAGACACATTGCCACCTTTATTCAACAGGAAGGTAGTTGAAAATAATGTTTAACAATATTGTGCGTGATTTTTTTTTTCTGATGTTCCTGTATTCCCAAACTGACATTTTTGAAATATGTACCAAATTTAAATGTTTTTATCACCCATAAACTAGTAGGGTATGTTGTTAATGTCCCAAATTCTGCTGTGATCTTGTTTTTCTTTTTTTTAGCACTTATTGCTTGTGTGCCATTTTGATTTATTGTATTTCAGTCTTTTATATATCACATACATAATTTTATGACTTTATGCATTCCCCTTCTTTATTCTTTTCTTCCTTGTTAAGAGCCTTCAACTCTTTTTCTTGATCTGTGCTACTGATCTCTGGGTTATTCCACGGCTGCACCTCCGAGTCTGCCAGCACCACGTACAGAAGACCTGTTCCAATCGACATTAGCCCACTTATGACGAAAACCTTCTTCCATTGCTCAGTGGATTGCTGAAACATAGAAAATGTTAGTGTCTGGCGTACAATGAATTATCTTAGTTCAATCTTGCCTGAGTCACTCACATTCCCCAGAGTGAGCTGCCCTACGATGTAGGGCGAAATGAACCCTGGCATCGCGGTGATGCAGGCACAGATCCCCAGGACGATACCTGTGTTCAACAAGAAGCAGATTGCGTTAAGGCCCAGCTCAGGCATGGCTCAGGCATGGCTCAGGCCTGCTACTCACTGGCGTAGTTGGGGCTCATGTCCACCATGCTGGCGAGCGGGCCCGTGGACACCGCCCCGTGGCACCCTGTGGCCAGGGTCAGGCACACGACGGCCATGAGGGCGTCGCAGCCCGACCACGCCAGCCCCAGGATGAAGAGGCCCATGCCGATGTCACCTGCAGGGGATTACAGCGATTAGAGACTCGTCGAGGACGAGGAGGAAGGCGGGGCGCATGAGCGGGCGCGCTCGGACGTACAGACGGCCGTGGCGATCTTGCGCAGAGTGGTCCTGGAGATGACGCCCTTGCGCAGCAGGTTGTCGCCCACCTGCGACACGGTGGCGGCCACGCTGATGCGGCAGAGGTGCGGCAAGCCGGACAGCAGGCCAGCCTGCGGACGGCAACGGCAACGGCAGGCAAGTGTGTCAAGTGCGCCGGGGCAGCGGGCAGCCTCGGTAGCGAGGTCGGCCCGGGCAGCTTGAGAGCCGTCGGGCCGGCAAAGCGCCGGGTGGGCGCCCGCGATACACCTCAGCGTAACGGGCCTGTCTGCCCACCCGGCGCTCGCCCTTGAACGCCTGGTGGGCAGGCAGCACGCGAAACACCTCAGCGTAACGGGCCTGCCTGCGAACCGGGCGCTTGGGCTACAGAGCTCAGCGATCGGGGTTTTCGTTTACCATGCCGGCGTCCCAGTGGTGCACGTTGTTGAAGTAGGTCGGGGCCTGCGTGAGCAGCGTGAAGAGCGCCCAGATGCCACCCCACTGCGCCACCACGTTGATCCAGACCGGGCCGGACAGCAGAATGCTCTTCCACGGCGTCCTCTGCGTCTGCGCGCAGGAAAGACAGGTAAACCGCGGTCCCGAGCTACAAGGCGGGCGGGGCTTCGGTCGCGTACGGTCGCGTACCCTTGGGTTCCCCACGAGGTGCCCGATGGCCTTCTCGATGGCAAGGCGCTCCTCCGGGGCGATGCGCGGGTGCTGGGCCGGCGTGTCGAAGACCAGCATCCACCAAGCGACCAGCCACAGCGCGGTGAGCAGCGCGCAGCCGTAGAACACGGAGGGCCAGCCCATGGTCTGCACGACGAGGCCGCACAGCGGGAAGGTGAGTGCGGCGCCCACCGAGCTGCCTGCAAGCAGCGCACGTCAGCAGGCAGGCAGCGCACCACGCTCACACACTGTGGCCCACACGTACCCATGTAGGCCGTCACGAACTTGCTCCTCTCGTTGGGCGGGATCCACTGGGCGGTGAGGAAGTGCATGGCCGGCCAGCAGAAGCCCTGCGGTCCAAATCACACCACGTTACAATAATTGGAAGAGGGCGGCGCCGGCGGGGCGGGGCCCTGAGGGCAGGACGCCGTGGACTGCGCCTCGCGGCGCCTCGCCTCACCGCGATGATGCCCTGCACGAGGCGGATGGCGAGCAGCGCGCGGTAGTCCCAGTGCGAGGCGGCCGGGATGAGCGCCGCCATGAGTCCGGGCAGCGCGTTGCTCAGGCCGAAGACGAGCTTGGTGCCGAAGCGGCGCGCCAGGATGCCGCCGGGGAGCTGCGTGAGCCAGTGCAGCCAGAAGAAGGCCCCCAGCACCAGGCCCTGCTGCCGCTCGTCCCAGTCGAAGCGCGACCACTAGAACAGGAGCACGCCGTTACCGGTATTCGAACCCGCCGTCAGCAGGGACTTTCCGATTGGCTGACCTCCTCGTGGTCGTCCGGGGCGGCCACGGCCTTGGCCACGGCAGCCGTGTCGTTGGAGTGGCCGAGGAACGCGAGCACGAGGCTCGAGCCGTTCAAGGTGCCGCTGGACTCGTTGAAGGCGGCGAGGCTGCCGTTGAGGCCGGCGCCGCGCATGGCCGCCACTCCCCAGCCGCTGCCGCTGGCGCTGCCGCTGGCGTTGCCCGCCGAGACGGTGGCGGCGGGGAGGCACTCGTCGCTGGCGCGGCCACCCTTGCTCTTGGGGTGCCGCACCATGCCGACGATGGCGATGTTGATGTTAATCCGGATCATGTAGTTGACGGCGAAGCCGAAGAACACCAGCAGCCACAGCACGCGCCGCGTGGTCATGCATTCTGGAGCAAAAGTATTTCGCAGTGAATTTCATTCGGGGCTTTTCGTCCGTGTGTCTTTCGCTGTTCACGTGAGGTAATCAGCACGGCGGCACGGCGACAGTGCCACGGCAAACACGCCAAGACAGGGTGGCATCAGATTAAGGTCCCGTTTTGTTTAATCTGGCCGCGCGAATGTCAGCCGACGTGATTTTTACTGCTCGCTCGACGTGCTCTCGGTGCGGGGCTAAACTGCCATGAACATGACAACACACTGCCACTTTTCTATTTGATTTCAAAGAGGCACTGTAGCTGCGCATCGGCTTTACTCAGGCGCGGCACCTTGGTCCGAGATGTCCGAGGCCTCCCGCGCGCGCCGATCAAAACATAAGGAGGGTGACGGACGATAAGGATCCGTGTCACGGCACGGCGTCACGTCCTCGCCACCGTTGCCAAGGAAATTGCCTTTATTTTTTAGGCCGTTTTGGCTGTGCACGCACCCCGGTCTGCCTGAGAGATCCCGCCTGGAGAGAGGCCAGGTCGTCGGCCCCTGGAGCTTGCACCCCCAGCGCAAGAGCCCACACACGCACCCCCACTCCGCTTGCCCGAAGCGTGGGGCCATGCGGGCTGTGCGGGGCTGGCCCGGGCTGGCCCTAGCCTACGTCTCGCTGGTCTTGACCTCCACGTGGCGCGGCTTGCGGCGCGGGGAGATCGACGTGGAGCCTTTGACGCCCTTTCTTTCCTCGTTCGTGTCGCACCAAGGTCAAAATAGTTCAGTCCCTGCCCCGCCCGTCTCGTCACACCGCGCGGGAACGCGATCGACAACAGCCACCGCGGCCAAATTCGAACTGCGTTTCAAATCCTGGCGTTTGGACGCGCAAAGGGGGTGGAAAGGGCGGATGGCCATCACGGCTCGAGAAACCGAAACGAACGCCGGAGACGGGGAAGACGTCCTTTGGGCCGCGTTCCGGGTCTCGGTGCGTGGCCGCGTGGCCGACTGAACCTACCTGGGGAAGTACCCATGCTGCGGGCCGGGTCGCTCTCCTCACTACTGCAGGGCGTGCTGGCGGTGCCTTGGGCGGTGCGCGGGCCGGTCGTCGTGGACCCCGCTGGTCTCGGAGGTGGCGGCCGTGCCGGGGCCAAGCCGAGGGGCTAAGCCGTGGGGCACCTGTGCGACCGGGAGCGGCTAGCGCGCACTAGCGCGGCCAGACAGACTCATGAGCGCGGCACTGTGGAACGGCGTGGACAGCGGCGATGCGCTCGCCCTCACAAAGTGGAGGTCCTTCCCTTCCCTTTCTGGCGCGACGCGAGCAGGACCGCCAGGACCGCCGCCTCGGAGTGCCTTCCTGCCTCCCTGCCGCTTAACGCCTCGGGCCGCTCTGCACGACGTCGCCGCCGTCGTCGTCGCCGGCGCCGCCAGCCGCACGGCAGCAAGGAGGCAAGGCAGCTAGTCGGGCCTTTACCATTACCTCACCTTATCAGAGTCAACAACACTACTTTCCGAGACGCGAGCTTCAGTTTCAGCGGGGCCCCGCTGGGGCTTTGAGGGCCGCGGTGAAGGACGGCGAGGAAAGGGGCGAAGGCAGGCGAAGGGCCTCGGCGTCTAGGACTGCCTGTCTGCCTTATCGCGGCACGTCTGCTTGATACGCAGATCGGCGGCGCGCGTGCACGCGGCGGCCAGACCGGCCTGGACAAAAGCGGTGTCTCTCCGTGCGCTTCGCTGGGGATTGGGGCGATGAAAGAGACGAGCTGACAGTCTCTCAAAGACTCTGAGAGGTGCTCCGAGGTCATGTGCCGACAAATCGCTATATCATTCACTTTTGCGTCCGTTACGCTCGATTACGCATCGGTCTCAGAACTGTAAGAACATTCAGTTTGCTGACCAAATCGCCTCCCCCCCAAACCCCAACCCCGTGTGTAAGTACTTCCCTGCGCGCGCGCGGGCCGTCGGTGGCGTACGATGGGTTGCCTACCTACCGGCGCTGCACGGCCCTCGATTCGCGCACGTTAGTTGAGCAATCACAATGACTGTCACATCTTTTTTGAAGTACGGAATTTGAAACGGTTTTAAACTGTGTCATCGCGCGAGTCTCATTGTTTCTGCCCCAAGCGCTCTCCGCCCACCTCCGGCTCCTGTCTTTCCGTCTGCGATCAGCTGATGGGCGTATGCAGTGCGCACTTTGCGTGTCGCTCCGGCCCGTCCCTACTCCCTACTCTCTTGACAGCTGACAGGCTCCTTCCCCTTACTTCCCCTGTGTGTCAAGACTTGGCTGGACTTTGACCTCTTAGAAAATGATATAGCGGTTTTGTCTTTTCATACATATATTGACGCATCTTAACATAAGTTGTCAGTCTTTTCAGACCGCATCCCACCTCAAGTTTTGTCAAAGTCTCCTTAAAAATGGGAGACGAAATGGATGGAAATACCATCCTGGCAGAAGCCTTGAAGTCTCAGGTAAATATTGTGTTGACGATTCATTTTTATTTCAAATGTATTTAGTTTGAGGTTATCTGCCGACCACTCTTATCTCACCTGTTGAGTTTTGTGCATTTCTTAATCTATGAATTTTCCCCCCGAATTTGTAAATTAGTGATGGCTTTATGCATATAAATTTTTACTTTTATCCAATCATTTTTTAGTTTGCTCTAATTTCTTTTATAGGGGGTCGAATATGTCTTTGGCATCGTTGGAATTCCTGTTATTGAGCTAAGTATGGCCATGCAGGCAGCTGGAATGCACTATGTTGGTTGTCGTAATGAGCAGGCTGCCTGCTACGCTGCACAAGCCATAGGATTTTTAACAGGAAAACCTGCTGTGTGCCTAGTTGTCTCAGGACCTGGTCTGCTACATGTCTTTGGCGGTATGGCAAATGCCCAAATTAATTGCTGGTATGTAACACCTGGTTCAGTTCAATTTTTCCACATTTAAAGGGCACAATTTAACTAATTTAACATTGTTTTGAAAGGCCCATGATTGTGATTGGTGGCTCATGCCCTCAAGATCATGAAGGTATAGGAGGATTCCAAGAATGTCATCAGGTTGAGCTGGCTCGTCCATATTGCAAGTACTCGGTTCGACCACCTCACCCTAAACTTATCCCAACACATGTAGAGAAAGCGGTTCGACTTGCCACATATGGACGACCCGGTTGGTATTTCTCAAACTTGACATCAGCGCTTGTTTTTGTCACTTGTGCTGATCTGATTTTTCTATTCAGGTGTGAGCTACCTTGATTTTCCTGGGAATATGTTAAGTATGTCAGTTCCTTTGGCTGATGTTTGTGTCGTCAGCAAAGTCCCTCCACCACCAGTAGCTTTCCCGGACCCTGCCAAAGTTAGGGAAGCAGCTCTGATACTAACTCAGTCGAAACGGCCCCTTGTTATTATTGGAAAAGGTACGCTTATTTTGCTTCCTTACTTTATTTTTTCTTGCCCCTTTGTGTAACAATTCTTGCAATTGCTACTGTTCTCACTTCAAAATTGTAGGAGCAGCGTATGGGAAGGCAGAATCTGCACTTCAAGACTTGATTCACACCTGCAATCTTCCTTTCCTGCCAACACCTATGGGTAAAGGAGTTGTGTCAGATATGGATGACAATTGTGTGGCACCAGCAAGGTCTGCAGCTCTCCAAAAAGCTGATGCTATTTTATTGTTTGGTGCACGGCTCAATTGGATGTTGCACTTTGGACGTCCACCTAGGTTCAATCCTAATGTAAAAATAATTCAGGTACAAGATCAAAAACAAGATTGAAACAAATCACATAACAATGTTTAATTTCATTTAAAAAAATTGTTTGTGAGAGCTCAATTAACTTACTATTTGCCTAAATCAGGTGGATTTATGTGCTGAAGAATTTCATAACAGTCGAGCAAGCACTGTTGCCATCCAGGGCGATATCAAAATTGTTTGTGGTTCAATTCTTCAAGAGCTATCTTCCCAAAGGTGGAAATTACCTCCATCAAGCTCCTGGTGGGATTTACTTAAAGGAAAGGTGCAAGGAAACAAGACAACTGTTAGTGTAAGTGATTTCACTCCAATCAAATCTCTCAATTAATTTCATCCAAGTATGCCCCTCTCTTTGTATTTACCTTTTCATCCACATTTTTTTCTGCTTCAGAAAATGATTGCTGACATCCGGCCTCCTCTCAATTACTACACTGTGTTTCATCACATTCAAGAATTAATTCCTAAAGGTATGAAGCCTTCAGACCTTTATTTTTATCATAATGGAGGATCAAGGCTGTAATCATCTTGCTTGCAGATGCCATTATTTGTAGTGAAGGAGCAAATACTATGGATATTGGACGAACTTTACTGTCAAACACTCTACCTCGCCATCGTCTTGATGCCGGTTAGTTTTCTTTCTTTTGTGGGCCAAACAATAACCCAATCAATCTTTATGATAATCTCTAATAAAACTTTCTCTAGGAACTTTTGGAACCATGGGAGTTGGCTTGGGTTTTGCTGTGGCTAGTGCACTGTGGTGTCAGAAGTATGCACCTGGAAAACGAGTCATTTGTGTTGAGGGAGACTCGGCTTTTGGTTTTTCTGGAATGGAAGTGGAAACTATGTTTAGGTATTGAGAAAAAGCAAAAAACAACTATACTCAATATATTGGTTTCTACAATTTAGTAAATATTCCTCTGTTGATCCAGGTACAAGTTGCCTATAATAATCATTGTAGTGAATAACAATGGAATTTATGGTGGATTTGATCAAGACACCTACAATGCTATAAGGGATGGAGCTGACCCTACCCAAGTGTAAGACTAATTAATTTTAACTTGACCCTGAGTTACATGCACTAACAAGGGTGTAAATTAGTGTGATCCATGCTGCCCCTGCCCCAAGGCAGTCATGCTGTATTTTGATTCTTTGTTCTATAGTACCCCTCCCACTGCATTGACTGTTCGAGTGCGCTACGATAATATGATGAGTCTTTTCGGCAAGAAAGGATTCTTCTGCAAAACTATTCCAGAGGTTCAGGAAGCAGTTAAGGAGAGTCTGAAGGTAAAATTGTTAATATTCATGACTGTCTTTGCTTTAGTGCACAGTACACAGTTAGGATTTTGTGTGTGGATGTTTTATAATTTCAGTCAAATCAAGTTGGGCAACTCTTTACAAACTAACAAAGTTTCCTTTATTTTCTCTCTCTGGACATTTCAGGGAGTGATGTAAACATTGTAAAATGAACAATTTTAAGGTCAAAGCAGGTTTCTTTTATAAGAGGATGAATTAAGATATTTTTCTCAAACTATTGTTTTTGCACTACATTATTCTCACTAATTTGCTGTACTAAGCAATAACATCGTTCACAGAGGAACTACTTATGACCTATCAAGTTCAAAAGTAGTATCAAAGTCTTCTCGATTAACATGCAGAGTAAATACATGGTTGTTCTGTTGATTATTTTTTTCTTGAAAAAAGAAAGAAAGAAAAGGTCAATATAAGTTATTATATAATTTATCCTTACAAATATTAATGAATAGACTTTACACATATTGGTTATGGAAAATCTGACAACATCTGGCTTCAGAGTGATGTCAAAGAATCACGGTTAGCAAAGAATTGTTAGATGATTTGTTAATCTACTTTCCTTGCATTCACAGCAACATCTTTTTTGTGTCAACCATGATTTTAAAGAACATGGATTTGTCACTAGATTTTAACTGGTTGTAACATTTCAGGTCCTGGATAGCCCTTCCATCATCAACATAGCAATTAATCCTGCAGCTGACCGCAAACCTCAACCTTTCAACTGGCTTACAGAGTCTAAACTTTGAGTCTTACTCTTCAATACAATCAGTTTAAGGTAAATGATGTTAATTTGAATGGAAATCTAATGTATACTGGGCACAAAGGTGGCTGGAAGATTTTATATGCCTTATCAGATGTTATCTAGCTGGGTATGGACTTATTAATCTGGTTTTATATCTTTTATACCTGTGTGTGCCTATGATTGGTCCACATGATATTACTATTAAATGAAATACATGTCATATCAATGGTATTATTGCATGTTGCTATTGGTGCCTGGTTATGCACTAAGTTAGCCAGAAACGGGATTTGAGCTTCATGACTTGCATCAAAAGAAACTGCAACAAAGTTGATAGATGCATCATTGATATGCATTTAAAAATTGGAGGAGAAATTCTAAAATTTGAGTGACACAAGATCAAGATATTTTTTCCCTTAATTATTGCACTCCATTAACAACTTTTGATAAAACTTTCAGAAAGGTATTCAAAATGGTCTAGCACACAAATGATTGATTTCAGTCTTCTTAAAATGAGTTGTTGAAAACCAGCAGCAAAGTTTAGAACATTGCCCAAACTACCCTAAGCAACTTGTGTGGCTTATTGCACATCTACTGTAATGGATAGGATGCATTATAGAACAAAAACCATTTCTTGAACTTATACAATCTTACAGGATTATGCATGGTAACTAGGATTGTAGCTATGGAGTGGTGAAAATTTTCAACTGAGGCAAGTATGAGACCCGACAAAATGGTTTAAATGAACACATCAATCCTACTCTTAACCTTCAATAATACATTTTAATACAGCATTCTACACATAAAATCTGTACACCAGAAAAGAAATCCAATATGTTATACTTGGCTAGGCTGTATTATGTTCATCTAAGCAAACTAAAACGTAAGATCTGAATTTAATCACAGCCATATTTGACCAATCATTCAGTTAAAGAAGTTTTTATAATTATTTGTTCCTGATGATCAACACAATATAAATATCCAAAATATTCCCATGAAAATTTCAAAAATGAGAAGTAAACAATGTGGCATCATATTTGAAGCATGATGAATGCTACACCCTTCAATTAAATTGGTATTTGAGCTCATTACAGTGATTCCAAAATTGGGCAAAACAAATAAACAGTAGAACAATAATCTTCAATAGGATGGTTAGAATGACAGTCAAACAACATAATATCTACAAAAATCAATTGTCATTTGCTTCACAGGTAAAACATGATTTTGAGCGCAAAAAGTATGCAACATATTACTAACATATACCAATTAACCACTCAGAAATGAATAGAACTATATAGCATGTTCTTCAAGTCAAGAGGGGGTAAAAGGTAAAAGACAACTAACAGACATTGGTAGAGCAGAAGAATCGCTTCAAGTTCATAAAACATTGAACATCCATCATCACAAATTTGTACCCACAGTTGAGTCGTTGAACACGCCTTGATAACTTCATGAGATAACAAAAATGCCCACACCTTTGAACCAACTTTGTAGTAAAGAAAAAAATGCATGAAAGTATCCATGAAGCTACAAAAATAAAACTTGTAGGTGAGATGCACAGATTCAAAAGAAACTATGGAAATGGCTTGTGGACAGGTTTGTAGAGGAGTTTCCAACTTGCTATAATTGTTTCAAAATGATTGAAATAATGAAGCAAATAAAATCTTTCTGTTTATAGGGATGTTATATACCCTTATACTCTGCAAATATATGGAGTTTCCCTAAAGAACCAGCACAGTTCACAAAAGCACCAAAACAGGAGTATTAAAATTAATTTTCCAAAACAATAAAATCAAATCTATAATCCCTTCCCCTTCAAAATTTCAAAAAGAAAACAAAAATCAAGGTAACTATTTAGAATATGTGAGTTCAAATAAATTAGGATGACTCACTTTTTTCTATATGTTTCTATAAGATAGATATATTATTAAACAAGATAAAATTACAATTATCTTAATCAATCTTAGGATATATTTTCACATTGGTTTCACCTTCGCAGGCCAACTTGCAGCTTTCACAAGTTCTGATAAAGCATACACATTTAAACCGTACAACTGAGATCTGTATTTAAGCTTACACAGCATGTCCTAGGTCTCAAAGTCCAATCAGTTAGTGCAACAAAAATAAAACCATTATTGAGAAGCAAAATTGGTAATAACTTTCCACAATTCTACTAACTTTAAATTTCTTACAGACACATTTTTAATGCACATATACAAAGCTAACAATGGGTCATTTTGATTAAAAGAGTGGCACAAGGTTCATTTATAGACAAAATGTTCTGCTAAGCTCCATTGGAATGCATTTCAATTGATGATTTTTCACCAGTATGCATACGCTTGTGACGTGTAAGTGTATAACTTTCAGCAAAGCAGCGACCACATTGCTCACATTTGAAAGGTTTTTCTCCAGAGTGGGTGTGCTTGTGCCTAGCTAAGGTATAACTTTCTGCAAACCATTTTCCACATTGATCACAGCGAAAAGGTTTTAGTCCTGTATGTGTATGCTTGTGCCGTGCTAGGGTGTAACTCTCAGCAAATGCTCGCCCACATTGCTCACATTTATAAGGCTTCTCTCCTGAATGAGTGCGCTTGTGGCGAACAAGAGTATAGCTTTCAGCAAAGCATCTTCCACAATGATCACATTTGAAGGGTTTCTCACCAGTGTGGGTATGCTTGTGGCGGACAAGGGTGCAACTTTCAGCAAAGCTTTTCCCACATTGTTCACATTTGAAAGGCTTTTCCGATGTTGATGGAGGCTTCTGTCTCAAGTACACTTCCTGGAAGAACATCTTGTTTTCTCCAGCCGCCGAACTGTGAGGAGTATCCTGCTGCATATGCATGCAGTTTTTTTAAAGTGGCAAGTTTCTCAACAAACGAATTGACAGATAATCTGTCACACATTCATTGCTCACTAGCAGGTTGAATGGTTTTAGTCCATTAACTGAAGACTTCGAAATTATCAACCCGCAAAATGGAACCAACATCAGGCACCTGTAAAGAATAAACACACAAGTCAGAGACAAGAATTTAAAATGATATTTGAGAGCTTAAAATATCCAGAACTATGATTTATAGAACGATATGTATCCAGTAAAAGGCTGGCTATGGTCCACAACAATGTTGAGAGTGGAATGACACTATAAACTATGAACGAATTGGTTCCTTTTCAAGTAAGACAACAAGATCGAGCGTTGAAATGGTAAACAAATGGCAAATGAAATATCAAAACAAACACATAACCTCAATGAGAAACAAGAAAAAATAACACTAGAACTTAAAAGCACCCAAACGCAAGTAAATAGAGATGTGAAAAGTAAAGAATAACATCCCAAATCGTGCCGCTCAACAGGTTTCAGAGTGAAAATGTGGATAAATAGAACATAAATTGCACATAAGTTTTAATCATTGAATCAATGGAATTACCTCGATCATGATAGTTTCTAGTTGTCGTGCTGAAGATGGGTTCCGAGGAACGAAGGATTGAACAGTGAAATATTGTAAGGGAGCTCTTGCGTTATGTTTTCGCCAAACTGGTTTTAAAAAGGACGAAAAATAAAAGGTCTTTTTGAATCAAACCGATCAAATTTACAATACAGCAACAGCAGCAGCAGCAGCAGCGGCAGCCATCATGCTTGCGGTCTTGCGGTGGCGGTGGATGCGGCAGAGGACCTCTCACCTCTCAAGCCAGAGTTTAAAGACCATACAGTCACGCAAACCACAGCACACTCTCACTTATTTTAGCACAAAGGCGCTTAAACCCAACACAAATTAACCAAATACATTCTTGAATCAGGATAAATCAATATTTTACCATTCTTTTATGCCGTTTTGATTAACCGTCTAACCAAAGGTCCTGACAACCCTGGCTGATGATGTGTTATTCACGTCCATCATCTTCAAGAGGAAGAAGCCCCTTCACCGGCCAGAGGCATTTCCGCTTTCTTTGCGTGTACACCTTGGAAACGTGACAAAATGGTATGGTTATTGTTATAATTTCTTGTTCATGAAGTGGATTTATTTCAAAATTTTTGTCCGTATGAATGTGGAGTGACGATTTTGTATCACTCGGATTACATTTTCTTTGGTCACTCCATGTAATGTGGTGTACCAAGTGGTGTGGCCCCAAAGGTGCGCCTCCGCACGTTTCTTGTTGGACGTATTTACTATTTGCTGGAATATAAATGGTTTCTTTTTTATCCATTGTGTGTGAATTATCGCTGGTTTTGACTCGCCGGTTCGTTATTAAAGTCATGGCCTCTCGAATTTTGTTTACATCTGATTCCTAACCTCTCTGTATCATATGTCCAACCAGCCCCCCAATGTGCCGGATGACCATAGTTTTGTCTAGACGTGTATTCCTTTGTTGGTGTCGAACGATCCGCGTGCGTTGTTCTAGCCCTTCGTTTTTCCCCTGCCGATCCCCCAACTCACTTTGCGTTTGTTGACTGTTCCAGACTTGCAAGCGTCGTAACGGAGGACGTTCCAAGCACGGCAGGGGCCATGTAAACCCTGTCCGTTGCACCAACTGCGCCCGGTGTGTGCCCAAGGATAAGGCCATCAAGAAGTTTGTTATTCGTAACATCGTCGAGGCTGCTGCCGTTCGTGACATCACTGAAGCCTCTGTCTACACCAGTAAGTGTCATGTTTAATTAACGTGAGTTGCGTGTTCTGCTACCCATTCAGTCTTTTATCATGTATTTGACTGAACCCGTTACAATTGTAATAATAATTCCTGGTCTGATATGAATGGGTGGTCTTTTAAATTCATTCACCTCTGATGAATAGCATCTCCCCATTCTATTCAAGATGTTATTCTTGGCCGTTGGTGTACTCATGAATGTTTTTTTCTCCAGTGTACCAGCTGCCTAAGCTGTACGCCAAGCTGCACTACTGTGTCTCCTGCGCTATCCATTCCAAGGTTGTGCGCAACAGGTCGAAGGCTGAGAGGCGCAACAGGAACCCACCTCAGCGCAACTTCGCTCGAGTGAGTACTACACTAACTTGTGAAGTGAGCTACAGTCATATTACTTTTACATAATTATCAATTACTTTCATTTGCAGGGTGGCCCCAGACCTGGAGGACAGGCACCAAGGAAGTAATTTGTCTTAATAAATTTATAAAATTTAACTATCTTGTCATTGGTACCTCATTCATATTCCTTCCCAAGAAACACACAGTTATGTTAGGGTAGCAGTAAGTGACAAGTAATGCAGAAGTTTTGAACTCTGTATGATCATCTATATTCATGTCGAATTTTGAAGTATTATGCAAGTCTTAAGTAACAATTTCATGACCTGACCTGGACTACCCAGGCTTGCTGAATGAATTTGCTTTCTTTGTACAGAGTGTGTAGAAATGGCACCTGATGGGAGTGTGTTAAATGATGCAGGGTGGTTGATTAATAATTCAAATTGAAAATGTAAGAATTTACTCCTGAAAATAAAATCACTAAAAACAGTAGCATAAATCACAAGTCATCAAAATACAAGTTATCATATGGGATCCAAAGTAATTGCTTAGAATCAGTGAAATTCATTACCTTACAAATACTAGTCATGAATATATTCACATTAAGTACAAATGCCACTGTGAAAGATAGTTGATTACTGTGGCATAAGAAATGAGGAAAATCGTGGCAACATTTCCATCCAACTAAAACGAAGGAGCAACAGAGAGAAGAGAAAATTGAGTATCCTATTCAACTCCAAGGTCACTTGAAACAAATCAAAACTAGAACATGTTGCGATGCACAATTAATCAGGTACAAGTAGTTTAGCACTATTTTTTTCAGAATCTGACGATTCGCTGCTTGAAGTGTCACTATTTTTAAGTTTGTTGCTCTTCTTCTTCGTAGTACTCCCATTTTTATTTTTTTTGCAAATTTGTTTCTTGTGTTTTTTCTTAATTTTCTTTTCATTGTTTCTTTTTCTTTTCTTCTTCGAACTGGATTTCTCATCAGAACTACTGGATGAAGCTGATGATTCACTTTCCGAATCCGTCTCATCAGAAGTTGAATGCTTTCTTTTTCTTTTAATCAGTACAACTTTCTCTACTTTCCTTCTCCCTCTTTTCCTATTCTTCTTCTTGGAGGAGCGATGATCATCACTGCTTGATGAATCGTCAGAGGATGAATCAGAGTCAGAGTCAGAATGCTTCTTTTTCTTCCTTTTCACAATTTTTACAACTCTGGGTTTCTTTTTGGACTTTGAAGACACAACAGACTTCTTCTTTTTCTTTCGTCTAGATTTAGATTTCTGATCCGACTCACTTGACGTTGAATCACTACTATCACTTGAGTCACTACTTGACGATGAACTGTCACTAGTTTCACTGCTACTAGTACTTCCACTTCGCTTTCTCTTTTTCTTTGACTTTCCTTCTTTTGTTTCTGATGTTGCCTTTCTCTTTAGACTGCCACCATTAGAGCAGTCTTCAGTGGAATCATTTTTAACTTTGTCATCTTTCACTGATTGTTTCTTAACCAAGCTATTTTGTTTCGAATGTTTGTTAGATCGAGAAGAATCATCAGTTTCTAATATCCTATCAGACTTTTGAACAGTTTTCTGAGTATGTTCAGACACATCCCTTTTTTTATCCTGCGTGTGATGTTCATTGCCGCTAATACTGTCACTCTTCACAGAATTTCTCCTTTGAGCTGCTGACTCAGAACTAATGGACCTAGCTCTCTTTGAGGCCTTTGATGTTGGAACAGTTGCTTTAGTCTGCTCTTCATTTGATTGGACATGTCCATCATCAGTGTTTGTTTTTGTTCCAACATACATGCTATTTTTAGGATCCGATGTGGAATTATGCTTGGAACGACCTTTATCTTCTCTAGAAATATTTTTAGATACTTCATCAGGATAGGAATGCTTTTCCCGGCTAATTCTACTATTCGCACTATCAGCTTTACTTGAGGTACTATCTGGAGTATTTCGTGCTTTGTGATGTTCATTAGAATATTTTTCTTTCTTCCCTTCTAGATTGCCTAGATCTCCTTTCCGTGGATCCTCATTTTCAGGAGTTGGATGGTCTCCTTTCCTTTTGGCTCCTCGTTCAGTGGCAGTAGAGGTTTCTCTTTCCCTACCTTTAGAAATTTCCCGTTCACTTCTATAGTCCTCTTCCTTCCTCAATTCTCTTTCTGAGTCATCTTTCTTAAGATCACGCTTGCGGTTTCTCTCACTATCATCGTCTTCATTCTTTCTTTTTCGGTCTCTCTCAGACTCATAATGCCGCTGACCATTTCTTTCAGCATCTCGAGAGGAGTGGTCTCTATTCCGGTCCTTAGAACTCTTGCTATCTCTGCTGTCCCTATGATCTCGGCGATCACGATCTCTGTCGTATTCACGATCACGATTCCGTTCTCGTCCTCGATCACGTTCTCGATCCCTCTCCCGGTCTCGGTCACGCTCCCGTTCACGTTCTTTGTCTCTCTCTCGATCACGGTCCCGTTCACGGTCTCTGTCTCTCTCTCTTTCTCTGTCTTTAGGTCTGTCCCTATCCCTGTCTCGATCTCTGTCTCGCTCCCGATCACGGCCTCTTTCCTTATCTCTATTCCGATCTTGCTCCCGATCTTCCCTGTAATCACGTCGTTCTGATCCGCGACTCTTGGAGTAATCCTTGGAAGCACTGCGTCCATCTATTGGCCTTGGGCCACCCTCCTTCTGTAAGTGAAATTTAATTTAGAAATAGACCTTAACATAAAATCAGAAACCAAACATGGATTTCAAAGGTGAAACTCTACCATAAAAATAAATTGCATTACCTTAACTTGAGCATCTTCTGACGAACCCATAATTTTAACACCTCGTCCTTTGCCCATCCATCGGTACTTGGACACAGACTGACTGAAATCCACATGGATACGGCGATCATCAATCAACACATTGGCCATTTTAAAATAAGCATCTTCACATGACTTCTGCTCATCAAATTCTATGAAAGCATACTGTAAGCTGTCCCCTGTAGTTTTGTCACGGATCACTTCACAACTGCAAAAAAGAAAAGAGGAAAGAGAAATGCATTACAAAAAACTAAACAAAACTTTGTCAGCAGAAAAATCAAAGAGCAGTGAAGATCTAACCTGTTGATTTTCCCAAATCGACTGAAGATAATTTCAAGATCGTCGTCAGTGGTAACTGGATTCAGTTTACAGACAAACAGAACATTTTCTGGTGGGGCAACATCAGCATCAGGGAGATCACCAACCATTTCCAAAATTGTGGCACGTGCTTGAGCTTCTCTTTGTTTAACAAGCTCTTCAATTTCGGCAGCAGATCGTCCTGCAGTATCATCTATTTCCTCATCTGGTGCTATGCGCCCATTCTGAAGCAAATTGGAATTTACAATGAGTAACAAAAATAGAAATATAGACAAACAACAAATTAAGAATAATCATACAGCTAGGTTTTCTTTCGTCGGCTCTGGTGATCCATCAGGGATGACGAGTCCTGGAGGGTCATCGAAAGGATCCTCCAACACTACTGTGTGAGTGATACGAATATCTTGGTAAGGTCGGTGTTCTGTGTCACAGATTGCATCATTCAGCTTCAGAAGGATTTCTTCACCCTCAGTCACCTCTCCAAAAACACAATGTTCCCCATCAAGTGACTGCAGATCATTGGCAAGTGTAATAAAAAATTGGGATCCCAACCTGTGAGGAGGGAAAATAATACACATCAAATAATTACCAAAATGCAGATGGCGAACAAATGGTTTGAGAAACAAAATTAATAGTTAAAAACTACTTACATATTGTCACCACAATTAACCATTGACAAAAGGCCTGCCTTATAGTGACGAATCTTGGGCAACTGTTCTCCTTCATAGTAGCGTGACTTTTCTCCAACAATTTTCCTAAATAAAACACATGAAAATGTCTGAATCCAACATAAACTCTGGCGAGCTATGAAAAAAATGACAAGCCAAATGGACTTACCCAAAAATTGATTCTCCCCCTTTTCCACTTCCAGTTGGATCTCCTGTCTGAGCAATAAAATTATGCTGAATCGAGTGGAACAGGCAGAAGTTGTAGTACTTGATTTTGCAGAGTTTGAGAAAGTTTTTGCAAGCTGAAACAAAATTTTAAAATACAATGAGCGCTTAAGAGTCTATGTGGCCTATCTGAAAACAGGCGTATTTTTCAGACAGGGTAAATGATTCATTTCACAAGTTTCATTGAAGTAATCTTAAATGTCTATTTTAAAAAAAGAAAAAAAAAACTTAAATATGAAAAGCAAAGAAATTGTAAAGAGAAAGCTTAGTTCCAGATGCCTTTCTCTTGACTTGATTTATAAACGTACTTTGTGGTCTTTCATCTATGAAGAGATCGACGGTGATATCACCAGCCGTTGTTTCAATTACTACTGCCATTTTCTTCTTATAAATATTTAACGCAACAGTTCTGAGAGGTATTCGAGCCGGATCACCGGGGGGGGACTTAACCTCTCATGTTGGAGTCAATATGGTTCCACAAACAACCCACATGAACCATAATTTTCCACGGAAGAGAAAATTTAATTGGCAGTAGTTGAAGGCACTTAAGGCTTAACAATTCAATGCCTTATACCACAGCAAACAATATTTACGCGATTCAACCATAGTAGGTCACGTCATATAAACAAATTCACCCATATACGTCGGCTCTTGTTTCTTTTTTTTTTCCTTTTTTTCTGTGAGAGCAGCACTCTTATTTAACCAACCCCTAGCGATTAAAGTTTGTCGCCAGACACAAGTGTTCTCTGTGTGTGTCATAAATTGTTCACCGTTAAAAGATGAAGAATGTTTTGTCATTTCTATTCTGTACAAATGCAAGCTAAACTGAAAAGGTTCGAAGATTTCATGGAAAGTCCGTAGTGTTCAGGAGTTGGCTATTCAGTTGTTCAGCGGAAGATTTGAAAAACAGTGTGAGAACCTAGAGCAACTTTTCCAATTTCCAATTTATGATTGGAACATGGGAGAAACCAGGAGAAGAAGATTACAACCACAATCATGAAAAAGGATTTTTCTTTATTATTTCCAAACAACACATGGGCAAGCATCTTACAAAACCAGCATCATATTTGTTCTCACTTGACTAAAATCAGGAATGACAGGCATCAGGTTTATTGCATGCCTGGTGTCACGTACAGGGGAATGACGAAATTGCAATGTATCTAACAACCGAGTCTTCACTGCACACACAGCCCTTTCATTCCAGCACAGATTTCAGGCCAGTACTGACAGCGGGTATTGCAGCACAAAATCATAAATGAACACAGTCTTTGACTGATGTGTCAGAAGCATGTTAACAATAAAACTTTGGTTAAAATTCATCTGATGTTCACAGATAATATTGCCTTTTATCTCTAATTCAAATTAAACAAGAATGCAATGTGATTACAAAGGAGACACAATGCAGTATGGAAGTTGATCTTCCAGTTTAAAGCAAAACAAGAAGTCTCCGTTTCATATAAGACATAATGAGAATCTTACCAGCACCGTAGGAATTTTACCAGCACCAGTTCCACCAACTCATATAATAAAAAAACACCAAAGAAAATTTTCCTTTAGTCCAGTTTGATTACACTAAACATACGAAAAACTCATGGTAGAAAACTGTACCATACTGTACATTGAGGAGATTTTTTAAAAACTTTTTCAGAATATCACATTAACGAAAGAGGAAAAATCAACAGAAACAATTAAGTACATGGATAACCAACAGCATTACTTGCAGTAAACAGGTATAAGTACAAGTGTTGCTTTCGCTAAACTAAAATAACAATAAGAAAAACAGGAATAACCATATAAATCTCATGCATACAGATCCATTGAACTCATAATAATGGTAATACTGTTGCAGCTCACTTACAGCTTACTTTTTTGGAACATAAGTGCAAGGGCTCTGAAAATTAAACACTGCAGATAATATTTTAAATTTAAAATTACAATCACATAAAAAGGTAACACCATGGTAACACCAACCAAAACATAATAAGATTAAATAAGAAAGCTGTGAGGAAAAATATATAAATACATTTTTAAGGCAGAGCAAGAAACAAGAACTGATTGGTCAATTTATGGAAAATAAGTTCCAACAAGAGATAAGAGAAGTGCTAAGCCTTGGTTTTTGAAAAGTAAGAGGTTGAAATAAAAACATCACAGGAAACTAAACTAGTTTGAGAATCACAATAAAAAGCAAGGTACACAGAGGGAAAACTGAAAGAATAACACACAATCCTAAAAAAAAAAAACAACAAAAAAAAAACCCACGAACAAACAGACAAACAAAATAACTGAGGGAGATGCAACTTGTGGTACTAAACCCTCCAGTCAAGAATAATTAAGTCAGATCTTTTGGTGTCTACACTCACAAAAATATAAAAAGGATTTCTTTGTTTAGATCCACACCAAATGCTTTGAGAAATAATATGCTTGCTACCAAACCAAACAATAACGTGTCCAAAGGTTCTTGGCACAACTTGCTTATAGCTAAATATGCATTTGCCATTACAACAAACAAAAAGACAAAGAAAATAAAACAGGGAGATAGATACCAGCTGTCGCTTGAGACACTCTTTGAAAGCAGAAGACAAACTCAAGGCAGCAATAAAGTGAAAATTATTACAAGTTTTAAAACTATTACTGGGTAAAGATAATACTGTGGAAGTAAATACTGTTCATTTCTGAAATTGGAAGACAGGGAAGTACACTGCTTACTCTAAAAACAAAGTCAGCAGAAGAGCAACCATTTTGGAATTAGTTGGCACAGATCTTAGACAAATCATCACATAGATCATAAAAAGGTCATTAAATATTTTTTAAGTGGCCCAAGTTTATAACTCTCAAACTTATTCTTTACAAAAGAGGAGCAAATTTAGTCTGACATTCAAGACACTAGACATTCTAGAGTCCCGGCCATTCTATGTTGGTAGCGTTGGGATGGGAGCAATACACCACCATTGGGCAGTACTCTCAAAACCAGTCTCAGAATCCGAAACAGATAGGCCAACCTGGACAAAGACCCGCCCATTCCAGATGGCTTCAAGATTTTGGCTGTGTCCTGCAAGACACACTTTGTCAAGATACCCTGGCCAGGACGCTTCTGTGACTTGACAGATTTTTTTATAACATGAATCATAAAAACGACTCAAACTACCAGTAGTCCCATTTTTTCTAAAATGTAAAAAATAAACATTGTACAGTAAGGGTTCAAATCCTAATCAAAAATTAGAATATTTATCATCAGACCTCAATTTAAGTCTAGCTATAGCAGGAATACTGATTCATGCTACAATCACCTCCCCTCCACCCACAATATGTGGTTAACAACAAGTTATATTGTAAAATGGTAGTCTACCATATTTATCAGGACTTCTTTGCAGCAGGTGAAATGGGTGTAAGAGCGTGACTACTCTTTCGAGCCAGTGGCTTCTTAGTAAATTGTTTTCCATTTAAGGAATCTGGTACTGTTTCAGACTTCCTGTAAAACATGGAAAAGGGACAAAATAAATTAGGGTTATCTAAAAAATAAGCAAAAGTGATGTTGATAAAAGCTGCTGTTAAAGGTGCATTTTCTAGAATTTACCTCACATTACTGGAAATTGGGCTCGGCCCTTCAGGTTCTGTGCTGCTGCTGCTGTCAGAATCATTTCCACTTCCCTCTGATATGGTATCGTTTAAGGGATCTTCTGCGGTTTTCAAACTTTCCTCCAGCAAACGGTCTGACCACACTGTAGGATTGAATGAAGGTCCTTCTCCACCAAGCTCTGATGGTAATATATCTTTGCTCACATACTCATGAAGAGTACTCATGTTGTTGCCATGCATGTAAATCTACACACAAAAAGTTGAGGGTAAGGAAATTTTAACATACAAGAAAAACATAGAGCATGGTTCATTTTCACTGACCTTTTCCTTAGTCTTTTCCTTTAGAAATGGGCGTATCATAGTCAGTAAAGCTTCCACATACCATGGCTGGTTAATGAAATGAATTCCTTTGAAGCGAGCTGGAAAACAGTCTTGAAGCCCTTCAATCATGAGTTTAAGAACTTTAGGATTTAAATTTGAAGATTGTCGGAAAGAAAAGTCAGTCCAATCAACGACCACGACAAAACCATTCAGCTGCAATATAAAGAAGCAGGATTAGAAATTTATCAATTAATATGGGAAACTTAATAAGTTTGAATATTTACCTGATTCTGCTTCTCTTCAACAAGCTTTTCTAAAGTCAACAACAGAGCTCTGTAAACAGCTATCAAGGAATAATTACAATGATCCCAGTGAGCGGTGAAGATTACTAGGACACATCTTCCCTTCCTAAACAATGAAACCAATAAATTGTTTTTTTTTTTAAGTGATGCAACTACATGTTTGACACCAAATAGTGATCAACAAACCTGTCTCTCTGTTGAAGAACTCCTGGAAAACCATCCTTCAGAGCCAGCTGAATGGACTCATCCTGGGCATTGAGATGAATGAACAGGTGGCGATTGCGTTGGCGGTACAAAAAGTAATTGGTAAGCAGTTGAAAACTTTCTTGCACATTCATTTTCCTTGCATGAAGGAATCTTAGAAGAAACTCATCATCTGTCCTGGTAAATTCTAGAGAGTGCAGAACAAGAAAACAACATTTTTAATAACACATCTTAACTAGGACATAAGTCGTCTTCTTTTCACACAACATACCAACATCTGGCCTTGACCGTAGGAGAGAACGAATTGACTGCAGAGCTTGTTCTGGGGTTGGGATATCCTTCTTGGGTAAAGTAATTCCAGCATTTAATCTGGGAAGGTTAGCATCCAGACGCATGCCAAATCCATATTCAGTATATTCAGCCATGGTTGTTTCTTCAAAGATGTAACTCAATGCTAACACAAAGCAATTTTAAAAAAAATTAATAATGGGGAAATCCTTAGATTTGATTCATCCAAAACGTACTTTAATAATGACTTTGACTGAAATTCAAAGAAAACTCACATTTTCAGTAAAATCCCAAATATCATGAGACTTGTTAAAAACGCAGCAGAAGGTATAACCTTTAAATTTTGACAGTACAGGCAGGACTAGATTCAAAGGCTAGATTCAAAGCATTGTCGTTATTTATGAATAAAAGTGAATACAAAAATACATTTTAAAATCAGATGGTAGACATCAACTTGCGGGCTGTCCTTTGGACCAAAACAAGAATTATGTTTTTCTTTTCAAAATAAATCAAAACAATTTTGTACCAACGTGCACTGCCACTGCCACTCTGCCAAGTTCAGTTAAGACGAGTTTTGCGACAATCGTGTTTGTTACGTTCTGATTGGTTGTTCAGCGTCCAATCAACACAGGAGAAAGGCTAACTGAATTGTCTCTTCCTCGTCTTCTTCTCCTCTCCTTCTTCTTCTTCTTCATCCTCCCAGAACTTTCTTGTCATTCTTCTTCCCTATTCCGAGCCGTGTTGTGGTTGTGTACGTACGTCGAATCATTTATCGTTTCATTCGGAATCTTCAGGTTGCATTCCAAATCTCATTTCTTTGTCGACTTGCTGTTTTAGGTGCACCTCCTGCCGCTATCATGGAAAACGACGCCGGAGAATTTGTTGACTTGTACTGCCCGAGGAAGTGGTAAGTACGACCACATGGTTCCTTATTTTTACCTGTCATTCCTTGTTGAAAGGTTTAGTCTTCTAACTAAAACTTTAATCTTTAAGTATGAATGCCGTTTATTGACCAATAGAACGGGCTTTTGTCAATTAACTGAGCTATTACTTCACTTTCGGACGTCTAACCTCTCTGAGCCGGGCCCTTGTGTTTCTTAGAAAGGCTTTTGTTTTTCAGCTCTGCGAGCAACAGGATCATCCACGCGAAAGATCATGCTTCCATTCAGATCGAAATCGTTGATGTCGACCCTGTGACTGGCCTTATGTTGGACACCTGCAAGACTTACGCTCTCTGCGGTGAAATCCGAAGGATGGTACGTTAAGGCTTTTCAAGTGCGCTATTGTCCAGAACTTGTCTGCTCTTGTTTTGAGTGTATTCATTTCTTTGTCAAAGAAATTGTCAGTTAATAGATAGGGTCTTTGTTGCCCTCACTCATCGCTTACTGCTACTTTCGCCAGGTGACTGTTATCATAGTTACTGATTTTCACCTTTCTTTTCTTGTTGGTAGGGTGAGTCTGATGACTGCATCACCAGGCTGGCTAAGAAGGACAATGTCATTGCAAAGTAAGTGTCTTCTTCTGAAATTTAATAGATTTCTAGTGAAATATGTTTGTGTTTAGTCTGACCATATTTCTCTTTTGCCTTCTTTTAGGAACTACTAGGCATGCCAACTTTCAAAATATTCTATAAAAAATAAAAAAAATAAAAAACTAACTTGGAGTTTGATTATTGTGTTATCCTTTTCATTTTTAACATTTGGCCTTTGAAGATCTCAGATCCAATTATGAGACATACTGTTCAGCTTTTCATAATTTTATTTTCTAAAAAAGTTTTTTTTTTTACAATTAAAAAGAAAATCACATCACAGGATTTGAGCCCACATACAGAATACATGATGTATTTGATGAGGAAGGAGGACAAGAGTTGGGATCGAATTGTACATTATTCTTGGGCCAACCTGCTCCACATTTCTGTCGTCTGCTCTTCGTTGATTCGTTGAAGAGAACTTTCAATAAAAACACACTTTTTCTGCCAACATTTTACAATCTGTGTCCTTGAGTTCAGTAGCTGTCCTTCTCACTTAGAAAATGTAGGGCCGATATGCACAGGTAGAGCAAAATTCCGACTTGGTAGTGATAACTGTTACCTATGCTGGGTGCGCTAACGTTTGCTGTGATAGTTGCTTGAACGTTGGCCTTCTTCTTTGTACCATCATCCGCAACAACACTGCTGGCCACCACTTCAGGCTGGGGGCCGGGCTGCATGGAGCCAGGTGGAGCCACTTTCCCAAGTTCTGGTCCACCACACATGTGATCCTGGGACAGTCAACAAATAACTGTGCAATAAGGCAGCATGAAAAAGTTAGAAAACAACATAGGCCTGACAAGGCCAACCTGTATCCGAGGTGGGGTCGTGTAGTTGTCCTTCCCCGAGCGGCAGCGCTCCGCGAAGTCGGCCAGGCAGGCGATGTAGGCGATGGCGTGGGGGATGAAGGTCTGGTCCATGCTGCCTCCCAGCAGCGCGTGTGCCAGCGGGCCCTGCGAGTACACGGCCACGTCCTCGCCGCCGTGTGTGGCCCACTGCCGCGGCACCGCGGACCCGTGCACGCGGTTGCGGGCCTGGAGCAGCGCCCAAGAACATCAAAACACTCGCTGTCACGCTCATGGGGAAGTCCTTTCCACAAGTGCAAAAGAGACCGAAAGACCAAACTCGGTGCGGAATCAGTCCACAGGGAACGGCCATGGAATATGCGGGCATGCCGAAAGACTTCCGTGCTTTCGTCGCTCTGTCTCTCTCGCACTCGCGGGGCCGCAGGGCGCGGCGAGCAACAAATAACCCACCTCCTCGTCCTCGGGCACGGGCGGCGCTCGGCCCATGCTCATGGGGTGGCCGCTGTCCCGGGTGCGGTTCGGCGGCACGGCGCGCGGCGCGCTGTAGCCGGGGCCGTTGCCGTAGAGCAGCGTGGAGTAGGGCATGCCGTCCACGTCGGACACCTTGGAGTCGACGCCTGGAACACGCCGGACAACGGCCCCGTTCAACTTCTGCTTTTAACCCTAAACCATCGGAGGAGTAAGCTACCAGGAGTACCAGCCACCCAGAACCAAAAACCAAGCGCAAATCCAATATTTATTTATAGAAAAAAGAAGCTGATAAATCAAAGGCTTCCTTCCATGGCGATGCGACACCTCCCCGGCGATCGACCTCGACCGGCGGGTCGCGAAGCCCGGCGAAGCCGCAGCCCACGCTGCGGATGTAATTCAGCCGGCTGCTGATTTCATTAAGAGAAACCGGAAATTATTACAGGCAACTTTTGTAGCAACCTCTTTGGTGCCGCGACTTTGCCGGCCGCTCGCCGCTTTCCACTCGGACGGGGCCGCCGGGGCGGAGGTTGGCCGGACGGCCGGAGGCCCAATAAAATGGAGAGCTTGGCCGTCTGCCACCGTATCGCCCCGTCCCGGCCGTCCCGCTCGGAGGGCTGCAAGCAGGCAGCAAGCAGGCAGCAAGCAGGCTCCGAGGGCTCGGAGGAGAGAGCGCCCTCTCAGCCCTCCAGCCCTTCCTGGCCTGCTAGCCGCTCCAGTCCGGCAGCACCCGCAGTCTGCTCCGGTCCGGTCCGGCAGCCCCGGAAGTGACCCGTGCCTCTCCGTCCCTCTTCTGGGTGTCCTCGCTGGTCCTTGCTCGCCGAGCCGCACTTCTCCTTTTCGCGCAGCGCGCGCAGCAACAGCCTGCCTGCCTGGCCAGGCCGAGGGCCAGGCCGTGCGCAGTCTGGCCTTCGTTCACTTCGCTTCGCCGGGGCTATCATTATTTCAATACCAACTTTATAGATGTCTGTGTGTCTTGGGCGCTGTCTCGCTTGCCTTCGTCTCGTCTGGGGTTGCGGGTGTGCTCAGCACACAGTTTTCCTCGCAGTGACGGCGCGACGTCTGTGCGACCGTCTGTTTGACTGTGGGTGTTGATACGCGTACTGTGTACACTCACGCACGACGAGTAGCGAGCCAGCCCCCCCCCCCCACACACACACACACACTCACTCACTCACACACTCACACACACGAGATGGGGAAGTGGGAGCGGCCTTGCTTACCCAGGATAGGGTTGCCACGCGGCGTGGCCAGTCCGCCCAGGGTCAGCACGTGCGAGTGGTCCGCCGTGAGCACGATGAGGGTGTCGGTGACGTCCACCAGCTCCATGGCGGCCAACAGCGCCGACTCGAGCGCCAGCGTCTCGTCCAGGGCGCGGTACGCGTTGTTGTAGTGGTGCGCGTGGTCGATGCGACCTCCTGCAAGAGGAGCACAATTAGGCAAACCCATGTTCGAGTTACTGCAGTGCGTGTGTGGCGAGGAACGTGCCTTCGATGAAGAGGAAAAAGCCCCTGGGCTGGCGCATGAGCACGGCCAGGGCGGCGCGCGTCATGTCGGCCAGCGAGGGGTCGCCGTCGGGCCCCGCGTCGCGGTCCGCCTCGAAGTCCATGTGCGAGTAGGCGAACAGCCCTGCGACAGAAAAGGGGCGTCAAGCACGGTCCTGGCGGGAGTGGAACTCGAGTCTCTTGACACTGCGCCGCACTGCGCAGGCGCGCTCAGGCCGGCGCGGGACGTACCCAGCAGATGCGTGATGCCCGGCGCGCTGGCCGCGGTCTGCAGCTGCGACTTGCTCCAGGCGTACTGCGCGCGGAGGCCGCGCCGCGACTTGTCCTTGAGCCACTCGTCCACCAGGTTGCGGCCGTCCTGGCGGCGGCCCTCCTCGTTGGGCGCCTCGGGGTCCTTGGTCGCCTTGGGCAGGAAGTGCCGGCGGCCGCCGCCGAGCGCCACCTGCCGGCAGCAGCGCCAACTCCATTATTCACCGGTAGAGGCGCGGACGACCAAAGCCGGGCAGCCGGGCCATGCTGGGCCATGCTGGGCCATGCTGGGCCAAAGCCCACAGGTGCCGCACGTGGACACTCATGAATGAAGTAAGTCCTCCGGTCCGGCCGGCCAGGCCGCCAGGCCGTCCTTGCTGGACGAGCAGAGGACACGGCGGCCGAGGTCGCGGCTCCGCCTGCTGCCGAGCCCGCTGCCGAACGCGCTGCCTCTCTCATACTTTATTCATTCATCGCCCGCACCACTTTGTTCTCTATTTTATTCTATACCGAAAGAAGGGGGAACTTTTTGTCGCTTCAGTCAAACATTAATTCCCCTTCGTCCTTTTCCACTCCCACTCCCCGTTCTGCCCACCCTTCGCGGCCGAGGCCCGGCCGGCCGGCTGACACTGCGGCTGGAACGCCCGCCGACGGCAGGGTAGGCCGGCCGCCGCGCACGCCAGTGGAGCGCGCGGCCCAGCCTCGCGCTGGCGGGCGCCTGGCTGCCTGGCTGCCTGGCTGGGGCTGGTCATCAGCAGCGCACTATTGGGAGGTGTGACCTCCTCTCGCCTCGCCTCTCCTCGCCCTAGATTCGACCACATTGATTGCAGGACCCTTTTCCCGAGGGGCGGTCCGGCGGTCCGGCGGTCCGGCTCCACCGGGGCGGGACTGCCCTTTAAATATTTCAGCGAGCGGGTTGCGCGCTGCACGTCTGCTGAGGACCTTGCGGCGCTTGCGGCGCTCGGGCGCCAAGTGGGGTGCAACGGACGCAACACTGTGTGAACTCTTGGGCCCCGCCCCAGTGAAGGACACCCTGCCGGCGGCCAGACGAGGCTGGCAGCCATGCACGTGCCGCCGTGCCGGTCCCCTCGCCGTCCGGCCGCGTCCGGCACTCTGCGGCGCCCCTTTGCATCTGAATCAAGGGCCGGCGCCGTTTTTGTGTGCAGCCTGCGAAAGAAGCGTTCATTGCCGGAATCCGAATAGAAGCTGCAAGCTGCGGGCCGAGACCTGCCCCGCCGCACCGAATTCCTCCCTAATGTGTGTAGCGCCCCCCCCCCTCCCCTCCCCTCCCCTCCCCTCCCCTCCCCTCCCCTCCCCTTGCTCCCCTCCCCTGCGGCCGTAACAGTGGAAACGCCGTAACGTCCCGGGGCCGCGTCTGCGTGGCAGGCAGTGCCTGCGCCCATGTTAAACTCGTTACGAGTCAAGTTCAGCCGTTACCACTGGGACGGAGGGAGGGCACGGAGTGGAGCGGAGCGGAGCTGCTGCTGCTGACCATGCGTGCGCGTCTCAGATCACCTGATTCGAGTCGGAGAGCCTTCCTCACAGGAGTGAACTGTTTTGCTGCAAATTGGGAACGAACTTACGTTGAGGTTCCGGCCCGGCTCCTCCTCGGCCAGCTGGCGGGCGATGTCCTTGCACACGCGCCGGCTGCTGGGCGGCACCTTGCCGTCGTCCTCCCAGTAGCGGGACGCGGCGGTGGCGTACAGCGCGGCCGGGGTGGCGTGGGTGATCCGCGTCGTCGTCACCACGCCCGTCGCCTTGCCTGCAACACGCCCCCAGCAAACACTACAGTGCACTACAGGGTGCTTCACAGAGTCACCAGATTTGACACGGTCCTAAGTCAAGTCAGCAAAACTTTGCAACCACATTTTCATCAACTTTGCGCGAGGCCGTGCTCCCCTAATAGCCTAGAGGCAGGGCATGAAAGAGTCAGCAAATTTCACAATTATCGGAGATTTTTGGAAATCTGAGACGTGTTTTAGGGAAACACTCTGTTTTACGTGCCCGCTGCCCTGCCCGATTCCCCATTCCAGGCTAGCGCACCGTTAAGTGTCCGCCGTCCGGGGGCGGCCAGGGGGCGGGCAGGGGGCGGCCGCTGGCCGGAAACCCGGACATTCGAAGCCTGCCCCGTGCTCGGCAAATTGCCCCCCTCGCGAGATGCCACTGGATAAGGCGACCGCCCAGCATAAGGCCCATTCCGACAAGAGTCGCTCCGTCTCTCTCGCGTCCGGACGGACCGCTCCACGAGTGCGAGAGAGACGGAGCGAGCCAGCCTGCAGGCACCACTCGGCCGTACATAGCAATGGCCCCCGATACGTGAGGGAGCAGTGGGCCGACAGTGTGCCGGAGCTTGTCTCGCCGCTGCAGACCGGCCAAGTTGAGCTTTTGCTCGGCGCCCGGACGCGCGCCCGGACGCCAGGAGCCTTCGGAATTAATGACTCGGTGCATTTCTCCTTAATTGGCGGTCCACTCCGCCGAGCCCCGCCAATTATTTGCTGGAATCCTGCGGCTGCTCTCGGAGCACCGTCTCGCGGCCGCCGCGCCGTGCCGTCGTCGCCGTCGTCGCCGTCGTGCTGCCGTCGTGCTGCCGTCCCAGCCGCGCTCAAATTGGAGCGGCATTCCACCACGCTTTCCTTGGTTTTGCTTCGCTTGGCCCGGCTTGGCCTGCGCCACTGACCGACTCCGCCGATAAATAGAGGCCAAGAGGGTCCCGGGGACCCGCTGCGCCGGGACGGCGACACCGGCATTACCTTCCTGCTGCGCCCAGGTGAGCAGGGACGGCACTTTGGAGTTGAACGTCGTGGCGCAGTTCTCGAAGCGGCCGCGCGCGTCCATGCCCACCGTCTCGAAGTTGGCCTTGACGCCGCACATGAGGGCCGTGGCGCACGCCGACGACTCGCCGACCTGCGCGTCCGCGTTGTACGTCTGCAACAGGGAGGCGTGCAACTCGTGTAACTTATTGACTGATGAGCGATGTTGAAGCCTGAAAGGTTTTGAAAGGTAAGCCGTATCATAGATAAAAACAAACGGCGAAGAAAAAATCTTGCTAGAATAACAACAAAAACCGCAACAAAAACCAGTTTTTTTTTTTGCGGGAGCGCTACATTGGCGCTGCGGGCTGCAGGCGGGCCTTGATGATTGGCCTGACGGTCACTCTGCGCGCCGCCCTTTGAGCCGCCCTTTGAGCCGCTGCAGCGCCGCTGGCAGGTGCGTTATGAATACGCGGGTGCGGTAATGGGACGGCCCCAGCCACGGCCACGGCCCCAGCCACGGCCCCGCCGCGCCGCGCGCCGCCACGCTGTCCGATAATCTATTAGAGTAGTAGCGGAAAAAGGGGCGGCAGCGCCTGGATTAATGTCTGCGGGCCGGTTCCGAGCAAGTTGCCCGCTTCGCTCTGTCCCTCTCGCACCCTAACGGAGCGCAGGGGACGCCCCGTGAGTGCGAGAGGGACGGTAACGCGGCCAGGGCGGCGTGTTACCCCAGTTATTCACACGTCCACACTCATTAGCCGCCAGACTGGCTGCGCTGCCGGACCCCGCCGCCCCCTCGGCCTCGACCACGGCCTCGACCACGGCCTCGACCACGGCCTCGACCACGGCCTCGACCACGGCCTCGACCACGGCCTCGACCACGGCCCCGACCGGCCACGGCCTCGCTGAAAGAATAAACGGACGCCCTGGCGGCCTCAGCCCTTGGCCAGGAATGGTTGGCCGCCTCCCTCATTCAATAGCCGCAGTGTGGCGCGGCGTGGCGTGGCGCGGCGTGGCCCGACTGAGGGCCTGGCGTGGCGGGTGCATATAATTTCTTCGCCCACCACACCGCAGCACCGCACGCAAAATCGAGCAGCGGAGAAGCTGGCGAGAAGGGCGGCATGGCGGCGGCGACGCGATTGTTGCCTGCACGCTGTCGTATACTGTAAACGGCACCGAGGACTGCGAGCCGCGGAAGAGAGATATAAGTGCTGCTCGACCAGGCCCTGCTTGGCCACCGCCATCAGGCTGATTCCGTCTGAAAGGGACGAATCCATCTCTCTCGCTCTCACGGGGCGTATCGGTAAGGCCGGCTGACTGGACTCCCGCAGTTCTACCCGCCGCCATTCGTCTCGCGAGAGGAGGAAAAAACGCCAAGGATGGATGACGAACGTTAAGGGGCGGATCGAACGGCGGCCTCCATTTCCTGGCTGATCCCACCGACGGCCGTCGCGTCGCCACCACGCCGCGCCACGCCACGCCACGCCGCGCCCCAGGCTGCCCGAAAGTGTGCATCGCCCTTCGGAGCGGACATCATCATTATTATTATTTTCTTATTGTTATATTTTCATTTTTGCTGTGTATTGTCTCCGGCTCAAAGACAGGTACGGGTTCGCAAAAAAAGGGAGAGCATCATCGTCGTGCTGCGGGAGATTCCCGAAAAAGAGGGAATAGGGCTTCAAAGAAACACCATTTAATAAAAACAGGGCGCAGGCCCGCCGCCGCCACCACCCCCACCGCCGGCGCGCAGACTTTAGGTAAACCGAGCGGAAACCAAATCAGGAGGCTTTCTGCTTTGTTTAAATTTTGGTCACGGCCGCCACTAGGATTGGCCGCCGGGAACGGCGCGGCGATTCGCGTTGTTGTTTCCCAATTTAGTTTCAGTCTTTCTTTCTGTCGACCCGCGCGCGGCCGCGCCGGTCGGGAATAGAATAAGCCGGCAGGAGGGCCTCCGGCCCGCCTCCGCTCCTCTCTTCCGGCGCATTGACACCGCTCTCGGAAAATTGGAAAATCTCGGAAAGTGCCCCGCGAAGCTCCGTCGGAAAAAAAGGTGAAATTTGCACCGCACCTGCCGGAAAATCATACAAGTTGGGAAGCTGAACGAGAGCTGCAGTCAGTCGGCGGGGGGATTGGTGGTGGGGGTATTTGCGGTGGAGGGGGGTCCCGTTGTCTCTGCCCAATTAGACCGGGCGGCGCCTCGATGCTCTCCGCCGGTAAATCATTGGCTGCTCCGCGGCGTGCATACTCGCTCTGTATTCCGGGTGGCGCCCCGCGAAGCCCCTCGAGGGGACTGGAGGACCCTGGAGGACCCTGGAGCACCAGGACCGCGCCGATAAAGACAAGCGCCGCCGCCTTTTGTCTCGCCTAATGGATTTGATATTGTTTTTAACTTTCCAAAAGGCGCTTGACAACAACTTAGCGGGGCGGCGGGGCGGCCGGCGTTTGATTTATGCGTCGCCGCACCCACCCGGCGTCTCCTTGGATTTTGTTTCTTCACTTCGTACATTCAAAACAAAAACAAAACGAAAAAAAAACCCACACAAAACAAACAAACCAAAGTCAAGAGCAACAACCTCTTCAAACCTTTCTTTTGCTTGCTCTTGCTGGGATGTGTGATTAAACCGTTCTTGTGAAACCAGAACGGGAATCAACTTGGTGACTACCCACGGATTTGGTAAAATGGCATTTTTCAATTTCAATCATTGGCAGCCATTTTGCTTTTGAGTGTGGTTTCAGGCCTGCCTCGTTGGGGCCACCACAAAGACGCTCACCTTGACCAGCCCCACGGTGGGGAAGTGGTCCCAGGCCAGCTCCGCCTCCTCGCCGTGCTTGCCCTGGCGCTGGCCGCGCAGGATCCTGGCCGCCGTGACGGTGGCCGTGCCCATGCCGTCGCCCACCAGCAGGATCACGTTCTTGGCGTGCGGCAGGGGGCGGGGCAGCGTCGACGACCCGGAGTGCAGCCGCTGCCGCAGCTTGGCGCGCGCCTCGGCGTACCAGAACGTGCGGTCTGCAACAACAACAACAACAACATCAACAACATGGACAGGCAGTGAATGAATAGACGGGGCGGAAACACGATCGGAACGGGGTCGCCAGGCCGCCGGGGACGACAAACACACTGGGGGGCATCGGCGGCGCGCTTTCGACCGCATAGGCCGGTCCCGAGCAAACACGGCGGTCTCTTTGGTAAAAACGTTCAATTAATCAAACGCAAGCCGCGGGAAACGGCGCGTGTTTAGCGTGGTGGCGATCGGGTTGTGGTTCTCATGGCTGTCAGGCACGCGTGGCGCGGCGTGGCGCGGCGTGGCGTTCCCGAGCGGCGGGCTGCGGTGGCGCGCGCCAGCCCGCACATGTCCGCAGCCGCCAGCGCGCCCAGCGCGGACGCCGCAGCAGCACTACATCATCCCGGATCGGGTTCGATAGCCTGTCCGGTCCGCCTTCCCCGGCACTGCAAGCCCTCGGCACGCCCTGGGCACGCCCGCTCCAAAACGAGTAACAAGTGCAGCCATGGCTGGTGCTGCCGGCCGGGACTCCCAGACTCCGCGTGATGGACGGCGTAATGCCAAGCAGGGCAGCGCAGCCCAACGCAGCGCAACGCAGCGCAACGCAGCGGTGGTCAAGTCATAACAATAAGGGCCGGGCGGCACGTCGCCCCGTCGCCCCGCGTCGCCCTGATAGTCTGGCACAAAATTATTGCCCGGAGTGACGCGCTGTAATTCGCGGCGTTTTGTCGCCGCGGCGTGTGTGTGTGTGTGTGTGTGTGTGTGTGTGTGTGTGAAGCCAGCGGGAAAGAGAGAGAGGGAGAAAAAGAGAGGGTGGGGTGGGGGGTGAGGGGGCACGGGATGATAAACTGCTATATTTCCCGCGGCATATTTCCTCCTTGTTTTCTTTTCGGGGAAGCTTCCAAACCGCTCCAACACACACGACAATGTGACACCGACACATCACACACACACACACACACACACACACACACACACACACACACAGAGTCGCGAACGCCGCGCACAGAGAGCTGATGTTAAATTTTGGCGCTGGTCCAGCGTCCAGCTTCCAGCCCGGCCGGCCGGGGGAGAAACGCGCCGCGGGACAAATTGATTATTCATTCGCCATGTGCGATGTGTGCGCTGTGTGCGATGTGCGTGATGGATATCAGGCTCGGACGCGAGGCGACGCGAGGCGACGCGACGCGACGCACAACAAGGGGCACGGCCGGCAGGGCAGTGCGTTATTCATGGCCCTCTGGACGGCCATACTTCCGCTGTGTCTTGTCACTTTGACGACGTGACGACGACGTGACGACGACGTGACGATGTGCTCGCTGGGCGCCGCCGCCCCTGGACGCGCCGTCATGTGACGACCGTTTTTGAAGAGCCGCTTTTGCACGGGACACAGCACTCTCACACACGCAAACTGCAGTCACTGCGACGAAATGCATATAGTGGGTTAGTGTTTCGTCAAAATGCACAGGGATTAAGGTAGACCCCGCTCGTTGGGGTCTGGGATTCGCTGGAATCAAGCATCGAGAGCCGAGAGCATCGAGAGCACCGCGCTCCACAGGCCGCCTCTGCTGCATGGCCGGCATGACGCACCAGCGCTGCCGGCCGCAAAGCGCCGCAAAGCGCCGCAAAGCTGCGAGCAGCGCCTACTTCCACCGCCTCTCGAAACATGGCGGTTTCACGGTGACGAAAAATAGGTCTCCATGCTGGCAACGCGCGGCCCTTCCCACAGTGTGCTGGCGCTTCATTGGAAGCCGAGGCGATATCGCGCGCGGGGCGCGGGGCGAGGGGCGCGGAGCGCGTACACCTCATGAAGACATGTGGCTCCCCCGTCGCTTCAGCAATGCCAACCGCGCCAACGCGCCGCGCCGCGCAGCCAAGGCGGTACCAACCCGGCGACGTCAAAATTGCGCTGCCGCCGCTGCTCGCTGCATTCATCGTCATTAAAGCCCCGGCGGTGCCGGGTGGGGCGGGGTGCGGCGGGGCGGGTTGCGGCGGGGCGGGGCGTTCCAGAAGTTTTTGGTACACATGGGGGCCGCCACAACAAAGACACACCTGGGCAATTAGCGCCGGTTCACCTTGCCGCGCCCTGTTGTGACAGTTCGCGGAAAAGATAAAACAAAGAGGTGTCGTGTGTCAAAGTCCAAGGGGCGGGCCAAGGGCCCCCCGTCGCCGCGAGGTCGCCGCGAGGTCGCCGCGTGCACCTCGCCTCGTCTCGCGACGTCGCAAGGCGTTCCGACCCACCGCGACCCACGCATCACGCCATCAGGCCGTCGGGGTGGCGCTCGTGCCTCGCCCATCTCTCGAGGGCTCTGAGATTCATTATGGAAGCAGGACTAGCGCCGCGCCGCGCCGCGCACGCCCCGCCAGGCCGTCTTGTACGTGACTCCGGGGCCCGCCTGGCGCCCCCGCCCCCGGCCGCCGCCCCCGCAGCCCCCACGCCGCACCGCCCGGCTCACAGCCGTCGATTAACTTTGCCTCCCGATTGTAACGCAATTCGCCCCACACGCTCCCTGCTCTCCCGGCCCTGCGCCCCGCGGCCCTGCCGACGCGGTGGCGGCGGAGAGCCCCTTCGCCCGCCTCGCCTCCGACGTGTGGAGCACGGCGTGCACGTCACGCACCACGCACGTACACCCCCTCCCCTCCCCGCGAAGGGGGGCCGATTTGTTACTAAAGCGGCGCGATTTGTCATGCCGGGTGTATTGCCTCTCCGCGCACCCCCTCGCCTGCCTCGCCGGGCAGGGCAGGCAACCCGCCCCGGTGGCGAGCGCGCCGGGCAGCTTAGCCGCCGCACTGCGGGGGCTTCGGCGGCTCCGACGGGCTTCGACGGCGAGGGCTTTGCCGGGAACGGGTGCGTGCCAATGACAGCGGCGGGGTGCTTCGCGCTTCGCGCTTCGCGCTTCGCCGCCAGTCCCGCTCGCCTCGCTGCGCCGCGGCCTCGAAGCGTCCATCATCGCTCAGCCGCGTGAATGGCGAGGGCCGACGGCAGGCCGACGGCAGGCCGACGGCCACAACAACACCGAGAGGCTGGCGGCTGGCGGGCAGAGGGGCGGCGATGACTCGGGCAATATCCGGGCCGCGCGCCGCGCACCGCCACTGGGGGATTGGGTGTGGAAGGCCCAAGGCCCGGAGCGGCCGGCAAGGGGAGTAAAGCACCGAGTTACGGCCGCGAGACTTTCACTTTCACTGCCCTGGCCGCCGTCTCGTCACAGCGGGCCTGTTGGCTGGCAGCTCGGGCTGGCCGCCGGCACCGGCCGGCACACTGATAAATTGGTCTCTGAAGGCATTCATAAATCCCGGAATCGCGCGCCGGGCGTCCAGGCCCGTCCAGGCCCGTCCAAGCCGCCGGAGGCAAGAAGACGACGGAAGGAGGAGGAAGATAGGCGGCATCGTTACTCGGCCAAAACACACGGCGCGGGGCCGCGGGGCCGCGCCACTGTCCCCGCGTCTCGTCGCCAGCCGCCAAGGCGCGCCCAGGCCGTGGGGAGAGATTGGCGGCGACCTGGAGGGGGAGGGGGGGGGGCTGCTGGGGGAGGCCGATGCACGGGGCGATCGGGGCAGGCCTCGGGGTAGGCGGCGGAGATAAAGTGCGTGGGATGCGGCCAGTTTGTTGAGCAGTGCTGCGCTGGTGGGGCGGGGGCGGGGCGAGGACCAGGCTGGGTGCAAGAAATATCATTTGGGGGAATGTGACAGTTCCGGCGGACGCAGCTCAGCCCGGCCGGCCATCGGGCGTGGACCTCCCCCTCGGGGGCAACTTACTCCAGGAGTCCGGCGAGCCAGCAGCAGTACAGCAGCAGCTGGCCCTCAAAGGGCTTGGCCGGCCGGCGTGCACCGCACCGTGCGAGCCAGCCTCTGTGTCTCGCCGTCTCGTCGTCCGACTCGCCGCAACACGAGGCTCGTGCTACTTTTACAAAGTTGCGGCGAGAGAGAGCGTCGCAAGCTCGTCCTCGGGGTGCGCAAAAAGGATGCGTTGGCCGGCCTCTGTCTACGGTCAACTGACATTTTCACTGGTCCACTGCCCTTTTAAAAGGGTGCAATGAAGGGCGCTGGAGGCGGGCGTGCAGGAGGCCCGCATTGTTTGGAGCTGCGACGGCGCCTCTGCCTGGAGAGGCGACACGTCAGGGCGTCAGGGCGTCACTCCAGCCGGACACACGACACGCTAGGGCGCGGCTCGCACCTGCCGGCCGGCTGTCCGCTGCTGCGAAAATAGACAAGCTCGCGCTGGCTGGATTGAAACCAGGCCGTGTTGGAAACTCTGCCAATTAGGAACCGTTGGCCAAAGTCCACCAAAGTTGCCCAGACGCAGGGCGGCAGGGCGGCAGGGCGGCGTCGGGGTCGCAGAGTCGCCGTCCTCGTCCCGCGCGTCGCCACAGCCGCGGCAGTGGGAGTGGGAACGGTGCCGCAGACCCTAAGGCCACTAATATCGACTCCTCGGCCCGCAACAAATTTGGCGGCCGCGGCCGAGAACGCCCCAGCGCCCCGGCACCCCAACGCCACGCCCCGCGAGGTAAACACTGGAATGAGCGCGGCGGGGCGTCGAGTCGTTCTCGCGGCCCCAGGCCTCCAGGCCTCCAGGCAGGGTGAGTCCCTACGGTCCCCTATTCGCGAGGCCGGCCGCGCCACATTGCCACATACCGCGCGCACTGAGAGAAGGGGTCGGTGCCTCACGATAAAACTGGTTTGTGGAACCCCCAATGCGCGTTCACGAGTCAATCCTTGCAACTGTTCAGCCGATGATCACAATAAGACGCTAAATAGTGAGATGACTGAACCGCCAATAATAGTCAGCATGAAAGGACTCGATTAAAGGCTTTAGTCATAGGCTTGATCGATGGTCATAGTCGCGACTAAGCGTTGGTGTGGCACCGAAACCTGGCGATGCGACACTCAACACGGAAGTCCGTTGCATCGCCCAGCGCTCCGCCATAATCAACAGTGCGGTAGCTCAGTGGTCTCCGCGCTGGAGGCTGGATAAGAAGCGGTTCGGGGGTTCAACTCCCGTAGCGCA